CTTGCATGTATCATGCATGTAACTTGCACGGATCTGCATATAACTTGTGCAGATCCTACATGTAACTTCTGCACCCAGCTTTTACTAACAATCAGAGAAATAAGAGTCTCATTAAACAGACAATCTCCCTCAAACTATTAATGTGATTGTTGCTATTCAGGTACATAGAATATCTCACAAATACCAATCACTTGTAAGACCTGGGTCAGAATTGGTCTTAGGGTAGGTTTTGGTGTAATGAGTTTATGTTGTAGCGTGTTAGGAGCAGGCTGGAGCTCGAAGGGAGCTACGGGAACCGCGACCGAGGACAGGAATGACCTAGTACTGGCTGGGATTGAGAGATATGACCCTTGATGGGGTTTCTATAAGGTCCAGGGAGGTCCCTAAGGCGTAGGGCAGGGAGGTAGAAGTAACGGGAACCTAGTAGCGTTGCATAGTAGGAGTTGTACTCGCTAGGACGTCAACGTAAGATCAGATAGGTCGTAGTTGAGGTTGGTCTCGAGCGTGTAAGCTCCTGAGAAGATATACGCCTGGGAGGGAGGTCCCGGGAACTGGGGCTTAGAGGTGAATGTTCTCGAGTGTTGGAGGTAGTAACGGAGAAGCGGTATGTAGTTCGACGTAAGGGGTAGCTTCGACATTACCTAGATTGAGGTCCCAGAGCTTGAGGAGCAATTGGGGAGCTCGAGGAGGTTTTGGGAAGGTTAGCTCACTAAGGCAGTAGGCGTTGGGGAGCTTTAGTATTGTTCGAGGGAGCTCGGGGACTCACTCAGATTGCTTAGACGTGAAGTAGAAGCGTATATTGGGCCGTATAGACAATCATAGAGACAAACAGACGAGAGTAGAGAGACTGAGATAGAGAAACAGAGAGTAAAGAGAAATCCGTTAACGAGCTTGCCTCGTTTTTGTGTGAAAGAGAAAGGAAGGAATCTAATGGGCACTCCAACCAACCAATCTAATACACAATATGCAAGTTCACTGCTATCAAATTTATTTAATAGCAAGGGGTAGCGTTGGCAAAGGTTCCGCAAAGCTTTGAGAGCTAAGTAAGAAGCTTTGATCAATCAATTTGAATCGTTCTAAGGATTCGATATATTCCTTTGATCAAGGTAGATTCAGCACGGTTTGTGCTTTGGTTTGTATTGATTTGGGTATATCAAGAATTGGGGGTTTGAATCAAAGTAAATTAAAACCGAAACACACAGACCCCTATGGAGGGCTAGAACTATGTGCTGGCACAACCACACAGCGTGATTTGCCCTTAAGACCAACGACTGATCCTAAGTTCAAAGAATATCCAACAACTGGATATACTTCTCGCAGTCACAAGGAGCAAAACACAATGTTCCTATACTCACAAGTGCCGGGCCCGAATGGCTGCTAGCGAAGAGGTTTCAGTCTGGCGGGAGTGTGTCTTTCCTTTTTACGGATTAGCACTGCAACGTCATCCCAAAATCACTTGTATTCCAGATACATCGGATCGCTATTTATACATACAGGATATAGAGTCGCACAGTACAATTAATTTAATACAATAAACGTTCGGAACCGCAAGGAAACTTCTACACTCAGTCAGATACCATTTAATTTGAATCTACATGTCCTTATTTGGTCCATATTGGTTCCAAGATTCTAGTATACCTCCAAACATAGGTAGGTACTTCACTATTCATTTAATTTAATTGTTTTTTAGAGAATGACTCGAATAGTGTTCAACTGTCATTGCTGTTCAACACTTACTTCGATCATTTGTCACCTCGTCCGGAGGCAAATCAGCTCTCCTCGATTCTAATCCTATCAATCTGATTCATCTGGATTAAACTAATTGCTTCTCTCTTTCAATAGACACCCATTGTGCCTATACTCTATCAAGGGAGTTACGCATAGTATTCATTTAATTGCGTTCTTCAATATTTTCTACGTCAGGACTCTTTGACATTCATTTGATATGTCTTCGGAGCCTCGCAGTCTTTCGATCGTTCTTCTAGTCATTTTCCTCAACCATGCAACTTGATTGGTCTATTAGACTAAATCGCAGTCTTTTAGGTTAATGCATGATCTCGTTCTAGAAGGAGTATTTGATAATTCCTGAGTTCTAGAAAGTCATTTCGAGTCAATCCTCGGTTCATGGTCACTTGAGTAAGTTCTTCCAAACTCCTGCCAGTGTAAGGTCCAATAAGAATACCCTTGGTATGTCATACGTGAATGGTCATCCTTCGGATGTAGTCCGAGTCTGGTATAATCCTGCTTGACAAACAGGTAGACTGTCATCCGAAGGTAGTATCGGGGATGGGTAAACTAACCAACTTGTGGTAGTATGGGTATATGGTCCCTTCAACTTATTAGACTGATTCAGTATTGACTTTGACTGTCAATCTGGGTCTCAATTACAGTCCTCTTGATACAAATCTATACGTGAAAATGTCACAATTCACAGCATAGACGTCTAGCCAAAATTTAGGCGTGTCACCATATGGTTAGCAGGTACAAAGGGACAGGGACTGGACCTATGCAAAAGGGTGTGTGTTCAAAATATACCAAGCTGGGGCTTGGGATGTTGCGGCGCTACTTAAATAGGTACGGGAAGTGAACAAGAGAACATCTGGAGGACATGAGGCAGCTGATTGAGGGAGGAAGGTAATCAAGATTAGTACTTCATGGGGTTGGCGGTTAGGAGGGTTTTGTATGCGTGTCGGGGTGATCGTGAGGATGTTTGGGTAGGTATATCAGGGAAATGGTGGTACTGTCTTGGGGAGGTGCATGGTGGTGGAGGTGTGTGGTGGTACTTGGGGAGGTGCAGATGTAGATAGGAAGTGTGGCAACATGTGGCTGGTACTGGAACTGGTCTGGTTGTAGCCAAGGCATGACATCACTCACATCTGAAGATTATGAAGCAGATAAGCTTCAGAATATCTGCTCAGTCATATCTTTGCTCTCAATTGTTGAATCATTGTCAGTAAGACACCAGAATAGATAGTTTAGTTAGTAATCCAGTGATACTGAACAAACTCAAGTATTAGATAAAATTTCAGGATAGGAAAATTAAATTGGACCTGTAGAGCTCCATTGTACAATATCATTGTCTGGAACTAATTGAGAAAGCAATATGACTATGTAGCAGGATTTTGTACACAATGTTGTATATTTACAGATTGCACGGAACTGCATAAAGTTGCGCGGAACTCGTGGGACTGGTGCCGCACGGGTTACGGCAAAAGTTCTGTGCCCGATTGGGGAAGCGGGGTGACTGACGGTGACCGTGAGTTTACTTACTTACTTGAGCTACAACCTACTTCCTCGGAATCCCCGTGTTCCCCCTCTATATCTAGAACTCGACAAACGCAAGTAACAAATCAGACGGGTCCTCGGTGGCTTCGGAGGCGAATCTCTTTAGGTGAGGGTGTGAGTGTGTGTGGGATTTGTTACTCTGTTGATGGTGGGCTGATGTTTCTCTCACTCCCTATTTCCTTATACCCTCGCTCCTTGTTCTTTCCATACCCGTCCTGTTCGTCCCGCACTACTCTTACTTCCACCTCATTACCTCTTACCTTCAAATTTCAATGTTCAACCCCCTTACCTCCACCCTGTTTCTCACTATTCCCCCTTCTCCCCTCACTTCCCTCCGTCCCTTCCTCTCGTTCTTCATCCATCGTCTCTTCCCCCCGTGGAGATCTGATTCCTCAACACCTTAGTACATCAAGCAAACACCAACGGGACCGAATATTTCTTCAAAGTCCGTTCCTCTTTAGGCTCTCCCCATTCCTACCCTTTCTACTGTTTTTTTCTCTCAAAACCCTAGGTCGACGAGCTCACGCGGTGCTGCGGAATTTTTTTATTTGTGTCGGGTTTCGTTCAACGACATGTGGAAGACGGAAGTGGGGGTTGTTTTCGACATTCCCCTCCTCAAACATTGTAGATCTCAGGCCTGCCTGGTGTTTGTATTTGGTTTTGGTTCTACTCCCCTCCTCCCTCTGTCCTCTCGTTCTCGTTCTTGAAGGGCTCTAGCCACTCCAGAGGCCAGACGCGTGATGCAAAGTGTCAAATATATATTACTTACATATATAGTTCTTCTCCTTTTTTCCGGTTCCCTTCTCTTACCGAAGTACTTCAGATACGACAACCTCGGTCTCAACGCGTGCCCTGGATAGGGACGACAATGACAGGATGGAGGCGACGTGTTAAAGCTGGGGTATAGCTTAGTGGACGAGGGAAGCGAGCACAAGGACAGAAGAAGGACTTACCAGCGAGGAGATTCAGGGAGGCTTCTCCATCCCCAGACCCGTTCCCTCTTTTTGCACCGCCTCTCTTTTCGCGAGGGTCTCTCCCTTCGTACTCCGTTACTTTTGACTCTCTCTCTCTCTAACCGGGTCATGGAAGCGAGCAGCAATTGGTCAGCATATTCTCAAGTTATCCTTGGGCTCTGGCTTATTTTACCGGGTGTTCTTTTTACAGCCTCCCGCACCCTGGAACCCCGGAGGGTAGTATGATCGCAGAATCACGCGGTGTTCTTCCACTAAGCTCTGTAGGGGGGAGGGAGGGTTAAAGGGATGGAGAAGGCAACACAAGCCGCGACGCATGAAGGATCTTCGTGCCGGAAGGTGCTTTATTCATTCAGCTTCCATCCATGCCAAGCAGTATTACTATCTTCTGCAGGTTCAACACGCTAAAATACACCCCAAGATCATCCAGTATGTATATGAACTCTGGCCAATGCAGGACGGCCCTCCGACATAAGCAATTAACGCGCTCTATTCCTTCCGCGCCATTCTCCCTTCATTTCGACCCCTCAATAATCAAATACAATGCGGATATTTTGAGGATGGGTTGTTTGACCCACCCAGTGATGCTGTGACAATGACGAACACGATGTTTTCACCAACAGGTGGAAAGAGATACTTGATGTGGCGCGCGGCTCATTCTGATTCAAGCTGGAAAAGTGGCACTCCATCCAGCAAGTAAGGGGATAATAGAATATTTGTTCCATCTATCGTACATAGTCCATACATAATGTCCATCGTTTCGAGAAGCAAAGCAAAGCACTAGACAGCTCGCGAGACACAACAAAACAGAACGAAACATAACAAACGGAATGATGCGGAGTCAAAAAAGTCACAGAGGACGTTAAGTGAGATAGTTCGACGCACCGAGGGGGTAAAATAGCGAAAATAAGAGAATTAGGGGGTAGTTCGTGGTGTAATCTGATGAAAATGTGAGTTATCAAGGATGAGGGGGATGTACAAGAGAATAAGTGGGGAAGGGAAGGGAAGCGTTCGTTTATCCAGGTCCGAGAAAAATGTTCCTGAGTTCTGTGGGGCAGTGACGTGCAGGGTTTTGTGGGAGGTAGATATATATAATCTTTATTCCATTCTTCATTCATTCGTTGGCTAGTGTGTTATAGTTGTCATAGTTGTAATAGTAGTCGTCCTAGCCAGCCGTGATCACGAACAATCGGGTATTTCGACATTTTTCAACGTTCGGCTGGAGAGAGAAAAAAGATAGATGGGTCAGGAAGAGAGGATATCAGAGTATAGAGTGGGTAGTAACGAAATAGAACGGAAACCCCCATCATTAAGTGAACAACTCACTTTGAATAAAACAACCCCCAATATCCCTATAAACATCCACCAATTAAACTTCCATCTGACTCCAATGACAACAGTAACTCACCTCAACTCCACCATACACCTCCGTCTTCCACGTCTCGTCAAAGTACTAAATGAATCATTGAATCAGAGCCACAAGACTACAAAGCAGATTCGTTCATACCTCGAAGAAGAAATACTCGGTCCCGTTGGCGTTTGCTTGGCAGACGAAGGTGTCGAGGAAGATCTACGCGGGAGGGAGGGCAGGGTGTTGGAGGTTTGGTGATGAGACAAAAAACGAAGGACGGAAAGAAGGGATGGAGGGAAGGGAGAGGAATTAGAGAGGGAGGTAGGGGTAGGGGTCAAAAGAAGGAGGAGTGGCAAGGTGGAAGCGGGAAGGAAGGGTGAGTGATGAACGGGCCGAATATGGAAAGAGCAAGGAGCGAGGATGTAAGGGAATAGAGAATGAGGTGGACGTTGACAACAATGTAAGTAAACCCCACACACCTGAAGATTCGCCTCCGAAGCCACCGAAGGCCCATCCGATTCATTACCTACATTTGTCGAGTTCTACGCCACACATAAGCCGTTCAACTCATCGAATCCCCATAGTATATTACTCACCGTCGGCCATCCAGTTTCCGCAATCGACATATCCGGTTGATTCGCCAAAGTCTGTGCGAGTGCTACGTCTGTGGTTTCGAAGAAACTCCAAGTCCATCCAGCTGCGTCGTTGATGCTTTGGTTCGCGAACCATGGGTGGACGTTGGCCATCCCATAATCAACGCTCTCCAACACAAGATCATTGAAATACGACCCAGCATCTGCGTTTCCGATTTTGAGATCGACGTTTAGGTCAGAGAGCATAGTCTTCGTGTCGTTGATGAACCCAAGAAGAATCGCCGCACCGGCGTCACCGATGGCGCTGTTGGGGTCTGTTCCGCCGTTGTCGTCGAGATAACTATACAAGCACGTATAACACGTTCAGTATGTAATCACCAAGGATAATACAGGGACTCGTCACTCACTCCAATATAAACTCATTCCCCACCGTAACACCCGCGATATGACTCGTACCATAAGTCTGAATAGCACTCTGAATCGCAGTCTTTTGACGGTCATAAGCTTCGCCGTTGTCGTCTGCCTCGGGGAAGTTGGCAATGTACACGGTAAGGTTGGTTTTGGTCAATTCGATAGCGGTGAGCACTAGTGCGGTGGTGTTACAATCAGCTCCGTATACTCGGATTCGGGTGGTTAGTTGGGAGAGCAGCTGCATATCCGTGACCACATCAGCTAGAAAACTATAGATTAATAAACAAGTATCAGTACTATTAAACACGCACATAGTTTCGCCCCACAATCCGGATACAAAGTCCCCTCAGGTGTATACGCTATCCCCCAAAAACTCTGTTTCAGCCTCGCGTCTTTCGTGAACTGACTCGGGTCTCCGGAGATTGTGTCGTTTCCGGACGACGACGAACTTGAGGAGGAGGAAGAAGAGGATTTGCGGGAAAGAACGACACCGAGAATTATAGCGAGTACGATGGCGATTACGAGCGCTGAGAGTGCGCCGAGGACCTACAAACAACACCACCACCACCCTTAATATTGTTATTATTATTAGAGTGAAACAACACACACCCATAACTTCCTCCTCCCATCTCGACTCTTCTCCTCCACATACCCCGCATACTCCCCTCTCCTATCCCCGAAATGCGGTCTTGTCCGAGGAGTCGAGGCGCCAGGTATATCCGAGTATGGCTCGGGATCAGTTAGGTCGACGGCTGAGAGAGGGATATTTTGTTGATTTTGGCTGGAAAGGGTGTTGTAATCTGATATTCTGTGTGCGGGCTACAAACAATAGTGAACTTGTGGGAAGGTGGATACATAGTTGAGTGGAGCATGTAGTAACTACCGGAATATGGTCATAATAATCTTGGAGATCACTGGAAGGTGTGGCGAGATCCCGAGACATGGCGGTGGGGCAACTACTGGACGGACTTAGACACAAAGTGACCGTGAGGTAGTTGGTCGTTGACTTGGTGGTGGTCGTCGATGAAAAGGGTTGTTCTCCCGGGGATCTTTCACCGTGAGAGACACATGTTGTACCGATCGTCTCCGAATCTTATCGAATTTGAGCTAATTTGAGAATTTATGTTTTTCTGACTAATCTGTTTCTACAAAACTTAGTACAGACTTGAAGACTCATACATGCCACACGCGGAGCGCGACGGCCCACTATCGCATATCAAATAAAGAGAAACTACCGCCGAATAAGCTCCATGGAAGAGCAGGACGTACATATCTGTAAACTACAGCGTACTGATTACTAGTTAAAATGCGATGATATATCACTGGTGACACGAACAAGCAATGCGTATAGTAGTGACACCTAGGCAGACTTCTTGATTCTGCTTAACCCTGCTCAAGCCAGACTTAAGGGCAAAGCTTTGACCTCAAACTGAGGACCTTCCTCAATCATGGATTCACTAGGAGCAGAAGTAATTGCAGGCAAATCCATCTGTAGTTCTGAAGGTTGTGCAGTGGTACCAGGGAACTTGTATCCATGATATATTGAAATAATCAATGCAGAGAACATGAACATCAATGTTTAGTTCACTCACCTGAATTGTGGCCATTTCTGTGACCACAGTTGTCTGCATATCACGGAACCTCATACGTGAATTCAAGCTAAACACAGCCCATCTTATTAGATCAACAAAATGACATTGAATTTTTGTCTATACTTTGCCAGCATTGCATTGGAAAAGACTATTGAGTAATTGTGAATTTGCTTATGGCGGTTTGGACTATTAGACATAATCCTCACATTTTGGAAGAATTGCATAAAATGCAAGCCATAGATCTATATCTAGGGTTTAGAAAAAGTGATAATTATCATGGGTAAATAACTCACAGTTGTTCACATTGAGTAGAAACTAAGGTTTAGTAATCAGACCACACTTGGCAAATACATACTGACATTGGAAACAGGATATGCCTACACTTATCATCAGAAGAATACTGACAAAACTGCATATTGTTATGGTGAATTTAGTGTTAAATACAAATTGGAGAAATAATTACAAACCTAGTCACAACTCCTGTCTCTGAAGTGATTTCAGTATTCAGCTTGAGGAAATAAGCAAGAACATTACCAATAGCCCACTGAATTAATTTGTCCGCAATAGCAAGGGTACTTTATTGTCAGGGATATGATCAACTTCAAATCTTTTAGTAATGATATGATCTCCTACCTGCGGTAAGTGGTATTGCTCCTGTTTTTGACTAGATAGTATACAAGTGCTGTGGATACAATGACATCTATAGTCACATGGAGAACTGTTGCAGTAACAATCAACCATTTCCATTGATGCAAGAATTGTTCAGTGTTTTTTTCTGCAACAAGTGTGGCTGCAGTTGTCAATCCAATGGATGCCACCATTTGGCAAATCATGAGTATACTGCAGACAATGGGAACAATGTATGGAGGACCAGCAAATTTTGCAATTCGGTGTGTAAAAAATCCTTGTGCTATCAGCTAGGAGGTTAGGGAGTAACTGTCCAGGTAGAATGACACTCACCAAGCATTGCAATCAACCCATCAAAGAATGGTAATGCGGCAACTTCGGGTGTAAAAGCAAGGAAGACTGTGGGATCCCCATAACGAGATACAGTGAGATAGTAAAGCCCATAAAATTCACAAATGGTATGAGCCAATTCCAATAACCTAGGTGGGCATGAGACACAACAGATCTCAGCATGAAATGATACATACCACATGCCATCAACCTGCGTAAGAGTTAGGGTAGGCAACATTTTTGTCCACATTTCACAGGAAATTACTCACCAGGCCAAATTTCATCCAGCGTGGATCTTTTGGAAAATTTCTGTGATAGATATACACCTGCATTGTGAATATCCCAAACAAAACACCGGAGAGTAAGACACCAATCTCCGGGAAGCCTACACCAGCATCAAAGCTGAATAACACTTGAGCCAACAATAACAGTTTACATACCCAAGGTGGAATCTACTTTCTTGATCATACAGGGTGTGAAGTCAGAAGGGGTTGTAGTCAGCTCACAGAGGATTCCAGTATCCTTTATATGAGAGGTCCCTTTTACTGCGTTTGGAAGTCCAGAGAATAATAATTATTGATACAATGTTTATTTTGGGTTGTCCCTATCACAAATTTGACAGATCAGGAGACCATCAGGAGAGACCAAACTTACATTGGGTTTTCGCAGAGCAATAAATTTCCCAAAACTGTCCGGAGATTTCAAGAAAGACCCCTGTACAGCCAATTCCACCCCTCAAATATTCTGGGGCTCTTTGGAAGCCCTAGATTTTGACATGTTTCCATCTATCAATTCCATCTTACTTTCTCTATTTCTGTTCTTGTTTTGTTGACTGTCAATATTCAACAACACCAATTGGCAATGAGCGTTCCAGTTACTACAGAAGTGATAGTTCTGGATTGCAATATATTATGATTGATTCCCAATGTGTTGTAGAAAATGAGGATACATCCTTACGACCCAGTTCATAGTTGTTTTGTTCTGTTTCTCACATACTTTCCCTCTTTTGTTTGTCTGAGGTATGGTGCGAGTTTTTTGCAGTGCATGCGGTGGTATTATCATCATCATGATCTTGATGAACTGTCCATTGAACAGTGAGATAGATGAGGGCACCATGATCAAGAAGCCGAAAGCTGAATCTCCATATACGGTATATTGTGTGATGCACTACCTGTGCTGGAGAAGGAGAAACTATACTGAAGTAGACTTGTAGGTAGTGTGTTAGGAATATCATTAAGTTCGTGATCGGATGAAAGAATAAATCAATTAACGTAAAGAGAAGAGTTTCAGTATTCATCATAGTCTCTTCTCAGCAGGTCATGCACAGGACGCAAGATCTCGCGGAGACCCTGCAGATATTCAGCATATAAATTGAAATAACGGAAATAATTTTTGTCCTGACCTGAGATAAAGTTACTTGGTTGAGTAAAATTATGTATGATGAATCAATTAGTTGCATATAATGTCATTCTATTCCCATGTCTTCCACGATATTCAATGCATCAGGAGGAGTGTCTTAGTATAAGTTGATCCCAATTTTAGGCTCAAGTCTGAACTTTTTGAATGCCCACTCGCACCACCAATTGGGCGTTGACTTGAAAGTCCCGGGGCAAAAATACTATCCATACATCAGGAAGATTTTCTTCAACTTGTTAATCATACATGTCATGCAATGTATTTCAATGAATCAACAATGTGAGCCGAAGTCTTCCTGAGGGCTGAAATTAATATATCAGTGTGGAGCATGGGGTTCTCCAATTAGCAGGAACAAAGAGATTCATGATTCGAGTTGATCAGTTGACAGTAATCCAGGACACGATGATAAGATACCAAGATAGTATCCTCTTGAGTCTTGAGGCTGTCATGGAAATCGGAGCTGACTTGGACTAATATTAGCAAGACAAGTAAGAGAGATGGGAACACAAAGGAAATCAGAGAATTATATGACTCCGATTCACACAATGATAGCAAAATAAAACATGATAAGCTTGCCAAAAATGGTTGATATTGTTTGACATTGTATATGTGATGAATCATCTGCAGCTCGCCCACACATTCCAGATAGCCAGAAAAGTTCATATGCAAAATCTGGATGTTCACGAGAGCAAGGATACTAACTGGACAGTGTCAGCTGCTTTCGAGCTCTTACCCGAAAATACAGGTTTTACAGATGTTGCACAGCAGGATGTGTCAAGTATTCAAGATGATGATCATCTGTGCATCTGCAAAACCTGAATGTTTGCGAGAGCAAGGTTACTAGCTGGAGAGCGCTGTCCAGTGCTGAAAGCACTCCCAGCAGTTTTTAAGTACTGCTGGGAGTGCTTTCTCAGCTGGACAGTGCTGTCAACTGCTTTCGAGCTCTTAGCCAAAAATACAGGTTTTACAGATGTGGAAAGTGCAACTTGTGGTACATGTACATTTTGGCCACCAATGAAACCATACATTCTGGATCAAGTACTTACATACATATAACTAAAGTCACAACTTGAAATCTTACATTCTTGCAACTACTATCAATACATTAACCCCCCCTCCTACAGACCTCAAGCCACCACAAATCACTAGAGCCAGAGTGAATTTTTGTCCTACACTGTCCATCTCTGTTCGAGGCCACAGAGAAGTAGAGCTTGTCAGGACCATGCCTTGGCACGTTGTTCTGACTAGTTGAAGAGGAATGAGAACAAACATTCTGCTTTATGGTTGATGTAGGGTATAAATGTTCATAAATGAACAAAAGTGAAGTGAAGATGGAAAGAATATAAAAGTGGTTAATATCATCCACCATAAGAATGGAAAGTGCGACCACAACAAAAAATAATCATAAGTAGTAATCATTGATTGACTCAATGCTTATACTGTAAAATGATGGCCTTCCTCCGTCATTGGTTCACCATGCATAGAAACAGGCTTGGGCAAATTAATTTGTAGTTCTGAGGATCCTTGTGTAATTGTGGCGGAAGACTTGAATCCCAGCAAATGTAGGATTAATTATATAGATCAAAACAGGTCAGCACTCACTAGAGCTGTTACCATCTCACCAACCACAATTGTCTGCATGTTACGGAACTTCATCCTTGAATTTAAGCTGAATGCAATCCTCATTAGATCTCCAACATGAGACATTATTCTGATTAATGTACTTTGCCAACATTGCATTGGAAAAAACTATGGAGAATTTTAATTCATTTATACTGGGATATGATTTGTGAAGTAGTTTACCTTTGGGGAGAATGACATAAAATGCAACCCATAGGTCTATTTTCAGAGTTTAGGCAAGCCATAGAGTCTATGATAATGAAAACCAGCTTACAGTTGTTCACGTTTATCAAGAGCTAATCAATATTTGAAATTACAGCTGAATTTTGAGAAAATCAAAACAGCCCAATGCTTACACATATCATTAGAAGAATGTTGACCATGCTTTTTTGTAATAGTCAATTTCCAACTATGATTTGCAAGAAATACTACATACCTAGTCACAATTCCTGTTTCTGAAGATGATTTAAGCAGTATTTAGTAGAGAATAGATGTGCATGAATCAAGGAAGAGCTTTACCAATTGCCCATTGCATCAATTTGTCAACAATGATTATTGAACTTGTGGGTTGAGGAATTGATTGAGTTGTTGATATCTTTGGATGATATGATAATTCCCTCTCACCTATTAAGGGCATTGCGCCGGCTTTTTTGCAGATAGTATACAAGAACTGTAGAGATAACAATGTCTGTAGCAACCCGAATCACTACTGAAGTGATAATCATCCACTTGAATTGATGAAGGTATGATTCAAGGTTTTTTGTTGCAGTGACTGAGCATTCCACTGTCATTCCAATGTCATTCACGGAATGGCAAACCATGAGGATGCAACAGAGGATGGGAACAACATAGGGGGACCCGTCAATTTGGCAATCCGGTAGGTGAAATTTCCTTGTGCTGTTAGTTAGAAGGTTAATAGTGTTACAGCTCACTAGCTAGATGAAATATCCCTCACCAAGTGTTGCAATCAATGCATCAAACAATGTCACAGCCACAAATGGAATGGGATAAACAAGAAACACTGTGGGGTCCCCATAATGGGATACACTGAAATTATAAAGTGCATCAAATTCACAGATAGTATGAGCCAGCTCTAACAACCTATAGGGGCATACAATGACTTTCATGTTATGAGGTTGCATTAACAGACAGATGCAATCACACACCACATGCCATTAACCTGTACAACAAGCAATATGGAAATGATCTGTTATAATTTTGAGTGACCTACTCACCAAGCCATATTTAATCCAGCCTGGATCCTCAGAAAAACTTCTGTGATAGATGTAGACCTGCATTGTGAATATCCCAAATAAAATGCCAGAAACCAAGACACCAATATCTATGAACCCTAAATATATTATAGATGAATGACATTGGAGAACATAGATGATTCACTCACCCAAAGTAAAATCCACCTCCATTAGAGGTGCAAATGTGTAAGGGAATTGTGGTGAGCCTAAACATTTGAGTGAATCTCATTGCACCTTTATAGGAGGGGCCTACTTGACTACTCTTAAATGTGATACCAAGTTTGACACCGTAGTTACCCAAGGTCATAGCTCATCCTGAAACTGATAAATCAAGAGATTAAGAGATTGATGGTTTAGATATTAGATATATATTTGAGGAGTGAGTGAGGATCATTATTATTGTACTTGTGGCAAAGCTAGCAGATTCAAAGATTGCTTTTTGACTATTGAGATATTTTGAGGGTCTTTTCAATTCATGTCAGCTCAAATGTTTATCAACAATGACCATCCAGATGCAGGTGTTGTAGCTCCTGATTCTGAACCAGGTATATACTATATTATGATTGATTCTCAAGAGTGTTGCAGAAATAGGTGGTTTTGCCTCCAACCCTCTTCTGCAATTTTGTGTTCAATTTGGTATGCATTCTCTCTCTTTTGTGTATTTTTGGTAATATGTGGATTCTGTATCATCATAATTTTAATAAACTGTTCTCAAAACACCAAATGAGATACGGGCATTCTGATTACTGTGCAGTTTGCATAGGTCAGGTATCATCCTGAGTGCTAATGTGGGTTCAACAATGAAATCTACCCATGCTGCATGATTTTTAGGTTACAGGATTAGTATAGCAACTAGATTACAGCCTAACCAAATATCAGCCACCAAACATTGGTAAAAGGGTCATCCTATGTGTGATCTAGAAATAATCTGGAGAGTAATGATACAAGATAGCCTGATTCCACCATAGATTTGAATGAATCTATACATCTCCATCATCTACATACAGTGGAAATACTGGACTGGTTGGTACTAAAGGCAAGAATGAAAGGGACAGTAGTGAAGTTATCAACAACACTGATGTCACATCGCAAGTCCCCTGAACAGAGAGTGTACATCCTCCAAATGTCTACTTGCTGTACCACCACTACCACTGCCACTGCTCCTACCCGGCTCATGGAAACTCCTTTAGCACTGGCCTGTACTGACTCCAATGAGGAAAGGGAGCTTGAGTGGGAGAAGATCAAGCAACTCTGTTGACTGGGAGCAGAAGTTCCAAAAAGTCAAAGTCCATCTGACCTCAATAAACTGGGCAAGGAGCGTTGTGTTTTATGTTTGCACAAACCGGGACAACCACTTGTTGTGATGATCTATAACTTATAAAGTTTCTTTTGTGAAATGTTTATGGTTCAAAACAAAATCTAACACTAGAAACCCCCCTCACGGTGGGCTCCAAGTATGAAACGGGGACTAAGAACTGCCTCGAGTATGACGGGAGGTGTGAGGTCTCTAACTAGGAGAATATATGTATCTACCCAAGATCTGAAACTCAAGTATGCACCTTCAAAACAAAGAAACTATGCAGAGAAAATTTGGGATAAGTATTAGATAAAAGACAAATGAAAGGAAACCCTAAAAGCTAAATATTGCAGGAATAATGCTGGATCCAGGCCTGTGAGTCCAGGCACCACTAACCAGTCCGGTGCACCGACGTGTGCACAGGACTTGTCAAGTTCCATGCATGGAGCTCGACAATGTACTACATCTTTTTCAGAATGATTAACAATACTTTTATAACTGCAGTAACAACAATGTCTTAATAACCAGAACCAGCGTCTGGTACTGCCATATTTGGATCAACCAAACACATCCGAAGGGCTGGCCTCGTAAGCATCTTGAACAGGCTTCTTGACAGCGACATACCAGATTCCTGAGGTGTCGGAACCTGAACAGGGCGGGACATTGGCACGAAAGAGGCTGGAGTCTGCTGGAGTACGCGAAGAAGTGAAATCCGGCAATTTTCCCTTTTCGGTCATCTATGTATCATGTGATGTTAAGAGTTTCCCGGCCTCTTATCTTATCTTCGATAACTGTCTTAGCTCAATACGAGCGACATCAAATCCTGTCTCTCTTTCCTTTTGTCGCTGCAACCTCAGTAAAACTACTAAAATAATCGGAGGAGTAAAACCTTCTTGTCTGATCTGCGTACGGTCAAAAATGTTCTGAGTTTTGAGCGCCGCAACGAAATGTCCTGGCCTGTCCTGGCAATTTGATGTTAGAGGATGCTTGAAAGCAGGCAGACGATAAGTGTCCGAGAAGCCTGGACGAGCTAGAGTGTGATTGGTTCAGGTGAGTTGGCCTCAGTTCTTTCACCAATCTTTCACTCTCTTACTGCACTAGCCGCTCGTAGCTCGCACAAGAAGCCTTCGGATTCAACATCACCTGGATACATCACGTAGTTTTGAACAACAAATGCGGTCACCCTGGAATGACTAGTACTGGCTCTAGAGCCTGCATCGATGTCCATCTCTTAGACTAGTCCCACTTCTGAGCTGCTTCATCACTTCGGTCTTGTTAAACCGCTGCAACTAGATTCAGACAAAAATACCCTCCCGCACTGGGTTACCACCATGACAATGTTCATGGCTCGGAATCGCGTCCAAAGTGTTATCGAAAACGTGAAGAACACTCACACGAAGAAAGCAAAAGGGAAAAGATTGGGCGGGAGGTTCTCGGAGAACGGTGAAAGTGGGCACACCAGGACGAGGAACAAAGAAGATGCTACGGACGTTTCGAGGATCTATATATGAATTGGAACGGAATTTAGTATTCGTGAGTGGGTTTACCACTGGTCAAGTCATTATACATCAATTTTCAGCCCATTCTAGTTTATATGTGATAAACATAGTCCACAGGATACCGAATACATACTGTGCTCAGAACGCTGAATCTAAGTGACGCTTGACAACATCCCACTATTTGGTATCTGTGGGGACGACACATCAAATAATCAATGTCGGGCAATGTCACAATTTCCCCGAAGCTTATCACGGCTCTCATTTTATTCCGGTATCGCATCCATGTCTGCTTTCCATCGTGTTAATCTCTGCTTTTTGCTGTGTATACATTGCTTTTGTTATCTATCTCGGCCTAGTCCAACCACGTAACAACCTCAAGAGGAATCTTTTTGTTTTCTTCCCATTCAACTCGCTACCATCAGGGTACACCAAGCACTATTTGTTCTTTCTAATCGGAAATCCCCTGCTGACCTATCGACCCACATTCATTTTCATTCCCAGGATACCTTCGGCATACATTACAATACATTGCACAGTATGTATGGTTGATCAAGACCTTCCTAAAAGGTATTTTTCGCTGTCTAGGGAAAAAACAAATGACTCTTTGCATATAGGATATAATACCACTGCCGTGCAAAACGTCTGACCTTTCGACTTACTTCCTCCCTTCATGATCAATCACTTTGATATCCTCTCTCCCTCACCCCTCAACCGTCCTTGCGAACGTTTTCGTTCTCCCCTCCCTTTCAGATCTCACGGCTGAATTGGCATCCTACCATACCATTCCCTCTTCTCATACATAACCACGGGTATGTACTTAAGCACGATAACAGTACTAATCACTGATAATCACTGGCGCTTAGTTTATCTAGCGCGCTCACCCTGTCTCAACAATTCAATCATACACTAAACGCGAAATCAAGTGGTTCTCAACCCATCATGGGCGACAATTCTACTAGTACAACGGCACGTCCCTGTGAGCCTATGCTACGGGAATCATGCTAAGAACGACGAAAAGATACAACGGCCGACGCATCGCTTCTCAATCAACCATCGACTCGGATGTTCAACAGAACCTGCAGCATCTGCGGTCCTCTTCCCCTTCCTCCTGCGTCGCCCCGTTGTTAACAGGAAAGGTATTCATTGGAAAGCTCTGCTGCGGAGCAGGTCTGAATGCAAAGGGTGAGTCGTAATCAAATAGTTCAAAGCTCTGTGACTTACTCGTTGACAGTCATAGGATAACGCATCGAGCTTGACGGGTAAGCAGAGACTCGGCCTCGACCTCGCCGTGTCTCTGCACTTTCATTCCCCCCAATGCTTTGGAGGGCGATAATGTTCACCCCTTCTGGGGCGGGAGGCAACGCTGTGGCACTCGTTGACATCCAAACGGTAGTCAAAGGTGGTCTCGATCCAGAGGTAGGCTGCTGTAATGATTAAATTGTAAGCTGCTAAACTTACTGGTTAGAGTTTGCCACTGGGCTGTACTGGTAGGGTGACGCTTGACGTCGCCACGCCTCTTGGTTGTTGTTCTCTCCAATGTTTGGAAGAGGGATGGTGTTGACTCCTTGTGGAGTGGATGGGGTAAAGTGTACGACGCTGTTTTTGACGAACTGACCAGCATAGCTACCCAAAACCTCGAGTTAGTGTTATGCACACATTATTTGAGGCGAATGAGAGTCTCACACTGGACGTTGCCACGACGCTGCCGGATTTCCTTGGTGAGCACTGTTGCTCGACGCGCCAGCCAGGTAAATTCACTGAGGTCCACGATGGGCATTGGGATGGTCACCTTCCATAGGATTGTTCCGGAGGTTGAAGTTGTGGCGCCTCGATGTAGCCCCTATTGCCCGTCGTGTTAGGGGCAGGTTGGGATTGCGGGCTGTTAGCAATGTGAGTAAACTTGGCTAGCTTGATCGTATTCCATTCTGAGTATTGCCTTGCATAGAGACTACGTGTATCTTCAGGATGTGGCGCTCCCCTGCTACTAGTAGTCGATCGGGGATTTCTCGTAGCTTCATGCGAATAGACGGTGGATTCTTCTTCGAATCTCACTCGTCCTTGAGTAGTTTGGTTGGTTTGGTAGTTGTTCGATGAGTTTCTGTTTGTGCTCGACATTTGATGAAAACTCAATGATTATTCTGAAGTAAAGAACTGAAATCCACACAACTCCATTTTTATACCGACCGAGAATCCCAAAACAGCATTGTCTGCACAAGGCGCAACGAGTCAGCCCAAAAATGCGGGATCTGTCAGAGTCAGAATAGTCCCTTGTATTTTTTTGAATTAGAAATTTGGGCCAATGAAAGCCTCGAGGCTCGTGTTTTCATTTTTTGTGATGATTCAACTATTTCTACACTTCTTCCCAAGTTTAATTTCAAATTCTTCAGCTCTCCTGTTGCTCGACTATCCTCAGCATCAATAATACCTTACCCCACCGAATTTCCTGCTTCGAGAATACAAATTCTATGTTACCGGAAATTTCATGTTGCCCAGTTCGTGTTCAATCAATTTTTGAAGTTTCTGAAGAAAATACCTAGATTATTGGATCTCCCTAGATCTTCGAAGCAAGAACAAGGTCGTTAAGCAATATTTCCTTCCTTGTAACCATGAGTCATGACATTTCATGGATTTACTGCAAATCTTTGTGAATTCATGTGACAGGTACTACATACAGCTTTGATTTGTTACATTGGCTGTAGTTTTCCGCTCATTCTTGTTTTGTAATGGACCACGGAGGATTTTCCTCCAATCAATTAAGTATGTCAAGGTGCATATGAAACAGCAATGCAGCAGTTTGCGTCTACACTATAGGGTGTTTGTGAAGATTTTTATTGCTGTTGAAGTCAACTTGTATTATTTACAAAATCTCTACCCTTGGCATCCAAAACTCTGAGTTGCAAACATGATCTTCATCCCCTAGTTCCTTGTTCTCCAAGAGCAAGTCGGAGAGCTTCGAGCAGGATTCAACATTCTGAGCACTCACCACGTGTCCGTGTTCAATGTCGTCACGTTTTGATCTATTCGTTTTCATAATCAGTTCTTCTTCGCACTCTCCAAACAGCAACGTCAGTTCCGAACCTTCATGAGTACAACGATCTCCTTGGCCCAGCTCACTCCTCAACGCCTCAAGCTCGAAGGCTTGCGACCTATCGACGCTCTACCAGATTCTACTCTACCAACACGGCTTGGCAGACATGACCGCGTACAGATGAGGTGTGGGTATGAAGGTTTGACGGTGCGTTTAGAGGACAGGATGAGGGTCTATCAAAGTCAGATACACATGTACGCTTTCCTTTGCAGTAATTCTCTGCTTTGAACCATTGTATTTACCACTAATTTTCCGTTGTCTCATCTTATCAGCCCTCCGAACCTCTCGGTATTTATCATCACTCCACATTCTCCAGTGGACTCTCACTACTCTGCTCTCACCTCCAATTGCATACTATACCGCTTCTTCCATTATCTCCCACCTCCCTCGCTTCTATGATCCCACCGGCTATGATCCCACCGGCTCGACGCCAACACCGAATCTCTGTCTGCATCGTCGACATCCCTGGATCGAACCACAATAATGACGAGCACATCCTACGACGTCCAGACGTTTCCGATTTGAGTTGCAATACAAAGATATGGTTTAGTAGCATTAGGAGTGTGTTGATTTCAAAGGTGAGTTATTGAGTCTTTCATTTCCACTATCAGCTACCTCAACGCTGAAGACAGACACCAAAAGAGCTTTCAAGAGCACTGGGCCCAAAACTAAGATGAGCATCGATTTGAAATGGAAGACTGGGTACTTCCGGGTGGAATTAAAACGGTAACCACTTGACACTTTACGGGTTCTGATGTTCTTTTTATCTTGTGTTGCAGGTATGGTCTTTGAGCTAATAGATCACAGTAGCATATCCCTTTTTTCAATGCTTCCTGCGGCTCTTGTGTGTGGCTGATCCCATCCCAGTATACGACGCCGTCCGAAACACTGCTTCCACATGGTGAGTACCAGCAACCACTCCGGTCACTGAAAATATCCACTATTCACTAGATCACATTCATTTAGCTTGTTCACTTGCCTGAGCCCTCAACTAACAACAGCCTGAGGTGATCACCAACTTTGTTTGCCAGTACAGTCCACCAATTCTAGTGGCACCTGAGGAGCAATCTTATGTCTAAATACTTCATTTTTCTTGACAGTGCTGACTCTTTTTACATTATTATGGCCTCTGTTACTTCTCCCTTTCTCTTTCCCCTCTTCCTCCTTGCTTGCTTATCTGCCCCCTCTCATGCTATTCCTTTCAAGCAACATATCATGACAACCACACACAATTTCAAAGACTTGACAGGCTCTATTGGTGGGTATGCATCTAAAAATTAGGACAATGGTGTCTCATCCCTACTTCCTCCTGCAATTGTTACTTCTAATGTCCAATTGTGCCATGTGTGTTTTTGCAAAAATCTCGGCATCGAAAAAGGCCCTTTTCTTGTCAGTCTTAAGTTATACAATTTTACCACAAGCAAGCCAATCTAAACTGTGAATGAAATAGATGATGGAATTTCAGGTAAATGCATCATAATTGATACTCACATTTTCGCTGATTCAAACTTCACTCCTCTCTATAGAGAACTACAACAAGCAAGTTCTGGCTCCAGATTTTCATCCATATCTGAGTACCACCTGTCACCAACAATGTTCATGATTGGCACTATTCACCTCACTACTCTACATCATGTGTAGACAATATTGTGCACCCCAAACTCTAATAGGTATCTTGTTTTCCCCCAGCTCTTTTTGGTTGGGGATTTTTTGTTACCATTATGCAATGTTGTTGCAATTTCTTGTATGCTCTGAAAATGCACTGTTCGGATACTACTTAGTAGCAAACAATCTCTCATATTTTCTTGCAATACCTGAGCAGGCAAGGCATCCTTCTTATAGCAAATATGTTCAATGACCATATTTTGCTGGTCAATGTTAAGATCATGTACACCGTGTAACCGTGCCAAGGCCACAGAGTGTCTAAGTGCGGAAGACGAATGGGACAGTAGTGAAGTTATTAACAACACCGCCGTTACGCCGTTAGTCCCCGGAGAGCGAGAGTAGAGAGAGAGGAGCTAAGTAGCAGCCAGGTCGGAGCGGCGGTATCGCCGATGACGAGGAGCGGACCAGAGAACGTCAAAGTCCTAAGGTCGAGGAGAACGTACTTCGAGGCGTTGAGCCTGAAGACTTAGAGAAGAGTTAAGTTGAGAAGGGAGATCTAGGTTGATCTAAGTTGATAATTAAACTGAGGAACTACAGTAGCGTACAGGCAGTATTTATATCTACGGAGCGGCGCATCGGTGCGGAGCGCCAGACTAACTACTAGGAGCTATACGAGTAGTACCTGCAGGGTAGAGTAAAAGACAATAAGGAGAGACTAGAACGAAAGAGTAAAGACAATAATGAGAGACTAGGACGAAAGGATATGTGTAGTGAGAAAGAACAATAGGAAGAGATTACAATAAAAGCAGATCTTCGGGATACCGAGCGGCGGAATGGAGGCCCGCGGCATGGACTTGACAGTATCCCCCTCTTAGGCTTGAGCCCTCGAAAGCCATTAATACCGGGAGTTGGTTAGTCACCAAAGAAAAATTTTAAAGGCCGTCAGCATCGGGGATTTGGCCCATCAGTCAGCAGGAAAATTTTCGAAAGCCGTTGGTACCGGGAATTGGCGTTAGTCATCAGTGAAAATTTTCGGTTCACCGTACACCAAGTACAATTCGAAGGAAAATTTTCGCTGGTCCGTGCGCAGTTTTGCCGTATAAAAGGCCCCGAGTTTCGCCGATAAGACCCAAGTTTCCAAAATCTTCTAAGTCAAAAGATGTCCGCTAGCCGCACCACCACTACCACCGTTACTTCTGCTACTACCGCTGGGCCTTCGAGGTCCCGAACGACAAATCCGCCACCCGCCGACACTGTAGACAACGACGAGGAAGAGTTGGAAGAAGACAATGATGAGGCCATCCGGCAGGCGGAGGAGAAGGTCCGCAGGATGAAGGCGAGAAAAGCGGCGGCGGCGGCGAAAAAGAAGGCCGAGGAAGAGGCAGCTAGGAAAGCTGCTGAGGAGGCGCAGAGGCAGAAGGAGGCGGCAGCGCGGGAGTTAGAGGAGCGTCGGAGGGTAATGGCGGCGGCGGCCACTGCTCGAAGTCAGCGGGGTTCCTCCCCAGGTGAGACTTCGGCCTCCAATCGGCGTCCCGTGGTGGAAATTAGGCAGAGGAAGGACAAGGCGAAGGCCAAGACCAAGGCCCAGGTGAGTACTGCAAAACTCTGGTTACCGCTTATCTGCTAACCTTTCCATTTATAGCCTGTCGGTGAGGACCCCGATGACGGCGGCGACGGGGATGACGACGACGACGATGACGATGACAGGACTCCCTGCGAACGATGCAGGAGCAAAAAGATCTCTTGTCAGATGCAGGCTGGCAAGAGGAGTTCTATCATCTGCAAACCCTGCCACGACGCAAAGGTGCGGTGCTCGTATTCCGGGCGGCCCTCGACGGTGAAGCGAGAGGGAGGAGGGAATCCGTCCAACGAGCGCCTGGCGGTTCTGGAGAGCCAGGTGGCTCAATTGCTCGCCGATAACCGACAACTTCGAGATGGCCAGGTGAAGGCGAACACCTACCATCGCCACATGAACCGGAAGTTGGACTGGCTGGTCACGGAGGCTTCAAGGAGGAGGAGGACACCACCAGAATTGCCGGAGGCCGGGCCGTCGGTTTTACCGAGAAAACGAAGAAGACTAGCGGATAGCGACGAGGAAGAGGAACAGGGAAGGGTAGAGGAGGATGGAGAAGGAGACGAGGAGGTAGAGGAAGAGGAAGGGGGAGAACCGGCGCCGACGAAGGCCCGGTCGGAGAAAGGAAAGGAGAGGGCGGAGTAGTGTAGCATCGGACATCGGACATCGGCCTTCCGGCCTTCTTCTTGTAATCTTCTTGTAACCCTGCCCGCTTTGTATAGTTTTGTTTTTTGGACTTGTGTATATAAAAAAATATGTTAACTCGATTTTGAAATCAGAAGGCGAATGGGCCGCGAAGCGGCGGAAGAATTAATTAGTTCGAAGTGTAAGTAGTTGTAAATGTAAATGAAATATAATGAAAAATACATTGAAGGGAAAGTAAGCAATTAAGAGAAAGAGATAAACACTCAATTTACTATCATCGTGTTTATCCTCTAAACGCACAAAGTAAACTTCGGCGGAGCACGGCGGAAACGGGGGAAAGGAAATAAAATGTTTTTGTGTGATCAGGGTCCAGGTTTCAAAGGGTATCGAGCGTGGAATGCGGGTACCAGTTCATCCGCATGTAATTCATCAGCAGCAACCCAGGAGAATTCATCGTCGGTACCTTCGTAACCGGCCCACCGAATATAATAACGTAGAGGACAACGCTTATACCTTCTGTCCAGCTTGGAGTCCAGGATTTCGGCCACGTTGTACTCCTCTTCACCATCAACTTCGATTGGAGGTGGAGGAGATTGAGTACGATTCGGGAATGGATTCGGCGTAACCGGCTCCAGCTGTGAGACGTGGAAAACCGGATGAATGCGGCGAAGGTAGTCTGGGAGCTTGAGCTCATAAGACAAAGTACCAGGTCGACTGATGACCTTGAAAGGACCAAGATATTTTTCTGAGAATTTTTCAGTAGGACGAGTAGAACGAATGTGCTTAGCAAGAACGAATACTTCGGAGCCGATCGGGAACTCCGGGTGCGAGATTCTTTTCCTGTCAGCTTGTTCCTTGTAACGAGATTGAGCTAAAAGGATTTCCTCTCGAAGGAAGAAGTGGAGTTCATCGAGATTGACGACGAAGTCTCTAGCTAGATCAGACTTCATATCAACCTCGGGCCGAACGGTGATATTTGGGTGGTATCCTTTGTTAGCGAAGAATGGAGTAATACCAGTGGAAGCATTGGGAGCGTTGTTATAGGCGAACTCGGCGATCGGGAGTAAAGGCGACCAGTCATCTTGTTGGTAGGAACAGTAGATCCTGATGTACTGCTCGAGAGTCTGATTGACACGCTCAGTTTGCCCATCGGCTTCCGGATGGTAACCAGAGGTATAGTGAAGTTCCATGGAAAGCGCTTTACCGAGAGCCCGGAAAAACGCCGAAACAAATTCGGAACCACGATCAGAAGTGACATGATTAGGAACACCATGCTTAGAGAAAACGTGAATAACAAAAAGCTCAGCTAGTTGTTCGGAAGTAATGGTGTCGTGAGTTGGAATAAATATAGCTTGTTTGGAAGATCGATCCACGACTGTATAACCATTCGACATTGGCAGTTGTTCAATGAAGTCCATGGAGATGGAATCCCATGGTCGGACCGGAACCGGCAGAGGTTTCAACAAGCCGTAAGGCCGATGACGGCGGGGCTTATTGCGACCACAGATAGTGCAGGAAGTAACGTAGTCACGAACAAAGTCTCTGACCTTGGGCCAGGTGTATTGACGACGTACAGCTTCGAGAGTGCGGTTCTGGCCGAAATGGCCTGAGAGTGGATGATCATGGAAATAGCGAAGGACTTGAAGGCGAAGATCGCCGTGATTAGGAACATAAATACGGTCATCAAGGCGTAGTAGCTTGTCGCTACCTAAGCTCCAACGTTCATTGGAAGGATCTTTAGCAAGTTCCAGACCAGCAACAGAGCTCGGGTCGGCGGGAAGGGCGAGGATGATGGCTTGGTGCAGGGCTTCGATATCCATGATAATCGAGGCTCGTAAAACCGGACCTTCCAGGAAGGTAGCTCGAAGGGACGCAGTGAGTTGTTCGTTAGTAAAGATAGGGCAAAAGTTATGAGGGTTCACTTGGGCGTAGCCGATATCCCCCTCTTTAGGGTAGACGTCCCAGCGTCTAGTTATCGAATCGGGTTTCTCGCCGAGTTTCCCCGGTCGGAAGCGAATGACCATATTAAATTGATGTAAAAATTCTGACCATCGGACCTGTCGGCGTGTGAGAACCTTGGTAGTAGAGAAATACTCAAGATTCTTGTGATCGGTGACGACGTCCACCGGATCACCTGAGCCTTCCAGATAATGACGCCAAGCTTTAAAGGCCTCGAAGATGGCCAGTAGCTCTTTGTCGTGGGTATCGTAGTTGAGTTCCGCCGCGTGAAGCGTTCTGGAAAGGAAGGCTAGAGGATGAATTTCACCGTCAGCATATTGGATGGAAAGAATAGCCGCAATGGCGTAATCGGAAGCGTCGGTCTCCACGATAAGTGGGCGATTCGGCTCCCAATGGGCCAGTATTGGCGCAGAAGTGAAAGCGATTTTCAGATTTTCGAAGGCCTCTTGACAGCTGCTGTCCCAGATCCAGGACGCGCCTTTTCGGGTAAGCCGAGTCATCGGCACAACGATATCACTGTAATTATAAATAAAACGACGATAGAAGTTTGCAAAACCCAGGAAGGACTGAATGTCCTTAACCTTCCTCGGAACCGGCCACTCTAGAACGGTCTGAACTTTCTCCTTGGACATAGTCAATCCGTCGGGAGAAAGAATATAACCCAAATACTCAACAGTATCCATATTGAATTCGCACTTGTCGGGGTTGGCGTAAAGCCGATGTTTCCGTAACCGCCGAAGAACCTCCTTGACGTGTTCTCGGTGTTCTTCTGGCGTATCAGAGTAGATTAGAATATCGTCAAGATAGACAATAACACAGACATCGAGCATGTCAGAGAAGATGTCATTAACAAACCGCTGGAAAGCCGCAGGGGCGTTCGTAAGGCCGAACGGCATGACCTTCCATTCGTAAGAGCCGTAGCGGGTCCGAAAGGTGGTTTTCCATTCGTCACCTTCAGCGATTCTGACTAGATGATAAGCGTGAGCGAGATCCAATTTGGTGTATATTTTAGCTCTTTTCGGAGCGTCGAGAAGATCTGATATGAGTGGGAGTGGGTAACGATCCTTTTTGGTGATACAATTGAGTCCACGGAAATCGACGCAAAGGCGAAGTTTGCCGTCTTTCTTCGGGACAAAAAGGACCGGAGCGCCGTGAGGAGAGGATGATGGGGTGATGGCACCAGTAGCCAGCTGTTTGTCAATAAAGTCTTTAAGGGCGATTAACTCCTTTTCAGACAAAGGATAAATACGGCCGAGAGGCGGCGAAGCGCCTTCTTCCAAGTCAATCTTCAGGTCGTAAGGTCTATGTTCAGGAAGTGAATCTGCAGCAATCTCGTCGAAGACGTCTGCAAACTCCGCGTACTCTTCTGGGATAGAAGGATGGAGTGGAGGGACAGTAGGAGTGGCGGAAGAGCGGTCGGCGGCGCGGGCCGCGACCTCTGAGTGGATAGCACGAAGTAGAATCGGTTCCATACCAGCGTCCTTGCAAGCCCTGTTAAAGACTGCAGCACTGACGAGTGCAATGTCGACCTCGGGAGTTTCCAGTTGAGCAGCGAATTGAGAGACCGTAGGGTAAGAATAGATGGGTTCAAAGGGGAATTTGGACGAAAGGGGCTTGGCCCGTAAAGTCCGAGAGCGGGAGCGAGAGCGAGAGCGAGGTGAGTCCCCAGGAGGGGTCTCCAGAATTGTCGGTGAAACCGACGGCGAAGGTTCCGGTAGCGGAACAGCGACCTTTGCAACAACAGTGTTGATAGCAGAAGGCACAGACGTCTGTGGAGAATCAAAGTGTGAAGTGTTACGGAACGTAATGTTTCGAGATGCCCAGTCAATCAACGGATTGTAGCGGGATAAGAAACTGTAACCTAGTACTGCTTTACAGGATGAATCTAAATGAGTAACATAAAAGGGTAAGAGAAGCAGCTCGCCGGAAGGGAACCGAACGGCGATATTCGCCATATCGGTAATGGGTTTAGAAGATAATGAACCATCAAAGAGACGAAGATTAACAGGAGAGATTTTGGTCGTAGGAATAGAATTTTGTGAAACATAACGAGTATCAATGAAAGAGTCAGTAGAACCAGAATCAACAAGAGTAGGAAATTTGAGAAGGGCAGAGATAGGTTCGGCCGGCGCGGCCGAATCGGACAAAGGAAATTCAGTAGTCAATGATATTACAAGAGATCGTTCAATGGAAGAAAGAGCGGACGCGTTGAGATATAACTCCCCAGGTGAGGTACGAACCTGATCAACGCAGCTCCCGTTTCGTACCGGGGAACAAGAGCTGCGGATTAGTTTTCCGAATCCTCTTCAACAACCTCAATGGTTGCTTCGGGGGTTTCTTCAACCTCGGCAGCGCGGCCCTTCGATTCTCGGGCCTTTCGCTTATTGCAGTCAGCAATCTGATGCTTACCACCGCAGAAGAGACAAAGGTTGTTCTTCATCCTTCTTTCCCGTTCGGAGGGAAGTACTTTACCATCTGCTCCTAGATGGTTGAACGCGGGGCGCTGACCGCCGGATTGGCCGGAATTCGAAGAGTTCTGGGGCTTACCATTGTTGTTAGGCTTACCACCAGAGAAGGGTTTAGGTTTCGGCGTGAGCGGCGCCGAAGAGCCCGAAGGCTGAGAATTGTTTTGCTGGTTAGTAGAACCAGTCTTGAAGTCCGAGGAACCCTTCTTCGGGTTCCGAGCAATAAAAGGCTTACCAGCCTCACGCTTTCTAGTTTCCTCGCGTTTCCAATAACGATTGTCAATACGAAGAACTTCTTGACGATAATCGGCGAGCGTCGCCGGCTCGGGCAAACGCGCCATTTCGTCCTTGATGCGCTCAGCTAAGCCTCGTCCATAAGCCCATTTCAGGGCAGCAGAATCCCAGTTGGTACTAGCAGCCAGGGTGTTGAACCGGATGTTGTATTTCCGGATGTTCTCGGTTTCCTTCATCTTCAGATTACCGAGAGAATCTTCGGCCTCGCCTTGGGCGTCGTAAACGCCGAAATTATCCTGAAGCTCCTTTACAAGGGCTTTGAAGGAGGATGTCCAGGCCGGCAGCGAGTCGAGATCCGGGTCGAGGATATCAGGGACAAACCATTCTTTGGCTGACCCACTGAGATAGGAAAGGGTGTAGTTCACCTTCCTTTGGTCGGTGAAGTACTTTGGTCGGTCATTGAAGACCAGGGCGAGATTGACGAAGAACGTCTTGAGTTTTCGGGGGTCCGAACCGTCGAATACCTCGGGCTCCTTGACTTTGCTCTTGGATTCAGAGCTGTCAGAGGGACGGCCGAGAGCGGCGAGGACGGTGCCAAGGGTCTCAATGGAGCCCTTGAATCCCGAGAGGAGTTCCAACATAGCACGTTGCTCGTTGGGGATGTCAGGAGATATGGGAGAGCGAGGTCCACCAGGTCCACCAGGACCGCCGGGACCACCGGGACCACCAGGACCACCAGGTCCACTGGGGTCACCAGGCTCACCACGCGGTAAACCGCCGGAATCGTCATCCAGATCGTCGTTATTGTTGTCGGCACCCGGATCGTCGGGGTCGACAGGAGGGTCTTGATCGTCGTGATCACCGGTGTCCAAATCGAAGTGAGGAGGTGGGTCACGAGGAGATTCAGAAGCAGCTCGACGTTGGGGTTGTTTTCCCGTACGGCGGGCTATGGCTTGGAGAATTGGAGAATCAATTCGAGTAGTTGACCGGCCCCGAGCCGGAGCGACCACGGGGGGTTGTCCACGGCAAGGGGTCAGGACTTGGACAGGTTGTCCGTCACCAGTGTACAAGGTGCTGTATTCGAATTGTTGTTCTTCTTCCATGGCTTCAGGAAGAGTCGACGTAGTAGGAACTGTGGCTGGACCGAAACCGCGATTACGGCGACGTGGTTGACCGATAGCAGAGATAGAGTCGGAGAATGGGGCAAATGATTGAGCTGTAGTGAAGAAAGTGTTTTCTTCGGAGTTAGCTCTAGATTGAGCTCGAGTTTTCGGAGGCATAAAAAAATGATATGTCAGTACGACGTTAACGGATTGAGTTTAATTATACTGTTAAGATCATGTACACCGTGTAACCGTGCCAAGGCCACAGAGTGTCTAAGTGCGGAAGACGAATGGGACAGTAGTGAAGTTATTAACAACACCGCCGTTACGCCGTTAGTCCCCGGAGAGCGAGAGTAGAGAGAGAGGAGCTAAGTAGCAGCCAGGTCGGAGCGGCGGTATCGCCGATGACGAGGAGCGGACCAGAGAACGTCAAAGTCCTAAGGTCGAGGAGAACGTACTTCGAGGCGTTGAGCCTGAAGACTTAGAGAAGAGTTAAGTTGAGAAGGGAGATCTAGGTTGATCTAAGTTGATAATTAAACTGAGGAACTACAGTAGCGTACAGGCAGTATTTATATCTACGGAGCGGCGCATCGGTGCGGAGCGCCAGACTAACTACTAGGAGCTATACGAGTAGTACCTGCAGGGTAGAGTAAAAGACAATAAGGAGAGACTAGAACGAAAGAGTAAAGACAATAATGAGAGACTAGGACGAAAGGATATGTGTAGTGAGAAAGAACAATAGGAAGAGATTACAATAAAAGCAGATCTTCGGGATACCGAGCGGCGGAATGGAGGCCCGCGGCATGGACTTGACAGTCAAACAACAAGAACATCCTTTACATATGGAAGGGGGACGCAGTCTCCATTTCCTCAGCCTTATTCCTGTGAGACATATTCATGAAGATGGTCAGATATCATGAGGCTTGAATCTTGAGCAACCTTTGTTTTTTATCTTCTCAATGGGTTTTTGGAAAGATCAATCCCGCTACTTTATCGAGTATATAAATATCGGATACACATCACTATTTCAAAAAACACAGCATGAATACAGATACTAGTAGAAACATTTGCAATATATACTCAATGAAAAACATCATTGACAAGGAATTGGAAGATTTAATACCTCGATCATTCCATGTCCTGGTTCCACCTTCACTTAATTATCATCGGAGCAAGTAGCAATAGCAGGGTTCACATCCCCCTCATTATTGAAGCCATCGGGGAAGAGATCACTGGAAGCTGCACATAAGTATATCCGAGTCAGCATACTTATATCGGAGCTGAGGTATGTGATGTATATGTGCACTCACGGTAAAACTACCAAGGAAAGAAAGATTGTACAATCTCAGTTTTGAGCCAGAGAATGAAGAATAAGCACTCACCACGCCGATGAGTTTCGTGGAGTCCTTCTGATCATAATAAAGGATCCTATCAGTATTGTAGTTTGTAATAGCAAGTGTGTTATAATTCAGATCTTTGATATTCTGGAAATGAAATGCCCCGTCGATATCTATGCAAAGAATTTTATAATATTTCAATGGTATAAGTGTATGTGAAGAAATGCAACTCACGAAGTGCATGCGTGAAGCTCGAACTGTCGGGAAGATTGAATGTCAGGTTTTTCCCGATAGCATGCGCGGATAGCTTGATGGTAGGATCATTGGTGAGCTTAGAGACCGTGGCAGAGGAAATTCCAGTGCTGAGTTTGCGCCAGAGCCCAGAGCCAGTGTCAGCTGGAATATTCTCAATGGGGATTTTGGCCTATGATATCAAATTCCGCATGTGTGAGATAGAAATGTTACATTAGCAGAAGGGGCCCTACCGTATCTTTTGTAAGAAACTACATCATCATACAGACACAGTGCAGTAAGTCATGGGTATGTATACAATTTGACATGTAGAAAAACGCATACCTGAGCAAATGGTTTGATGCCAGGAGTGTTCGGGTCGCGTCCAAAGAAGTCGATACGGATAGCCATGGGACTCTCATCATTTGTATATACCCGGTAGTAGACAGTGTCTCCACTATCCGTGTCCAAGTCTTGAGGGGTCCCATAAAAAAGCCACCCTTCAGGATCTACGTAATTCCAATATTGAGCAATCAGTAAGATGCAAAGCAAGTAACGGAAAACAAACCTCTCCCAAACTGGATATTATCCACAAACTCTCGCATGATTTCGGTAGCCTCAATGCGGAGGCCGGTATCATTGCTGTTTTTACCCCAGTAGAAAAGAGCAGCAGCCGGGCAGAAGTTGTCCCACTGGTTAATGAGGGCAGCAATTTCTTCCGCAAAGGTGTTGTCGAAGGTCCACATTTTGTATGAGCTCGAAGGAATTCAGGCTGGTGAGGAAATAACCATGCAAAACTCTTTCTCTTTTAAACCCCAGGCTGCAGGACTTTCCTCATAATTCTCCGACTTGAATTCTACTTACAGAGATAAAAATCCCACTATCTTGAAAGACAAGTAGAATGTAACTGTGAATACATTGTGAACATATATCAAAAGTTGTGTATTGAATGGTGCGGACCTTACTATCAGAGTGACGTTGTTCAATCAGGAATGTGGTCAGGAGGATACCACAATTGAATTCATTGCGCTTTTAGCAAATCCTTTCGCATCTGCTGGTTCTGTGTGATCTAGAGTTTCTTGCAATCTAACGTAGGTGTTGCCAGTCAATGGTAGACGGGTAACACGAAAAAGATCTTCGACCATTGATGATATTCACCAGAAAAAAATTGTGAGCTCGGAGAATATACACCTCCTTCAATGTGCATGAGAAGGACAGAATCATTATAAAAACAGGGAATTCAGTGTTCCCCACAGAGCCAACAAGCTCCGACAATATATCTCCGAATGTCAATCATCCTGGCTATGCGTTATGACCGATGATGTGGTGTGAGTCATGTACATCATCCAGAGGGTGGAATAATTACCAAAAATATCGTTTCTATGGTTAGATGACAGGTCCTAGTGCATACTGCAGTGCACGACAGATGTCCCGACAAGAAAACACCGGCACCTGAGAGCCTCTGACTTGAATAATCATCCTGTCGATCAAGCAGCTAGATTGTATTTGCAACGAAATTTAGATTGAACATACCTATCTCAAAGTGCAATGTGGACCATAAAAAACGCCGCTTCCGTTGTCCTCCTCGCCCTACCGCAATCACGATTAATGAAGCACCAAGTATTATTCAATGACTCATATTGACTGTAGATCCTGCGAGTATAATGGACGGAACTGCTAGTGAATGACCGTCACTTGGACAACGATAAATGAAAAGACGGTAAGCCACAATAGTCACAACAAGAACATAAAAAAACTCGGATGCACCCGTCCTCTACATATTCCGCTACTTCAAATTCTGCTCAGTCACGACGGTTGTTCTTATAGCAGCCTCCCCCATCGTTGTGCAGACGCCGAGGCAAAATTTAGATCTGAAAAGATGGCAAGTCCTGGCCAAGCTAAGTACCACAAACAGCCATGGTGGAAAGTAGAAGGAGTGTGAGTGTGGGTGAGTTGGGGGCCTGTGAGGAATCTTGATACCTGACCGGACGAGGTAAATCTAAGATGAGTGCTGCCAAAAACGGGTGGTAAATGTAGATGATGTCGTTTCATCCAACGACTCGGTCAAATTCAGAAAAGATGCAAGCACAAAGGCTGCCATTAACATACAGGTTTTCACCAAAATCAGGCCCGGGATGCCAGGAGTACTAGTACTTTTCCGTGCCAGTTTTCAAGGAAATCGATAACACACGTCAACGCGAATTCATTCTTTGCGCCACTGATGTATATGCACCCCCCTCCTCTGGCACCAGTAGAATAAAAACCAGGAAAAATAGCCTAAGAATGAACAGAATAGATAAATAGTTAAATTGATATTGGATAAATATGAAAACCAGGTGAAAGACTCAGTCTTAGAATGAAAATGGAAGATGTTGGATAGAACGACGGAAGGCTGAAAGGAGGAGGTGTCGGCAAAGAATATTTAAAGGAAAACTGCCCGCGAATTTGGAATGTTCAGACGGTAGTGAGTTTGAAAGTTGGAACAACGAAAAAGAACAAAGGGTGAATTGAAAGGGTGAACGAATCCGGTTCTGGTCCATTCAAGCTCAAAGTCTCATAAGGTGAGCTCGCGTCCCTATTCCTTTCCCACTCAAGGCAACCCCAAAGGCCCGATATGATTTTTCTCTCCATCGTGATCAATGATTCGACCGAGGCATGTTATACACAAGCCATCACCATCTGAATCAGAGTCGCGAGCGAATTTGTGGTGGGATGATCTGTAGTGGTGGAGAGTGAGTACGGAACGAACGATATGAACGCGTATGAGAGGTTGAAGAAAGGTATAGGAGATGGAGATGATGGGTGAGAAGAAGGTACATAATCAAGCCAAAATCAACAGCAAGTAACAAGAGAATGATGAGAGGACGAAACGGACCGAGATCAAACGACACGAACGACTCAACGAATGATATTGCAACGGTTAAAAAATAAGCCATTTATGAAACGAGACGGAAAGAACGACGATATAACATGAACCACCCACCCAGAAACTGGACTGGCGACAGTCAACTGCGCGAGAACGACGGAGACCAAGGCGAATTCGAATAAACGGGTCCAACGAGCCATTGATCAGCCTGGTAGCGTTGATGGTGATGTGGAATTGGAAAGATCGATTGTGAGGACACGGGATTGAAGCAGTAAGTCGCGGTCTCGAAATCGAAACTGACTAGAAGGCTACCGAGGGTAATGGCTGTGGTACAAGGTAGTGACCAGGTGGTAGGTGTTGAGCAGGCAAGGAGTGCGTAGTGGGAACACTCTCCAGTACCATACCTGGTAGTAGAGCTTAGTGTCTCAGTGAGGCAATAAAAGTAAGAGAGAAGCGAGTTGGATTCCAGTACAGGATATGGCCTGTTTATATACATAACTGTATGACAGTATTACATAAGGAAGTACTGAGGAATCCGCATATAGTAAATGACTAGATATGACTACATATGACATATTATAACACATGATCATAATAGTGGCATGTGAACAGCATAGCCGCGTTCAACACACCCCCTTGCTGAGCAGCACAGTAAAGTACTTTGCTCAAAGCAATAGCGGTAGGCGTCAGACAGGACAGACAGCCTAAGGATTGGTGGACGAGTAGAACTCAAGTCCAAGCATTGAGCGGAACAGCTCAAATTTGATATGCCCAAGATTCTTTGTGAAAAGATCTGCAGGGTTGTTACTGCCATCTACGAAGAATACTTGCACAAGGCCACGTTCGACAACTTCACGGATATAATGATACCGGATGTCAATGTGTTTCGAGTGTTTGCTAGTGACAGGATTTGATGCCATGAAAATGGATCCTTGATTGTCTCCAGCAATAGGAATAGCGTCAAGTTTATAGCCTAGTTCTTCAAGTAGATTACGGATCCAAACCACTTGACGGCTGCAATCAGACAATGCCATATACTCAGCCTCTGTAGACGAGTGAGCAATTGTCTTCTGCGCATGGCTGGTCCAAGAGAAGATGCCATTGGCAAGCTTCATGAAAAATCCAGTCTGTGACCGGCGTGTATAGGGATCAGAAGCCCAATCCGAATCAGTCCAAGCGCTGAGACCGATACCCGATTCACCATCATAGCAAAGTGCATATGATCTAGTACCTAGGAGGTAGCGGCAAATATAGAGTGCCTTGTTAAGGTGCTCTTGAGATGGGTTAGCTGCATGTTGTGCAAGCTTGGTAACAGCAAAGGAGATGTCGGGACATGTACCCAACATAGGGTAGAGAAGGGAACCAATAACCATTTGAAACTTGCTACGAAGAGCAGAATTCGATTGGCCTATGGTGGGTTCAGGTTGGAACCCTGCAGGAAGTGGTGTATCAGCCATTTTAGCATTTTCCATACCGCAACGCTTAAGGACTTTGTCAAGGTAGGCGCATTGATCAATATAGATCTTTTTGCCATGACGATTAATCCGCATGCGAAGGAATTCTTTGGCTTCACCAAGATCTCTGCATTCCCAATGTGACATGAATTTCCCTTTAAGGGAATCTACGAGTTTCTTGTCAGGTCCAGCAAAGAGTGCGTCATCAACGTAGATGATGGCGATGACTAAAGAGCCATCTTTTCCTCGTCGGACAAAGATACCTGCATCAGAGCTCAGGCGTTTGAAGCCAAGTGTTTTCATGTATGAGTCCAATGTTCGCCACCAGACAAGACCTGCTTGTTTCAGTCCATACAGAGCTTTGCGCAGTAAGAGGACTTTATCCTCTTTGCCTTTGATTTGAAAACCTTCAGGCTGTTCCATGTAGATAGTCTCATGTAAGATGCCATATAGATAGGCATTTCGAACATCGAGTCCAGTGAGATACCAGTTGTTCAGCGCAGTCAAGGCGAGCAACAGTCTAACAGTCTCAAACCGTACTACAGGAGAGAAGACTTGGTCATAATCAAGACCTTCAATTTGTGAGAACCCTTTGACAACAAGGCGTGCCTTCTTACGACCATCAGATTTGATGTCGAAGACCCAGCGGTTCTTAATAACCTTTCGGTCTGCTGGACGATCCATGAGTTCAAAAGTACCACGCCGTTTGAGCGCTTCAAGCTCTTCTTGGCAGGCCTTAAGCCATTCCTCACGCTCAGCCTTAGGTAGGCGAGTAATGTCCTTGTAAGTCCATTCACGGACGTTCTCAGAGCTTTTCAGCTCCCCCTCAAAGGGAACGGCCTTAGCCATGAGAAAATATATTAATTCAGCTCCCCCTTCCCGACATAGTCTGATCAGGGTATTAGCTTTGTCACCAGGAGTGACAGAGGGTTGTTCTCCATTTTCAGGAGTAGGATGCTCAGTACTAGGTCCGGGAACCTGTTCTGGCTCAGGACGTTCTTGCTCAGCCGAGGAGCTACCTGGCTGTGGTGCGCGTCTCTGAATATCCCTCTTTGGTCTCTCTACCTGTTGTTCCGTAGGAAGCTTAGTGCTGCTTCTAGGATCACCGGTAAGACGAGTAGGTGGTCTCCGCACACGACCTGAACGTCTCAACTGTTCTTGAGCAGGAGGTTGTTCATTCCGGGGTTGTGGCGGCGGACTAGGATCTCGTGCTGGCTGTTCAGCTGGCACAGGCGGTGCAACGTCTTGCTCCGGATCCTGTCTCATTTGGGGAGTGGTAGGTTGATGAAAGATGGGAACATCATCATCACCAGGTGGAGGAATAGGATCTTTAGGATCTGGGTTGCGATCTGGTAGTCGCGTAGAGCGATGACGCTCTGAGGATTTACAACGAGGAAATAATTTCTCATCAAACACAGCGTGCGTAGCAGTGAACATGGCATTGTTCGACCGCATGTAGATATTTCCGTGTCCACCGTCAGAAACTCCGAGATATGTCATTAGTTCTGACCTAGGCGATTGTTTGTTTGTCCGTATTTCTTCATGAAGATAGACATACGCGCCACAGCCAAAGACACGCAAGTGATCTATGCGCGGAACTTTGTTGTACAAAATCTCATATGGTGTCTTCCATTTGTGACGACGCATAGGAGTGCGGTTATACACATGCACAGCGTGTGCAACAGAGAATTCCCACCAGGAATCAGGAATACAGGCTTGAAAGCGCTGTGGTTCACTTTTCTCAATAATAGTCCGGATAAACCTTTCGGCTCTTCCATTCTGCTGGTGGATATGAGGAGATGACCATTGTGCTTTGATACCTTCGTTCTTAAAGAACTCATCAAGTGCATTGGATCTAAATTCTCCGCCACCATCAGACATCCATTCCTTGACGTTAGTCTCGTATAGATTTTTGACTGTGGCAATGAATTGCTTTATCACCGGAAGAGCTCCGCTCTTCTTTTTTAAGTGGCAGTAGAACCCATGCGAAGTATAGTCATCTATGAAGAAGATCGTATACTTGTACTTGTGGTACGAAATGGTAGGCCATTCGTTGAGGTCTGAGTGAATAATCTCGAAGGGACGTGATGCCCGACGATTAGTTGGCGGAAATGGACGTAAAGTCATCTTTCCTTTGGCACAACCTTCACATAGATCTTCCTCATGGGGAATGCTAAAGGTGGGAACACCTTCTGCATGTTTCCTCAGTTGAGTGAGTGCTTCGCGCGATGGATGACCCATGCGACGATGCATGGTAGTGTAGTCCACTGAGTGGATCACTAGGTTTACAGCCATAGGCTGTGGCGAATAATCTTTGAGAATGTAGATTGTATCGCTGTGAGTTCGTGGTTCAAATGACAGGAATAAACCGTCTTTGTCCCAGAAGTCAACTTTGTCTGCGTTGCCGCGAACAGTTTTGCCATCTTGTAGGAAGCGTCCTTGTGCTATAAGGCGATGACTCAACTCCTTCATATAGAATACTGGAGCGATTCGTGCCGAATGCATGCGACCTCTAACATCCTTGAAATTTATCAAGACAGTCCCAACGCCAGTAATGTAGGCAGTTGTGGTTGCAGTTGCTATGAGCACTTTTTCCTCAAGGTCTTCATACTCAATGAAGTCACTCAAGTCAAAGGTAGTGTGTTCAGAACAACCAGAGTCGTTCATCCACCATTTAGGTTGATTTCTCTGTTTACCCTTACACTTCTTGCACACAGAGTATGAAATGTCATGTACGCAAAAATGTTCATTGGATATATACTTGGCATCGATACGGTAATTATACAAACGGGACAAGAGATCAGGCTCAAAGGCCGACTTGCATGTCTTCGCCACTGCAACCGATGAAGGTGCGTTAGTATATCCCATATGGTCAAGATCAGAGGAGGGTACTGACCCCATGGTGTCCATGAATCCAGTGATTGCCAAAATTTCACGATCCAAGTCGAAGTTCATCAACTCATCAGGGTCGAAAGAGGCAGTTCCTGGGACCTCAAAGTCCATAGGAGGAGATGGAGGAGGCGGCGTAGGAGCCTTACTGCCATTCTCAACATCATCCACAGGAGACATTGCACGAGTGCGCTTTGTTGGAGGATCAAGTTCATCATCACTGTCCAACTCCGAAATATGCCCAGCTGGCTCAAGGGTGCGAATGACTTCGGCAGTCGCACGGACGCCAATGTCACGGGCACGTTTGATGGCCATCCTTGTCTTCTTATGAAGATGAAGGGACGTAGCATTAGGAGGAGGGTTGTAAGGAGGATGGATGGAGTGCTTGCGCACATCTTGAACAGAAGGAGTAAGATCAGTACGTACCGGACCAAAGTCAACAGTACTGCCAATTGGACTGAAGTCCATAGAGTCTGCATCAGCTTGGGCAGCGTTTGCATTCTTCTTAGCCTTCTTGTTCTTTCCACTGCCACGCTTACGCTTCTTCTTGTTGTCATCGTTCCCATTCTGTCCCTTCTGCTGCTGGTTACTACCGTTACCATGCTGCTGTTGGGAGAACTTGGGATCGTTTCCCTTGCGATGAACGTTCGAAAACTTGTTCGCGTTCTGCGGTTGGGAGTTGCCAATGGTGTCTCCGCTGAAAGCGTTCATAACTGCGATACGAACTTTAGCAAAGGTCAATTTCTTGAGCTCTGCAGTTTCAAGCTGAGACATGGTTTGGATAACGACAGAGTAACGTGATGGGAGCTTAGATAAAAGAATCAAAGCTTCGAGGTGGTCAGCAAGACCAATGCCAGCTTCATCCATACGGGTGAAGTACATGCCAATCTCCATCATAGAGGACAGCGGATTTTGCTTGTATGGAATTTTAATAGCCATAGCGGCAGCAAAGTCATTAAAGACTGCGCCCAGACTCTTGACATTGTAAGTCTTGGCTAGATAGTTCCAAAGCTTCTTAGCTGTGTCGCTGTATTCCTTGGCAAGGATGCGGATGGAGGGAGAGATACGGAGGCGAATGTTACCAATAGCCTTGGTGTCGATCTCCTTCCAGGCTTTGAAAACAACCTCATAGTTCTTCCAGGCTTCAACACTGGCGGCGTTTGCAGCAACAAGTGGAGATGGTTCACTGGGTTGGTCAGTAGTAATTGCTGATTCAAGCCCTGTAGCCTGAAGGAAGGCTTCCATTTCAGAGGCCCAGGTGTCGTAGTTATCACCTTTGAGGGTGGTGGTAACAGCGGTGAAGAGTGCAGAAGACATTGCGATCTGGATAAAATCAACAGAAAATGTCAGCATACAATTCATAAACGCTCAATGACAACAGATGGAAAAATGGCATGAATGTTATTGCCAGTAGTGACAAGCTGCGACATATGTCTAGCAAGCTGTCATCTACAGTGTCAAGCACTCTTGGGCGATGTCATAATCAGCACTGTTAAGTGCGATATTGACTTCAGCACCAGAGGCGACGTTCCAGGTAAAGGTCTGTGTCAGAGACAGCAATCAAATAGATGCGTCCATGACAACAGTAGACCAGAGAGCGCTGCGAGCTTAGAGCTCAGCAAAGCGTTCATCCGGGGCCCATAACCTGTTGAGCAGGCAAGGAGTGCGTAGTGGGAACACTCTCCAGTACCATACCTGGTAGTAGAGCTTAGTGTCTCAGTGAGGCAATAAAAGTAAGAGAGAAGCGAGTTGGATTCCAGTACAGGATATGGCCTGTTTATATACATAACTGTATGACAGTATTACATAAGGAAGTACTGAGGAATCCGCATATAGTAAATGACTAGATATGACTACATATGACATATTATAACACATGATCATAATAGTGGCATGTGAACAGCATAGCCGCGTTCAACAGTAGGGAGTTATGGGAGTCGCGGCCGAATGAAGAGCACTGAGGACTGAGCGCTGAGCGCTAAGAGCAAACAACAACCCAACGTCTACGACCGGAACTGGGTACCTTGGTGAAGTGTGGCGGAAAACGACGAAGAAGAAAGGTTGAAGAAGGCGTCGGTTCCAAGATTTCCAAAATTTATCTTGAATTTTCATCTCTGCCGGCGTCCGTCGTATCATCATTGGATGATCTGGATCCGAGAAAAGCAGAACAATCGAAATATATCATCGCCTCGCCGTTTGAGGGTTGTCGTTAGGCCCGTTGCCGTCGCTTGGGTCCGCGTTTGGTTGTGTGTAGTGAGGTCGTTATGCTAGCTTGAAATTTGTAGCTTGACTGCTGAATTTGGGTGTCATTTTCCTCAGCTGAGGGAGACACAAAAAGACCGTTTGAAAAAAATAAGAATATAAAACTAGAGAGGTGACAAGAAAACAGTTTAATCGAGGGTAAGGAAAACATTGCCAAAGGTACATACCAGGCTGTGCGAAACATTTCTCTTCTTTGATCCTTCCATCATCAGTTTTATTCTCATCTAATTCCGTCCTTTAATTTCGTCAGATCGAAGCTGGAGTCTTGACTGGACTTCAACCATAGGCGACATTCCTTCGTAGTACGCCCAGAGGGGAAGAGAAAAGAAAGATGCAGAAACCGAAAGGAATAAATGTTGAGAAATTCAGCGTGGGGTTCCGTGCAATACAGTCAATGTGCTTCTTTCAAAATCTATGATGGCTCGCCGTGGTTGAGGACGACTAGTTGGGCAACAATTCGACTCCTATGAAAGCCATAATGAGCCTTCGTCACACGGCACAGTCGGCGGTCGGCACGGCACGGTCCACTCCACGTGACTTCATCTATATCCTGGCGTCTAATTGACTTTTCGCGTTAAAGTTCTCTTCAAAAATCGTCTTCAACATCTCTAACCACTATCTTCATTTTGACTCTCGTCGAAACTTCTGCATACTCTCTCAGCCTTGAAATATACTCTGCCATGCCTAAAGATACCACCCAACCCTCCGATACCTTGATTTTCAATCGAAAGAAATCCAGAATTCCTCGACCACCGAACTCCTGGATCCTCTTTCGCGCGGACATGCTACACGATCCTGACTTCCGGGCACAGTACCCGAACGCTCATCAGCACGTTATCTCTAAGGCACTTAGTGTGCTATGGAGAAATGCTTCAAAAGAGGTGAAAGAGGAGTACGAGCGCCGAGCTGAGGGAGCAAAATTACAACATATGATCTTGCACCCAGATTATGTGTATTGCCCGCAAAGAAAGGTGAGGGCGGCAACAGTAGGAGGTAGAGAGGAAGACACGGGGAAATCTAGACCTCGAGCGAAGCGCGGACATAAATCGAAGTGCAACGACGATGGCTCAACACAATCGTTTGAGTCAATTAATAACGATCATCAAGCGTGTTCGACCGGTGAGTTGATGTTTCTGCTCACACTTACTATCATTCACGAGACCCACCCGATAGGTCTTCGAGCCTCATCTACATCTCAAGAACCTCTCGCAGCGCTTCCTGTTCCTCTCATCCCCTTCACTTCGCAAACCTACTCCGAAATCTCAACCACTCACGGAGACCACTTCACGCCACCAAACCCTCATTCCATCTCTCATAATTCTAATCTTGTTTCTGAAACACAACAAAGTTCTGCTGTAAGTCCATGTCGAGTTTCTCCAACCAACTGCCAGTGAGCTGATGTTTTATAACCCCAGTCCCAATCAAACTCGCCATCCGTTGTTCAAAGTCTCTTCGACACCCAATGGAATGGCTCATTAGATATCCTCTTTGCGTCGAACGGTGATCCTGATTTCGACATCGACCCTCTCTCCGATCTCGATCCCAAACACCTGAACGCCCCTTTGGATGACATGGGTGCTCAAATTGAGCTGAAAAATGCCCTCGACTCTCAGCCAGACATCCCTCAAACCCTTACTTCCCAAATCAATTTTTGGGCCTGGATAGGCAGTAATCCTCTTTTCAATGGTCCTTCTTCCACGCTTGATCATAACACTCCCAATACCAATTCGTTTGACAACTCCATCGTTGATCAGCCCCAGAACTTTAGTTTGAACATTACGACTGGCAGTTTGGACGCGAACGCTGAGCAAGGCATACTTCAAACAAATTCGAGTCTAGGATCATCGGCCTCCACCGACATCACCAGCGCACTCTCAGCCAGCGCCACTCCCCTTTCTGCCTTTCAAACTTTCGAAGCCGATCCGAATGCCTTTCATAATTTTAATCCTTTTGATAACACTATCATCGACCAGCCGCAGAACTTCGATCTGAACGTTATGATGGGTGATATCCCAGAGTATAACGCTTACTCGGGCAACGGGGGTAATATGAACTGGGGACCTTCGGCCTTTGCTAGCGACACCAACACATCTGCCGCATGTAACACTACCGTTCCCCCCACCTTTGACTCCTTCAAAGATGATCCTTCCTGCTCCAATGGTTTCAACCCATTTGATAACGCCCTCGTAGCTCAACCTCACAACTGCACTCCGAGTCTTGAGGTCTCTAGGGGTGATTTAGACTTTAACTCTGTCCAAAGCGGTCTCGCAAATTTCGATACAAATGCGGTACCGTCGATCTTTGCTGACAATTCCAACGTGTCTATCTCCTCCTACCTTGCCAGTGGATACCCGTCTGCCCCTCTTCCCAGAACTGTACAGGCTGATCCTCCCTCTCTGCTAAACGATCTGGGAGTAATCCTTCAAGGCCTCGATGACTTTGCTTTGCAAAATCTCATTGCCCAACTTGGACAGCAGCAACCAGATTCCAGCTCAGGTGATACAATGAATGATACCGACACCTCAGATATGAACTCCCTGGGGTACGATGCCCTGGAGATGAACAATGCCCAGGCTCCGCTACCTTACAACAATCTTGTGACAGATTGCACTCATACTAGCCCAAGTGAACCAAGCGGGAGCGGTCTGAATTCTGGATATACCACTGCACAGATGTTCCAGTCAAGCTATACTCAGCCTCCAGCTCAGTATCATGATGCGAACGGAGGTGCTGTCTCTTCTGAGCAACATATGATCTACGTTCATCCTCTGGCTAACCCGGCGAGCGGAAGCTCCGTATATGCACCGTTTCATGATCATCAGGCTCAGAACTTTGCGTTTGTCGAAAATTAGCTCGACTGAGGAATTCCTGACGATCTTCACCCATTTTTTGAACTCCTTTGCTCTCGTAATCTCTTTCTCACCTCTACCTGTCCCTATAGTCTCTGAACAATGACTTCCCTTCGTCCTAATTTTCCACATAACCATTCCCTCAATCCAATCATACGCCATCGCTTCGTTAATGATCATCCATCATGTATACATTTGGAACAATTTTTCTTTGTATTTCTTTCTCTCTTTGTCTCACTCTGCTTCCATTTGAGTCCCTCACATCTTCCCACTCTACGCTCTTTCAAAAGCATTCATCCATCGAGTCATCTATGTAGCATTCTTCTCGTGTTTCCTCTCATGTCGATCTCCTAAGTCTCGGACCGCGGGCTATACCCATTATTTTTTCCAATTCCCCCTCGCTTTACTCATACGCGATACCTGATCCATAATTTCACCTACCATACACACATGCGCTATCTCTCACAACATTTCCGTCGCATTATAGTCTTTGCATCTCTGTAGCATTTATCTAGTAGTCTTCCTTCCCATGAATCTCTCGATGCACACACAATCTTTCCCTTTCTTTTCTCCCTTATGTACTGGTTGCAATTCTGGATTCTCCCACTGTATTTTCCTATTCTCCCCTTAGGTTTAGTCAGTCATGGTCTTTTAGCATGGTATATACAGTATATTCACTGCAAAATAGTTGACTGAATTTGAAGTTTGCTCAGGGTAGTAGAAGGATAGGAAGGAAAGTCAGGATGGGTAGAACCTGAGTTACTATGCTAGAAAGTTGACCAGCATGTTACAGGAGAGATAATGGTTGCTTTGGATTATATACAGCTCTGGTAGGTTGTCACACAACATACTGCCAATCAAGAAGAGCCTGAATCCGTCGCGCCTCCCGTTCTCCACTCAGAATCGCCCCAGGAACACTACCTCGGCTGAAGGGGAGACAAAATATTAAGTATGAACCCATCTGAATAAGCACAAGACTCACTGGTCCAATTCAGTCGCTTCTCCCGCAAACCCGAGTAATCCACCCCATACAGGTCTTGCCAGTTCTGCAAAGTCAAGCGGAGATCTTCCTTCCCCGACTCGGACAGGACTACTAGTGGCCCCAAGCGATAGTTCATCATCTTTCCAGCGCGAAGCAACTGCCTTGATTGGTTTCGGAACCATCTTTTCTGGGGCAATTGCTTGCGAAAGAATGTTGTGAATTGTGTCTGCAGACAAACCTGTGAGACCATGTGAGACTAATACATGTAGGCAAGGTGGTGAGCTCGAAATTGGGATGGCTAAGAGGGTTCCATTCTTCAAAAGAATAGTGAAAGGTCCAGCTGCAGGATCCCACCAGAGTGAATCATACAGTAGACCGAATTTCTCGAGGATACCAACCGCGGTACGAGAAATGACAGAGCTCTTGCGAGCAGGAAGTGGTGGATCAAAGAAATCATCTGTCAACTTCTTCAAGGTACCTAGTGGTATCGTGCTCAGAGCCGCTCGACCATTATATACTTGCCCATTGGAAGTATGAATCTGAATTCGACCATCGTTGGTTTTATCAACCTTCGATACATGCGCATTCAGTACAAACGATGCTTTCCCTGTTTCTTCGGCTGCAGCACGTAGCGCTGCGACTAGTTTTCCATATCCACCAACGACGATACCATCTGAACCTGCGAACGCCACCCCAGAAGCCCATCCAGACCAATGAGCAGAAGCTTCTTCAAGAGATATACCCCATCCAATTTCCGCTGCTCGAGCAAGCGCAGTGGCCTTCTCTTTCTCGGTTTCAGAAAGCCCTGTGTACAAAGGGGAAGAGGATGATAGCAAGATGTCTGCAGCAGAAGATGAGTCCGATAAGGGTTCAGATGTCACTTTGTTCATGTGTGACATGGCTAAGAATATGTTTGTATGAAGTCTTCGAGTAAGATCAGCGTCCAACGGTCCATCCTTTGTGAACGATGTTCCTGGTGAAGCTGGTAGGAGTTTGGTTTCCTGAAAATTGAAATCGATGAACTGGAAGAATCAAGAAATCATTCTGCGCACTGACCAGGCCTAAAGTCTTCGCGTATCCGAGCACTGGATTTCCTTGGTTATATCCATGGATAGCCATACATCCGAGCTCAACAGGAAATCCAAACGAATAATCTGTCCACGCTCGTCCCCCAATCCGATCTCTTGCTTCGACAACTTGGACAGTTTTACCTGCTTTACTGAGGTTGTACGCGGCAGAAAGACCAGCTAGCCCAGCCCCAATAATCAATACGTCGCTCGAAGCTGACATTCTGGCAGCCTGTGTTGAAAGATATCTAGCAAAAGCCACGATGAGCGTTGCGGAAAGGAGAAACTCGGAATGATCCGTTATCGAGCCGAATGATACTCCAAGTGCTTGGGAAATATCTTTCCCCACATCGATGTCATGTTGAGTCTTCCACAGTACAAAAACGAATCCAACGCTCAAAATTTGACTTCCGATACTTATCACAAACACAATTGGAAGAAACTTCTAACTCTCTCTCTGCTTATCATGTTTTCTGTCGCTTTCACTGTTCGTAAAGGCCTCACAGGTCGAATTGGATTCAAATTCCCACCTTTTGGATGTGGCCATCACACCCAGCAAGGCTTAGGCGGCCTTCCAATGCACTATAATCTTTCCTCCGGCTCGCAAATTCCTTCAGTTGCTCTCGGCGTATGGCGAGCTCCCAAAGACAAAACCGCCGCGGCTGTAAAGACAGCTTTGAAATCGGGATACAGACATATTGACGGCGCGTGGATTTATCGCAATGAAGAAGAAGTGGGTCAAGCGCTGAAAGAGAGCGGTGTTAAAAGAGAAGATGTGTGGCTAACGAGCAAAGTCTGTCTTTCGTCCCTCGCAGTATATCATGGTTATCTCATCTCGTGTTAGCTATGGAATACATTCCATGCGCCTGAAGATGTCGAGCCCGCACTAGATGATTCCCTCCAGAAACTGGGCACAGATTACTTGGACCTTTACATTATTCACTGGTAAGCTCTGGTACAGTGACATCAGTCATGCTGTAATCGGCCCCAACTACCAACAGGCCTCTTGCAGTTCCCAAGGATGGCAAACCAGCTGACTATGATAAGGAGCTTACCGCAAACCCCTATCCAACATGGCAAAAGCTCGAAGAGATGGTCGAGAAGGGAAAAGTGAGGAATATCGGAGTCAGCAAGTAAGCCAAATATCGGACAGTCATGGTCAATATTGAAGCACTAGTTCCGAATTAGCTTCAATATCCGTCGTCTCCAGAATCTCACTGCAAACCCGCTCAAAATTCAACCAGCTGTAAATCAAGTCGAAATCAACTTCTGGTTTCCGCAAGTTGAATTGTTAGAGGTTAGTGTACGCATTAGGAATCATTCTTGCATTGATCATGAAAGACAACCTCTTCGTTCCATCAGTTCTCGAGGCAAACAGGTATTCTATTGGAGGCATACTCCCCTCTGGGAAGCGCGGAACGCGTCAAAGATTCGCTCAATGTTCCAGAGGTAAGAATTTTTTTTCCTTCTGGGTTATTACTCATCAAGTCCTATAGATCAAAGAAGTCGCTCGAATGCTTGAAATGACTCCAGCTCAAGTCATTATATCATGGCACATTCAAAGAGGCGTATGAATCCATCTGTTCTTGATTATGCATCTCATTCGTTCTTATCCGCGTATCACAGACTATTGTTTTACCCAAAAGTGAAACACCTTCCCGAGTCACCGAAAATATTCACCTTAAAAAGCTCCCTGAGGCGGCATTCGAGAAGATCGAGAAGGCTGTAAGATCTCATAAACCTGAACGAGGTTCAAACCCGAGTAAGAATTGGGGATTAGACTTTGATATTTTTGAGTAAGGCTTTTAGTGAGGAGGGAAAGAATATAATTCAGGTGTAGTTGTTCTAGTGTGTGTATATGTAGTGTGAATGTAAATAACAAGCTTTTGAAGGAATTGGGAATGGGAATTTTCCTGTACGGAGTCATTGAGGAACAACCAACATACTTCGTCCATCGCGCAGTGACTGCCGGTCTCGGTAGTGTCCTCATGGTTTAAGGTGGAGTAGGGTGAAACTAAACAACCATCTGCCCTGATGTGTAGATTCTAGACCATCTTCCTCGTCTAATTATTCATCATGTGAAGAGAGCAAGAATATATAAGTTCGGAATAAGTATGAATCAGTGGATGCCTGTTTATTATATTGTGATTGCACGGTCGGTCCCTCAGAAGCCTCAAATGTACATACCCTGTACAAAATCTCTGTCTCGAGGTCAAAGCAAATGAGCCAAAGGTAACAGAAACCCAATTGTTGTTTACCTAGATTCAGAATTTCCGAGTTCACGCACTCGACGTTAAGAGTTCACTAGTCTTGAACTGCTCTCAACTTCCCTTTTCTATCAGTAATACCTTCCGTCACATCCTGTTCCTCCAGAACAATCATAGCAGCTCCCACTACTGAAGGGCCTGTTGTAGCTGTAGAAGTGCCGCTTACCCCAATGGCAGTATTAATGAAATCATTAGGATGATGAACATTAGACCATCTGGTGCCCGTACTTCCACCGGTGCGACGTTTGCGAAACGGACTAGGTGGAACTGTGTAATGGGACCCCTGGACCAGAGGTTGAGGAATGTTCTGGAATCTACAATTGATTGACTGGTCATCGATGTCCTTGTAATTGAGCACCAGAGCAACTATTTGAAATAAACTACTGATAATTAGTGTCAGTGTTGGATTTGATGATTGACCATCCCGCCAAATGAGCACAAATGGAGCCAGGATATTGCAAACGCAGAACGGGCCCATTACTCGAAAGTTATATTTTTGTTGAGTAGGATTCGGTTGTAGCCGGGAATCAAACCCAGATTGGATTAGTTCCGTAGGCACTTTGAAGTCGATGTGGTACGAATCTCGAAAATCAATTGACGACTCTCCCGGTGCTTTTTCCGCCACAAACAGACGCAGAAGTGTACTTTTATTATCCGCCAAGTCGTTCTCACTGAAGCAATGGAATGAGGAAAATACTTCATCCTCGCCAAGGACGTCTTTCCATCCACCACCGGTTCTAGCAGTGATCTTGGGCCATAGCCATGCTGCAAGCCGGAAGACGACGCCTGCAGGATACATTTTCCCAATGTAATGAAGGACGAGATTTCGACATTGAATTTGCTCCCGCTTATTCCAGCGGGCTCCATACGTTTTTGGTGATGCCCACGAACAAACTCCTTTATAATCCAGAGAATATGTCATGACGCTTGCCAATTGGCCGACGACCAATATCCAACGCCCAATGTCTCCGAAGATTAAGAAAATTTTTGTTAATGTGTCTTCGAACAGGAACAGAACAACGAATATATGGAAAAGGGTAACCAGCATTGAAGATGCAAGTAGGATCGCGAAACGTGCAACGACAAGTGCTGTAGTCTGGATAAGACAATCTCTGGACAATGCAACCATTTGACCTGCTTCTCGAGGCTGCTTTCCAAGCAGGTAAGGGTATATCCAGTGGTTCGAGTTCGGGGCAAAGGGTACAACTCCTTCACTTTGATTGAACCCTTCCTCAAGCTGCTCAAGCGTTTTGCGACCACCAGAGCTCCCTCTGACCAAGAATTTTCCTGCACGCGTAACCGTGTTACTGATATCCAGCCAATTGGCGCGAAAAGAGGCGCTTGCGCCTTCTATATCGGTTTCATAACCTTTGGTGTGAATGAAACCTATCCGTGCCATCCGAAGCTTCAAGTCGAAGGAAGAGAAGTGGAGGACAGGGTAGCAGATATGAACTCTCGATCCATGAAAACCCATCCACTTCAAATGGAATGCTGGTTTGATACAAGGGATGCAGAGGTCAGGGTAGCAGAGACTAATGAGTCCGTAGAGAAGAAGAGGACCGGTAGTCTGATCAATCAGTGCACATACACCGCGCGCTACCGAGTCGAGGCCGGTCACTCCTCCATAAGAGCCTGCAGCCAGAGGTATGCTTTGAAATGCGAGGACAATTGCTGCGAGGGCATTACTGCTTTCCATAGTGAATGTTCAGCTCTCGGAACAGAAGAATATTTATACCTGCGTATGGAAATAGACGCACCATGGTATGACTCCCAAGAGTGTATTTAGTGAATGCTGTTGTGATATAGATGGAACCTGCTCCTGTTCGCTTCGCAAGGAAACCCCAAAAGAATATATGATTGTTCCCAAAAATACACATGAGTCGATCTGTATGTTGTATCGAACAATCGAGACGAATCTTATACTGCAGTGACCAATTCGTCGGTTCAAGTTGCTGTTAAGACGGGGATCACTGCGAGAGCAGTCAGCGTGGAAAGACAGTAGGATGGGATCGAACGAGTATATGTATTCGTTACGCAAGACATGTTATGTCGTGATGAATGAAAGCAAAAAAAAAGACTCAGACACTGATCATCATCATATACCTTGGACACAGTTTGCGGCATGGTTTTCAACCTAGCTTTTTTCTGTCCTTCTTTGATGCACTAAGAGACTAAGAAATCGAGAATAAAAAAGCCAAATGATCGAGAGTTGATTTTGCTCTTGAGAATTGGTGAACCTGATTCAGATAATTCAGAAGTTCCACAGCTTTGTTGGAGCCTTCAAATGACTTAGAAGATTTACTATGGGACTTGGGGCTTGGATTATGGGCAGTAGATTTGATTACTTCAAGCACACATGCAGAGAATACAAAAGCAGTCACCCTCGTATCAAACACGCCAAGGTTGAATGTATTCTGGTCTATGACGTTGAACCCTTCCAATTTTTTGGTGGAGTATAGTGGACCTTATGAGAACTAGCTCCAGAAAGGCGGGAATGTTTGTGTCGAGGAATGGAAGGTTAAAGGAAGGTTAGCTACATGTGCGGATACACAGCTTTATAGAAAGATTCAATTAGAAAACCGAGTGACCTCGTGCGCGATGAAATGTTAGATAGGATCGTGTGGAGAAAGCTGTAGAGAGTTAGGACAAAGATATTGGCAAGTTTTGAATACGTTCTGAGCTTTGAACCTTGAGGCTTGAGCTTGAAACTTGATGGACGAGCTGGTGAACCGCCGAAAGTCGCATCGAGCGGCTATGCGATGCGCCTTTACTTCTCACAGGGTGTGTGGTGGGCTGTGGCTGCGTTATCCGGTGAGTTGAGAGATATCTGGAGAAAGATGCTCAGAAGAAAAGCCTTTGAGCATCTGGGAGGAAATAACCATTTTACATCGGCGGCAAAGTGACTAAGCGGGAATTCAATCTTTCCCGGCGCGCTTCAACAGCTTTTTGGGCAAATGCGAAGAGATTCGGTAACAATCAATTAATCCTGCCCGTCCCGTCTTTTTCTCTTCTACTTCCATCTACATCAAGTATTTCTAAGTGATGCGCTTTCCCTTCATAACTCGCCGCGCGGAAGAACCTCAAGAGTCTCACAGAAGGTATCGTCGAAAAGGTGGAGGTGGGAAAGGTAGTGGGAAAGGCGCTTCGGGTAGAACTGGCATATACTCCAAGAGATAATAATGTAACGGTTGATTTTATTCTAGGTGGCTCAACTGGAAGCTCTTCTCGTGGCTCTTCCTCTTCAGTGACAATCGCCGGTTCTTCACGCTCCGCCACAAGTTATGGCTCCGGTGGAGGAAAGGCTTCCACAATTCCCTCGGGCCAAATTTTTGCTGGTAGGATAGAAGGCGGAGGGACTAGAGATCAAGTTTTTGGCTCAAGGTGTGACATGGCTGGTCAGATTCTTTAGCCAGCTGTTGACGAGGACTTTCTAGCACTTATGGAAGCGGTTACCCCGGCATCACGGGAAGAGGCGTCGCAGGCCGAGGATTCCCGTTTCTGTTTTGGCCAATTGTCTGGGGAGGAGCCGCTGGTATCGGAAGCACTGCATATCTTCATGATACAGAGGTTAGCGCTGCCTTCCACAGTTTTATCTGTAATGACATATTCTCATATCCCTGCAGTATGGTTCTCCGGACAACACATCGCGTCCTGGTGGACCACTGATGACCTCCGTATTCGTTTCCAGCGCTTCGACGTCCTCAAACTCTACTCTTTCCCCCACGACGTTCCACATCCTCGCTGACAATACTACCCTCATCTCCCTCATTTCCGCAATTACCACAAATTGCTCTTCCAACATCAATACGTCCTCATCATCCTCCAATACTTCGAATCCTAGCCCTTACAATGCCTCCGACCCAAACGCACCTCAACCCGAATCTGCGATCGGATATTATCGTGCAAGCAGTGTTGTTCTTACGCTTAATGGTTATAATAATTCCGCTGCTCTGAGTAGTGATGAAAATGCAACAAATACTCCGCTACCCACTGGCATCGACACGACGTTGGAGGATTGCTTGAACCAGACCATTGGGGCTGCTGTCCCATTGATTGACGGTGCTAGGAGCATTAACACAGGTGTAGGGAGTGTGGCGTTGCTATCGATGCTATTTGTGGTTCTCCAGAGGCTGGTCGTTTGATCAATCTTTTCGCTCTTTCATTGGTTATTCCATGATCAAGACGGGATATGATGCATGGTGTTGTATACTATAGCCTCAAGCTCTTCACAGATATCCGGATACTCTTCATACCTTATAATAGTTTAGCAACCACTTATTTGTTTGTGAAATGTATTAATATTGACGTTCTTGCTACATCTGTTTCCTGCAGGTTTCCTGTGCTACATCCTCCGCCCTCTTCGTAAAATCAGGTATCCTCAAAACGCAACCTGAAGGAATATCGTACGATTAGTATGGGATAGGGAACAATATAAAGCTCAGAATAACTTACAGGCCAGCCGGTAGAGAAATCCAGCAAGTTGATGCCAAGCTAACGCAGCCACTATCAGTTCAACGTCCAAAGGTCTAACAGAATTACTTACCCAAGTTCCGGTGGAGGTATAATAGTCTGCGAAACGGATCGAGCCATCAGAAGATGGTAGAAAAGAAGGTGAAACGCCGCTCACGGTAAACAATGACCACGCCGTCGACATCTGTCATGATATCCTGCCCTCCGGGACCGATTATCTTCGCAATCAAAAAAATCAGGTTTTCCTAGTGTTGTCAACATAGCGAACACGTACATCGCCGTGACTCTCTAGGACAAGAGTTCCTCCACCATCGGTCAGAGCAACGCCGTCAGCGTCGACGAAGCCTCCGTTGAATCTATGAACCACGTCGATATGTCACTTCGATGAATACCTATTATGAGCACGTACGTTGAAGACCTTCCGACCCGAATGTTATAGGTACTCGACGTTCCATCGCAACAGATATCCCATGAGCTGAACAAATAGTAGAAGTCACCGAACTGGAAAATGACACTGGCTTCGATAGCACCGCTGTTCACAAAACGCTCAGCAAGAGAATTTACGCTCGAGCCGGAGGGTTTTCCTGTGCTGCTGCTGAGCCTGTAAATTTCAATTTCAATCAATACGTGAAGAAAAGAAGACATAGTCGAAGAACTTACGCTTCACCCACAATACCGTCCCAGAAGCTTCCTAAGGAGAGGTACCAAGTCGATCCAGCTGTATGATTAAAGATTTAGCTATCATCTTGCTGACAAGCCATAACAGCATCGACTGACCAACAAGCAAGTTGGGATCGATAGCCTGTACAACGCTGATCAGTATGCATCAGCGCCGCCATATGCGTATATCTACCCACATTGTAGGTGTCTCCGGTGACAGTTGAAGTCACTAGACCTTCATTTGTGAAACTACCTGTTCGGTTTTTTGAGTATGTGTTTCTTGGTCAATCGATATAAAACCACGTACCTGAAGCTCCAGTAGTAGATTTGGCGAAGAAAATGGCGGACTAGAGGGGGATGATTGTGTCAAACAGAATTACGAAGTAGTATGTAGTAAGCAATTGTTACATTTTGTGATCCAAACGAGGATGCTGCATAGTATAACTATGTACGAGACGATGCAATCAGTCTGTTCATGTATTACGTGTATCAGAGGCACCCACGTAGAATTGACCGTCCAAGTAGGTACAATCCGGAGCCCATAAATTTCTGATGTAGAACGCACAACAATCAGTATTTGTGTCCCCAGACGACGAAGCTAAACATACCCATTAGTAGTTCCAGTGTATGCATCCGTCCAACTCGCGCCATCGGGCCACACTAGCCCAGCATACGTCCAGGCAGTTCGATCGGTTGAGGTGAGGATTTGGATTCCGGGCGCAGTGGCTATGTTGTATAGTTGAGTATCGGGGATACTGCAAAGAAACAAAAAGTTTCACAGAATATGAAGTATGTGCCTGCGTCGTCTTTGCACATAGTGGGATCCGCCACTGCTGTGTCCCCTGTGTAAGATAGTTAGGGATTATCTAGCCATCGGTGCGCTTTGAATATCGCAGTGCTTACCAGTGACCACACCGGGATTCGGGTAACCATTAGCAACGGCGCTGAAAATCGCAGCGGAGAAGAGCGTGAGTGGGAGCCGCATGATGGGGAGAAAGTTGCGCGTCAAGGAGACGAGGCAGAGCAAAGCAGTCGCTAGATTTATATGAGCGAGTATTGCAATGACATAAATGCATATGCATCCAGGAACCATGAAGCGTGCACGGCGGCACGGCTTCCGCTGGGTTGTTACCACCATCCTCCGAATATGCGCTCTCACCCTCTCTCACCCTCTTTGTTCACCATGTGTCCTGTATGCAAGCGTTATTTTTACCACAGCCCGTTCCGGGAATTTCAGTCAACTGATCACCTCTTGAGCTTGACAATGCCCAAAATAAGATGTTTTCATTCTGTAATATCCTCCGAAGATCAGGCAACCCGGTATTTAAGCGTAAGCATGCTCAAAATGTGATACTTCGTTGCTATGTATAATTCAAAAGCTGATGTAGATCCTTGAAGTTCCGGGTCGAGAGGCGGAGGAGGCGGGCCATCTAGACGCATCGTGTGCAGGACCTCAACCGCTTCGAAAATCAAATGTAGACAATAATCTTAAGTTCACTAAGCCTTGAGCAGCTATTCACTCGTCTGCGTTCTTCGGACGACTAAGGATAGGATAGGATAGGATGGCATGCTAGGATACAGCGGTTCGCTAGACCACAACCTGGCAGATGGTCAGTTCAAAAAAAGCATCTTATGAACGTCTGAACTCACAGGCCAGCCAGAAGAGAAGTCCAATCTGTTGATACCGAGCTACACAAAAGAGATCAGAATACTAGGTCGTACTATCAAATTCAGAACTCACGAAGCTTCCAGCAGACGTGTAATAGTCTAAAGGGTTCCATCGATAAATGTGAGCCTAGGATTTTAAGCAGGAACAAACTTACGATAAACCAATATTGGTCCGTCAGCGTCCGTCATCAAATCTTGACCTCCGGGGCCAACAATCTTCGTGGTAGGTGTTCAATTGCCTGCGAGGAAATCGTTCACAAGCTAACTTACCGAATCATGGGTTCCGAGAACAAGAGTTCCTCCGCCGTCGGTTAGTGCCACTCCACTAGCATCGACGTATCCACCATTGTATCTAATTATGAGAAATGCTCCTGTGAGTGATAGTCATAATTCTTCAAATTGCTTACGCCGTGGATCTGCCCACACGAATATTATATGTACTCGACGTTCCTTGGCAGCAAAGGTCCCAAGAGGTGAACAAATAGTAGAAGCTGCCAAATTGATAGATGACACTGGCCTCGATGGCATCGCTGTTGACGAATCGTTGAGCAAGAGCCGTTACTGCTGTGGTCGTAGGTTTCCCGGTGCTACTTCCGAGGCTGGACAAAAGGTTACTTTCTGAATGGCATATGATTGTAGTACTCACGGTTGACCTTTGATTCCAGTCCAAAAGCTACCCAAAGAAAGGAACCACGTCGACCCCACTATAATATTCCATCAACAGATCAGTGAGGACTATACTATGAATAGTAGAGGTAATCATTTACCAACGAGTAAATTGGGATCAATGGCCTGGATATGATGGAATAGTGGAACAACATTCAACATATGACCTTAGAGGGATAACTCACGTTATAAGAGGCTCCAGCGGAAGTCGAGGTGACAAGACCTTCATTAGTGAAGCTTCCTGAAAGGAACACCCTCAATTGATTTCCTTGGAATCGCGATAATCCGGAGCCCACCAGGTAAACCAGTCGTCGATTTAGCGAAAAAAATAGCCGACTAGGACGCAAATAATAAATGAAAGTTTTTCAACAGCCTTGAACGATTCGAGGCAACATTTACATTTTGTGATCCAAATGTGGAAGCCGCATAATAAAGCTGGGTATTATCAACCAAATTAGCGTGTCCAACCACAACGAATCTAACTTGGCTCACGTAAAATTGACCATCCAGATATGTGCAATCAGGCGCCCAAAGTGCACTGAGAATCGAAAGTGAAGACCAAGTTAGGTATAAGATGTGAGCTCATACCCATTAGTAGTACCAGTGTAAGGATCTGTCCAGCTCGCACCATTAGGCCAAACTAACCCGGCAAGGGTCCAGGCTGTTCTATCTGGAGAAGTACGAATCTCTATGCCTACACCAGTCGCTGTGTTGTAGCAGATATATGAGCATATGATCTTACATCCACGTCGAAGACTCACAGAAGACATAATAGGTTCCTTTATCGTCTTTGCACATAGTAGGGTCGTGGACTGCGGTGTTACCTAGATGTCCGTCAATAAGAAAAGGGTGGTATGAAGATTGATTCTTCATTACCTGTAACGACTCCGGGACCTACGACGGCTTTGACAACACCGCTCAAGACGCTGAGAGATAGCAAAAAGAGAGAGCGTCGCATGATGGAGGTTACCAAGACTTGGCGCAAAAATCAGCTCTGTCGGACGCTCATATTTATCTCAAGTTTTGAAGGGACATTGTGCCTGTCCTCTGCAAAACCTGTCTCAAAAGGTTCCAGCATAGAGCGCCAAGCTGTAACGCCAAGCAGGAATTATGGTATTGTTAACTGGTTATAATCAAGTGATTTCGCCAGAATGAAAGGTTTTTCTCTTTAAGGGTTCCGAAGATCGAGCATGAACGAACACGAGAATCTTTTAAAGCTTTGGGCCTTGTTCAGACCATACGGTTTCAAGCTACGTGATCTACGCCGGTCCGTTTGTACATCCATTTCCACTCCATGGTTTAGCCGATCTTAACCTAGAACTGGAATCATAAATGAATCTCGTTAGATATCGCGTGTGTAGCCCTAGGTCCTTTTTTGTCTATCATCACAAAAGTTGTGAGCGCGGGACTATTCTAGAAACCACAAATGACATACCGAGAGAACCGTCCAGTAAATCCTACGCCCAAGATCTTACGCCTGGCTCAGGCCATTTGCGGAGAGTATCGAAGAATGTATTCAAGATGGATCGTTGAGATAGTCACATGTACTGATGGATTGTGTTCTGAGTTCTCTGCGTGGATGTATGTATGTATGTAGTAGAGATATAAAATGATGGCTGTGGTAAAACGAAGTAAGGCCGTGCCGTGGGAATATTCACCTAGTTCTAAGTCTACAGGATTGTCCGAGAGCAGACTAGCAGTACAAGATGTACGAACTTGGAAATATAAGTAAAGAACTCGAAGGTACTGAGGTCCAATGGCATTAAAATGGCAAGACTATTACATACAGAATAAAATCGAATCGAAGAATGTACAGTCCATAGAGCATCTAGAAAGAATAAAAAATAGTCCATGAATAGGTCTTATAGATAATGTTAATGTCTAGAAATACTGATATGTCGCCGTCAGAGATCTGTGTAGCTCTAACATGGTCCTAGGGTCAATGTCTACCGATAGCGGTCATGTACTGTTGACGCGCATGAGTTAATTGAGCTTCTGTGGTACAAGGACATCGATGAGCGAAGTTATAGCACCAAGATTCAGCGAGAATCTGACCTATAAACGATGATTTTGTAGAAAACATCCGCATCGTTGCTATGATGAACTCTGCTGAATCCATCATACCCTGCAAAGACGATCTTCTTGACATTCCGGTAGCGACATGGAGCCTGATCTCTTTGATGAAGACGTTAACTGTAGTCATCCACAAGTGCTGCCATCCGTGAATAAGGCGTCAAAACGAAGTGTATTCTCAAATGTCAAACGTGTACTCACTCCCATGATGGGGTCTATGAAAGGGAAATCAGTCAGATTTATACTCTTCAACAGCATGACAACACTTTCTGCTGCCGTGAGGACTTGCCCTTGGGAGGCTGGATCTCGCTGCTCGAATATTCCGTGTAAGACAATAGTGGCTACGCGGCACAGGGTATGCGCAATGAGAAGTCTTCGGATTGTACTTCGCGAAAGGTTGTGGTCGGATAGCGAAGGTAGTATAGCGGCCATGTTATTGATTGCGCTATTGAGATTATTGAATGTCTGTTGAAAACGTGTCGCGTCTGCAAGGCTCATATCTTCACCCAATGAGCCTTTGAATGTAACAAGAAAGTTGCGAGCAACTTACTCGGTCGATACTGACGCTGCAATAAAGAAGACCTCTCGAATAGCATTGCAGCTTTGACGTGGATAGCAAGCAAAGATCGCCCGTTGTCTGGGACATTGGAGATGAAATTCTGAATGGTGTGACTACTCCGTATGCTATCTGGGAAAGAAGCCTATAATGGTCAGTGCATTGACAGATCTGAACTGTATATACTCATACCTGTGAGTAGCTCCCGGAGTCAAGAGGCCATGGCGCGTCTATTCTAGATTCTGGAACGTCGTATGCGATGTTTGATGGAGAACCATCAGCTGCCGTCCAGCAGGCGTTCATGATCACTACTTGCCACAGTGCGTTAATTCGTTCCCCTTCCTCCACTGGGTCTCTTGGTGGAAGAACCGAGTGCATTCCAGCCCTTCCCTGAAACGCGTATGCATCAGAGGATCGAATCTTGTGAAATCCAGCCCCAAGGACCATCGACATAGCATTAGAAATACGGTATTTTCCTTCCAAAGTCCGGCCGTTCACGAAGAAATACTGAGACAGAAATATTTCCGCCTGAACGCAATGTACAATACTTCGTGCTAGATAAATGGGATCTCTGGAGATTCCGGTCGAAGCATCGTATAATGCCTGAGATAGAAAAGCGGATTGGAGCGCAGATAACTCATTCACAGGAGATAGATATGCTCCAATGAGCTGACAAGCGCTCAGGATGGACGGAAAGGGTTGATCGTGGGATGAATGTGATGAAAGCGAAGTCGAAAAGCGGGAATAGTCAAGGAAAAAACCGAATTCGAATGAATATGGAAGGACGGAGCGGAACCTTTCAAAGTAATCAGTTGAAAAAAGATGTAGCAAGGCGCAGAATGGCTCACAAAGCTTGTCGCATATTCAATGATACCTTGCGTTCATCCGTTAGAAGGGTCGGAGAGTGTGAGGGTATGTATTACTTACATTTAGAGGCGTATGCGGAGGGGTTGAAGATGAGCCACTAGCTGCGTGTAAAGCTAGCGTACGCGAAGAATCGCTCGGATTTTCCAATTGCTGAAGACGAGTCTCCAGGATAGCAATGTCTTCTCGTAGAAGTTGATTGATGGATGCGCTGCCGTCTGAGTATCGGCATGCACTGGGGAGGGTAGCGTTACAGGACCCGCATACGGGACGTTTCCCGTCGCAGCGCTATATGTATGGACGAAGTGAGAGATGGGAATTATAAATGCTGCTTTGTAACGCCTCACGATTTTCCGTTGTCTGAAGAAGATGAGAAGATGTTAGTCGATGTCGTCCTAGAGAGAAAGCGAAGCGGTACCTGCAGTTTATACAAGCGGTCCCCTTCGGAGATCTTGCTGACGGTGGTCTTGACATATGAGTCTTTGATGAATTCGTAGACCGCGCTTCATGGTTTTATACGCCTAATGTTTGACTAGGTGATTGTAGGCCGTGTCCAAATACATCACAAACGACCAGGGAATAAGACAACAAGGCGGTAAAATGCGCTTGCGAAGCATTTCATTTGATTGATGGACTAGTACTTGAGTTCCGAGCCTGGCACCTATAAGGAGCGGGCAAAGGTGCCCTACACGTCAGGTACTCAGTCGTAGATGTAACTACGGGCGGGAGCTAGGAATCCTCCTACACTCTGCTGCACAGGTCATTTCGTCTCCCCGGTACCGTTTGCAGCGGAGACGAAGCAGCGGAAAGGGACAATTCATAGCGCAGTTTTCCACCAAAGGGCTTTCAAAACGAGTCAGGGAATTCGACCTCATCGTCACCGTGGGACTGGTAAACCAACCTGCGAAACGTTTTACGACACCGAACCCTGGTTCGTTATCGCAGAGAGCCGCGATGAGTCGATGAAACTCATTTTATGTGAGGCAATGATTGACCGTCCCGAGAAGGTTTTAGGATCAATTTTTGTTCGTTGATTGTCAAGCGAATTTGATGGCATGACATCACAGGGACCTACTAATAAGCGCCAATAAGCGCCCCTTGGCGCCTATTTCCCGTCTGAATGTTGTTCGAGTGCCACAACCTACGGACCCTTTACATCTGCATCCATCGCCACTACGAAAAGACCATACATGTGGTCTTCCGAATCCTTTTCTCCAGTTGTTGCAGGTCGTTGCCTTGCAACGGAACTGTAACCAAAAAACGGGGGATAATCTCCGTTCACAATAGTATTCATGAGTTCGGTAAGTTGATGACTCTTGACAGGCTAATGCGAACCCAGCACCCAATGGACATCTATTCGAATATATTTTCATCATGTGGAGAAGATAGTGGCTTGACACGTCCCGGAATCTATATACATAGCAGGCACACTTTGACCGTGTAGGTCCTGGGATACACTGTGATGCAATGCGTTGGACTCGAATAATAAATTCATTGAAGCGTCGACTCGGGAGTAGCTCGCACCGACGGTGCACCTTGAGGGTACTATGCGGAAGACCCAGGGAGAAAGTCTTTTGACGCCCGCACTGGAGAAACGGAGAGCCTATAATCATGATATCGCCTCTTCGCGTGCGACACGGAAAGAAGGCTTCAAAAGGAGTATCCAACGACCTCCACATAAAGTTCAACCAATTGCGAATATCTATCCCAACCACAATCGGACGTAGCAAATGATATACGATTCCGCCGACGTCATGATCGTCCGAGACACTATTCTGTTGTTGGCGGCATGGCTGAGAGTTGGCCTAGGCCTTCAGATCAGTTTTCTTCCCTCTTATAGTACTATTAACACGCACCGTGGGGATAATTGTAGATCGACGTTCTGGAAAAAAAGTTGAATAAAAAAACTAAGGATTGCAATGTGGTAAATTCATGAAGATCCGATTCCAATGGTGAAGAGAAGACACTACTCCAGAGGTAGTGGGATCACTTGAACTACGACGAGAACCAGCGATGACTTCTGCTGACCTTCAGCGGACTTACAGGATTAACATCCGAAAAGCCGTGCCTCAACGGGCGGGAACCGCCACGCCCCTAATGTCTACTTATGGTAGTATGAGTGCGACAGCGGTTGAATGAAAGGTGGCCACCGACATTCATCCGTTCATACACCAATTTTGGACACATGCGCGAAATCCTATCAGGTCGTATTCATAAACTTCGTGAACCCATAAGTTCTACAATCAAATAATCTTAAATCTACCTCACACAACATTGTAACTTCTCGAAGATACCATGTCCACGTACGATTACTAAAAAGAAACTCACCCGTACTTTCTTGGCGGAGCGAGCGGGGGCATATATAGTTGCTTCCGCAAAAATTCGTTCGACATGTTCGAGCCCGGACTAGAAGGATCAGCTTGATCACCGCGCAGCCAGGTTAACAAGGTTGCCACATGTACACATGTTACATGAATTCGCTTCAAAGTAGAGTTTGTTAAATTTGGGATCCTAGGATTTTTTCAGCAGTTATCATGTATGTAAGTTGTGTGCTTCGATAGCTCGAAACCTAGTAGAAGCAGAATGGGACCCCTCGGCACAAGGAAAGGTTATGTAAGAGAGATTCAGGACCCCGGAGGTCTGACGCCACCTACCTCCACCGTGTACCTCACGATCTGAATCAGGGTGTTTATTGGCTAAAGCGCTGAGAAAGTGGTGAACGTACATAAAATAAGCTATAAAGCTGAGTATGTACTGAGTATCTGAACTTGCGATACGCACTTACACCATGTCCATTTTCCGACGCAACTCCGATACCCCCAGCTTCACTAGCTTCACATCTCCAGTAGAAATTCAGATCGTCACTGAAGTAGAATACCACGAAGACGAGCAAACAGCTGACAGTGAAACCCAAATTGGAACGCATACGGCAATATTTTCTCACAGCTCTAAGCCACCACATCGCTGCTCAGTCACTGTTGGATCTCGACTCTCATCACCTTCATTCGACTCTTGTATACATTTAGAGAGAAATATGGCTCTTCCCAGATCCAACTATGACCCTCGTCGTGTCTGTTTAAATCCTTTCCCCGATCTTCACTTGGACAAATACAAAAGAACTGTTGGAGTTTACATCGCTGGAGCACTTGTACGTTTATCTCGTTCAATTTTACCTAGAAAAATAGCTCATCTTATGCTTCAGTTTGCCATTGCGAACTGGACATTCTTAGACGCTGCTGTCTACTCCGCACACGCCCGTGTGCCATGGGGTGATGAGCCACCTGTGCACGTAACTTTCGTCGATTGGGTGCCAGGGATCTGTTCACTGTTGGGCTATCTTGTCGTTAATCTTATCGACAAGGACCGTATCAAAGGCGACGAGGGCTTTGGTGACTCGAGAGCCGTATGGAGAGCGAGATTATTCCTGTTTATTGGCTTTGCTCTGATGGCTGGTGGCCTGGCTGGCAGTGTCGTACGTGTATACCCGCACGTTTGATTCCTACTTTTCATTAACATTTCTCCGTTTAGACCATCTTGGTACTGAAGTACGCTCTCAACGACTACGCAGAAATGTTCAAGTACTATGGTTACGCCAACGTCACCCAAAACATCCTCCTCATGCTCTCTGCTATCGTCCTTTGGATGGCTCAGAGTACGAACGGAGAATACGAATATAATCTGACGTTATAAATCTGTGTTGTCACCTTCGGACAAAAACAAACATTTAGGCGGGCAGGTCCTGTAAAGGAGAAGTAATCTGTACGAAATTGACTCGGAAATGGACCCATCCTCGATTAGCTAAATAATATGCCGCTTCATCTCGCATCTTTCCGTATACACAATCTACTATCCCCACTGTATCAGCCAACAGAATTAGGTTTTCGAAAACGCGATCTCCTTTCACTTTGCCTTTTCTGTCGTCATAATTCCGGTCTTACCACCAACATCTGTTCTATTCTGAATGTTCGAGGAACTTGTTCATGTTCGGTGTTGACTCATTGGCCCTCATACACATGCACACAGCGTGTAATCAAACAACTGTTTTCCCAACTCGGCTTGCCTCGCATTCCGATAACATAAGAAGTCGAACTTTAATTGTATGAGGTACGTCCGGGGTACGCCCTATGCAATCTTCCATTGACAGTGACTGACTTGACTGCGTAAATCGTGCAGCAACGTACACTCAACGGAGTGTTCAATCTCCGAAAGGTTCTCTTTTAAGAGGACTCTTCAACTTAATCCGGTCTTTTTTCCCCTGAACAATGGCTTTCAATTCGCAGATGATATCACAGATGATAATCACTACGCTAGTGCTCGACGTGGACGTCAACCAGACTGTGACTCATTCGTTTGAGCATCGTCCATCCAGAGCACAACTTCTCCGGGCAAAACCCACACAAGGCCATTCGTGCCGTCGTATAACAACAGTCAATTGAATCATGTAATATCGTGCGACGTCGGCTTGGTATGAAAGTGACTTGGATTTATCAAAAAAGAACGAGAGGGAATAAGATCAAGGCGGATGGACGAGGTCTTGGTGCAATGTGCTTTTCCATGTATCCCATGCTATTCCATTCTTGCCGTTAGCTCTTAAGATTGACAATACTACATGTATCATTCATGTCATGATTTTTTGCGCTTTGACCGCATCTTTATAATCAAGTCGTGCCAGGCATGCATCTTACTCGTCGATAACGAACAGATTCTCGATGGGTGAATCCGCGGGATGTTTAGGGGTTGAATGCACTCATTCCCTCCAAGCAGACCCCTCTGAGGCAGTTTCCGATAAACTCTTGTTGTTGACAAGCCGATGGATGATGCCTCATGAAGAATATCGTAAACCTGGGGGATTTCGATTCCAATCCCTATCGTCAATTTCCGGTCGGTCGTGGTCTCCAGATTCTTACCTCCATCGTTCTTGCTCCCCAATGCGATGATATTTCTCCTACAACTTATAGCAACGGTCAATCATCGACATCCAAGAAACCTCCTGCTGAACCGTCCTTAGAATGGTGCCTATAACTATGATGCAAAGCTTTCAGGTTCGATATGAATTTCTCGAGGCAGACTCACCTCAAGCGATGAGTCAATACTGCTTCCAATATTTCTGGTTCAGGGTTCCGCGACGTCTTCACCGTCAGCGCCTTTCCCGCTACGAGCTCAGGAATAGTGGATCCCTTCAAAAGACGGGCTGTGTTTAAGAATCCCTGACCCTGGGGTGGTATATTCCTTTCCCGATCCACAGCTGTCCCCAAAATCGCAAAGCCCAGCAACAACATGATCACGCTACATGCAACACTGACAATCGCTCTCCAAAATACGATTGTCAATCCTGTCGAGAGTGGCAACTCCAATACAAGGTCAGCGGAGCTATACGGCTCATCCCAGTATTGACCACAGTACTCCCAATAAGGCTGGAGTGAGTCAAATGGCGAACAGAGGCGGTTGATGTTCCAGAGGTAGCTAGCATACAACCGCTCCAGAGAGCCTTGGAATTCGACTAGAGAATTGGCGTTTGAAATGGAGTTGGAGGTTCCCGCGAATGGACTGAAGAGATCACCATCGAGCATTTTTGACAGGATCTGTTCAGGGTTCCCAACCGGTAGAGGAATCGATATATCCGACTCGTCCGAAGTCAAAGTGTTATTGTAGAACGAAGTAGGAGAAAATGCGAGGAGGAACTGTCTATCGATGCCAGCTAAATTTGTTGAGTCCTCCCAACTGAATTCATCCCATGCATGATCATCATGCGGAAGTTCGGGGCCTTCTAATTGTATAACGTCTGTGTGTGGATCGAGCAGGCGGCTTTGAGTATCGATCGTAGCCGTCAAATTCTGGCTCGTCAACGTGCAACCTATTGCTTGGATATACGCGTGGCATAGATCTTCGAAGCAGCTTGTTTCGTCTGGAGATGTGGTGAAGTTGAGTAGATTACCCAAGCTATTGTTGACATCGGTGAGCAGGGACTGATTCCTCTGCGTTGCAATGACCATGATGACTTGATGATGTCCGATGTTTGTAGAACTTGCGGGAAATACCCAAGGTTGGAAGAAAACTTGAGCTGGTGATAACGGTGTGAGCTTCGTACAAAGCTATGAGATAGGGAGCGAAAACTTACTCGGGAGTCCATTTCCAGATTGGTAGTGTCGTGTATGAGTCTACTCATGAAGTAAATCGTCAAGTAAGTTCGGCTCAAAAGTGTGCCTACCGTCCCTGTAAACCAGGATAGCGGGTGTCGTTCACTCGACCCGCGAACATAGTTTGAGCGGCAACCTATTCCACATTGTGATATGAGCAAGAGCACCACAGCAGTATAACTTCAACACACCATCGCTGCGGGCGGGAACAATCGTTTATCCGCTGATGAGATGTTTACATTTGATGACCATAGCTGATCGTACTCTCCGAAGCGACTGCCTTGGATGATGTATGGCCACCAGACATCAAAGAGTGTGCTTGTTGGGTTCTCATCATGATACATCCCTAGAGCGCTCCGTGGTAGGAGATAGGAAGAAGAGCACAAGATAAATTTGACCTACTACCGAAAATAGATGAGCTCCCAGTGATTTGCAAAATTGCGCAAGCTCCGAGGTAGAAGACGATACGTTTCAAGTGTTGAGAGCCTTGTAGAGAGCCTCTGTATGTGATCGAAAATATGTCCAGTTGGCGGTGAGGGAGGGCCAGAGAGAGGACCATCTCTGCATAAGGCAAGTCATTAAGCTAGAGATACATCCCTGTTTGAGAAACATACTTACCCTTGGACATTTTCCTTCTCAATGACGCCGCAAACCTCGAAGCGATGTACGGCTCTCCGTCCATCGCTGACTGCACAAGGTCAGTGTCTTCTACGACGAGAGAAAATTACAGTAATTGGTGGTTTCATTTGGCACCATTTTATAGCTTGAGATTTGTAAAATTTTGTATTCTTGAAGAATGACTATGGGGGGTTCTAAAGTTATACTACAGGTTGTCAACGCACTAAATTTTACAGTAATCGGTAGAGAAATATCAATGTTTTCGTTTGGGATCATTTTGAAGCAAAAAAGTAAAGCGTGTGACCGAGGCGCCAACTTTTGTGAAAACAGCAATAAGCAATAAACGAGGTCACATGTTGGTCGACTCAGGCGCTTGTTGGATTCTTTTCCAGCCGCCACTCATGACGAACAGAAAGACCACTTCCAAGGAGGGACCTGAAGAAAGTAAACAGAAGTCCAAGTTCTCCACATCATCTCCCCCTCCCGCAACTCCTTCTCGATCAAGCATCTCGTCTCCAGTATCTGGGACTCCTCTCCGGACCCACAGCAGCTCTTTCAAGCAAGGGGTACATACGCCCCCCCACCAGTCACCAGGCCGATCTCAAGAAGGTTATGCGTGCAGAGCTCGGAGACCAGACATGGCAGTTCCCCTTGGATCGCGTTGCGAGGATGTTATCTCCTAAAAAACGCATTGCTCCCCTGGATGACAAAGTTATTGACCATCTAGGCAACTACGCCTGTGTTTCTGATTCGCCCGGGTTCATGAAAAAGTTGAAAAACGCTGTAATGAAGCTCGGACCACGACTCAAGGATATCCAATGGCCCAGCGGCCCTGACGAACGTCCGTTCTATACTCCACTGGCTCAGTTTTTAAACGCGTGTGTCTCTGTCTGCAAGGAAGAACTTACGAATGACGATCGCTACACCAAAGGCCCATTTCACGACCTCGAGTTCATTGTTTACGATAAGGAGACCCAGGATAGTGTGGATGGGGCGTCTCCTGTGAAACCGGATCTAGTGGGAGGGAAAAAGTTTATGGCCTTCGCCGACAGTGATGACTGTAAGGTCAAATCCGCTCGCCTTTACTGGAATCCACCCGACAAGAATATGTCACCCATCTTGCTGCCTGTAGAAGTGAAGGACAACTGGATAGAATTAGTCTGTCAGGCCGCGACCTACGCGCGATGTCTGTTCAGTACGTCTCCGCTTCGGCAGTATTCATTGGTACTTGGTTACAACCACAAGGAGGGCACCTTCAGGTTTCTTATCTTCCATCGCGGAGGCCTATCTGCCTCTCTTCCCCTTGATCTGTGTGACGAGGATTCACACAAATCCCTCCTTCATGTCTTCCTGTCTCTCCTCAGTTGTTCTCATGCGAGAGATGCCGGTATTGCAGCGTGGTGCAATGAACGGCAGTTCAAGCTCCCAGTCGACAATTCTGATAAACCTGATTACGTCGATGCCAAGGTCGATGAAATTCTTCATGATGGTAACTGCTGTAGAGGTAGAGTAAATCGGGTTATACGGATATCGTATGGCGTTCCAAAGGATGTCTCTACTTCTCCTCTCCCCGTGGCGACAACTCCTCTATTTCCAGTCACCCAGCTGAGACTTTCAGCACGCGTCGCTAATGCTGAGGCTAAGAAGGGAGTAGAAGCACCTGTGAACTCTGAAAAGAGTTCCAGCAATCAGGTTGATTCCCGTACTCGATCAGAGACACAGGCATCAAATATCCCTGACCCATCAACTCTCGTTATTACGCCGATTGCTGTATATGGGCCTACTCGAGATCTTGAAGATGTGAAGCAGGAGCTAATGATCTTGGTTAAACCCTTGAATCCGTGTAGAGGCGAAACTTCCCATGGATTTATCAAAGCTGCATGGCCAAAACGCGATCCTGGGTCAGGTTGTTCCTCAGTCCCGGAAGCGCGGATGCTCAATGTGTGTGGTGACAAGTTCGGAACTTCGCAGCACCATTATTCTTTTCCAGCAAATCACTCTCATGGAATCCCTACCTCCAACGACATTTTTCTTCCAACCGAGACGGAATTAAAGAAAGGAGTGGCAGAATTTCATTGGAACCTTTTTTTTCCACGCCAAAAGCATAGTACACCCTTGCCTGAATATCGAAGCCTTTGGATTCACGTTGGGAAACTGATTGGAACCTCCCTGGTTTCCTCTCCCACCCCGCTCGTGTTGTTTACAGCCGTCCTGCACGCAATGCTAGGTCTGTGGCCATTTGCTCTGAAGTAGGGCTATTACTGATTACCATTGCAGGATGGCTCGCGATATGCCAGGAGGAGCTTCAACATCGGGATGTCAGTGTTGGGAATGTTCTTAGATTGGAAAACCCGGTCGAAATGCCCTCGTTCAAATTCAAATCAGATATTGCGGATCTTATAGGCACACTATCCCTATCGGAAACCTTACCGTCTACTGTTACCGAACAGATTGCACGTCTTGAGAGTTCGCTTGCTGAGCTGAAGGTCAACACCAGGTGCTTGGGTTTTATCATTGACGGGGACATGGCTGTCGACTGGAAGACGTATTTTGATGCAAACCATGATGGCACTCGTTCCGTCAGTAGATCTTATTGATTACCATGGCCTATAGTCTGACCCTTTCGCAGGGAACGTTCGAGTTTATGTCAGACAAACTACGAGAAAGCCTGTATTTGCCCAGGACATATATTCAATCTACGGTGGATGATCTTGCCTCCTTCTACTATGTTGGTCAATGGGCGGCGGTTTTCAACCCAAGCCATCAATCGGACATGCTCGAACAGCTCCGCAATCATGTCGCTGGGCCCCTCGCATGGCGAAGTTTCGCAACTTCGCGCATTATAAATCTCAGTCCAAAGACACCTTCCCATCGGCAAGATTATGGTTTATTTTTGCAGTGCTGCCAGCCTATACTCAAAGAGTGGCATGATTCTATTGATTCTCTTGATCGACGGTTTGTTGAAGTCACGGATGAATTGACCGCTCACTTTGATGGAAAAATAGACTCAAATACTTACCGGTCTTTATTCCTGTCCTTTTCCTACCATGGAGTTGCAGACTTTGCCCAGATATTGGAGAGACATGGAGCAAGCCTCGCTAGTGTACGTTGATTACCTTCTCTCTCAACTTTTATGCTAACCCGTTTTCGTTTCTTAGTATGATAAACTGGATTCATGAACAAATTTTGCATCAGTCTGAATACACCGAGCTACAGTAAACGCATATAAATATAAAATTGTTCTCATAACGCCAGTTAGAGCTTTGCGTGATAAAGTATCACAATTGATATATACAGCTTTGCCCAGGCAAATGTAAGCCTGGGCTTCCTTCTTCTGATCAATCTTCGCCTCAGGAAACTGAGATATTTCAAGGTCAGGCAAAAGACTTGGATTGGGGTGGATTCCGCGGAAATCGAACATGGAGAAAAGGATCCGTCGCTACTGTATATTTTGTCTCTGAATCCGAGTCAATGGCCATCCCGGATATCGTCTCCGCTAAAACTGTGCGATGTACTCATCGAGAAACCTTTTACATATATAAGCTCTCCGGGCCTCCTGTAGTTATCATCGCCACACCCTGGCCACCCGACCTCATTTTCTATCATTAAAACAGCAGCCATCACCTAGCCATATGGATGTACAAGATTCACATTTTGAACTCCGGTACAGTCTATGTAACATAAGTAGATGGTACATACCGATGATCCAGACAGATTCCTCATACTTTACTCCTCGCTACAATACATACACTCCGCTAAATCCTAATCTCTGACATATCATCTAAATGTAAATCGGCAGCGTCGGGTTTAACCCCGCTCAATCAGGACCTTCGACGAAGCCCTTGTCGTCAATTAGAAAATCCTCATAGTTGGTATAGAAAATTTCAACGTGACAGAAAAGTAGCAAGAACGAAAAAGGCTTACGATCGGAACTTCCACCATCATACCGCGCCCAGTCCCTCACCAAATTACTTGGAACTGGTCTGAACACCTCTGTGAAGATCTCCCTATGCTGTCTCGAAGTATCAGTCCACAGGTTGATTATGTCGGTCGAAAGAGGATCAGCGACCATCTGGTCTTCTTGAGAATTGAGTCGATCGGGATTCGGGTAGGGTGCGGAACGCATGTAGGGTGTGGAGTGGTCATCATCCATGTCGGCGTCCTGGGGAGGGACGAGGCCGAGGTGGCTTTGAGACGGAGATTTGGGATGCCGAGGGTAGGTGCTGTAGAAAGTATATAGCAATTTCTGGGAGATAGGACGTCGACAGAATCAACATGACTGACGATGTCTAACGTCAGCGTCTATCGCAATATCGCGGACGATTGATATAAGTATGCCATTGATGAGTACGAAAGCTACTTGAGGAGCTGCTGTGATGCCTGATTGGAAAGTAAAGACCTGGAAAGATTCGATTGATCAAACGTTTATGTGGACTGACATCCTCACCTCTAAGAAATCGACCGGGATATTCCAGCCTTTGATCGACGCGACGAGAGCCACAACATGCAGAACTAAGAGGGACCCATGTATGATATGAGCCACCATTAATTTGAACGACATATTCGGCTTCGTCGGTGTCGCAGGCGTTGGTTTCTCCGATTCTTCTGAGATATAGCCAAGTTTTTGAGAGGAGGAAAACGACGAGATTAGAGCTTCAGATTCAGCCTGGTGTGCAGAACTAATCATGTCGGTCATGATGGACGTTGGAGGCGAAAATGCGATGAGATTGATCAGTATCTAGGCCCTTCTAAGCCCAGAATGAAAACCTCTCTAAGTTTAAACAAGCTTCAGAACCCGGGCCTACGCCACGGTGGCTCGCAAAACAAAACTCGCACCGCACTCCAGCCAGGTTCACAGCTTGTTTATTTAAATGGAGCAGTCCAAGGTGCAGAGTCATTGATGCCAAGAGGAATAGTTTTGTTCTGAATAGGCAGAAAAGGTACAGGAAGGTGTGAGATGCCTACGCACATATTTCAGAAACATGTGAATTCGACGAGCATCGCAACACCGAACAGCCCTCACAATCGCTGTCAATAGCTGCAATCACCTTGCAATCTTCGTTACACTCACTCGAGCATCATTGCCCCCGGGCCACGCTTAAAACTTGTTTATGTAACATGGTTCAACATCCTGAGCTACTCGAATGAGGGGACTCAGACTATCGAGTCGCCAGTGCAATTATTGATGAAAGTAGAACTTCGAATGTCTGTAGGGCCTGTTGCAAGGTCATGCTATCCTTGATATAAAGATCGAGAATGGCGGACAATACAAGTGAAATCCCATAAACCCATCAGATAGTTAAGTAGTACGACGTAGACACGAGTGGCAGGAGAGGGAGAAATTAAGCTTGACCAGCATCATTCCCCGGGAGAAGATTCATTTCTGCTCGGCTTCATCCCATGCAACACCTCTCACCGGCGCTCCGTCACTGCCAACGATATTGATTGGCAGGAGGTTGACCATAAGTTCCATGCTTCTCAGCTTATCCAAATTTGTCAGATTCTCAACGATGTATCCCCCGCCTCCCAGAAAAACCTCATGAAATGGATGTCCTCCCGAGCCCGTCACATCTGGATTCGGCGCATCCAGCCCTATGACCATAATTCCATACTCGAGTAGCTTCCCCGCTACTGAGGGCTCCACATACGGGTGCTTGAAATACTCTTGCCCCTCCTTCGCCCAATATCGCGACCAGCCCGTGTGCAGAAGGAGGATCACACCAGGCTGCATTTGTTCCGCGTAGGGAGAGAGGTCCTCCGCCCAGGAGATACTCTCATGTGCGCGTTTATGTGTGAGGTCGATGAGTAGAGCAGGACCATGCAGGACATCTATGGGGATTTGGTCGATGGATTTGCCACCTTGGATGAAGTGACATGGGGCGTCGACGTGAGTGCCCGTATGTGTACCCATGGATATCGTATGAATGCTGAACGTGTCCTTCTCGATAGTCGCTATGGGGCAACATGTAAAAGGTGGCATTGTTCGCCAGAGAGATATGTTATTTGGGTCGAGGGGATGCGATAAGTCAATGAATTCTCGCTTTCGATTCATAGCTGAGATCAATGGAGGAGCAAAGATATCTACTTCGGCTCTTTAATACGAGGTTTTCCGGACTAGATCATTCACATCAATGGGACAGAATTTGCTTTCGGGGCAATCTAGAGCCTATGATAATCTGCTGGTTGGTCCACTGGCTGAACAAAGTTTCAAGGTTATCTGATAATTCTTCTTCGAATAGATCTCGAATATTTGGCAATTAATGGAGCTTGCAGAGGCTAGAATAATATCCGGGCTTTTCGAGGCACGTACACGGATGCAGACATTAGGCAGGTACAAACAGAATTTTTTTTGAAACTATTCAGAGAAATACAAAAATCATACATGAGATAGGGCCTAATCTTTACGAGCTAAAGATGCTCACGAAAGGAAAACCGTTAAAACGTCCGTGCCACGAAAACCTTTATGCAGCTTCATTTCCACGCGATTCCTCGTACCGGAGCACCGTCACACCCAACCAAATTTATCGGAAGAAGATTCACCATGACTTTTGGCCCCAGCTCCCCCAGAGTTGTTAGATTCTCGACGATAAACCCTCCGCGACCTAAGAATGCAAGATGGAAGGGAAAGTCCCAAGGGGGCTCTAACAGTGATTTATCTGGGCTTGCACAATCGATTCCGATTACGGAAACACCGCGAGCGATGAGTTGCTCTGCGACGTCAGGACTCAAATACGGGTGGTCCCAGTATATCTGCTCGGCCGCGGCCCAATGTTTCGACCACCCAGTATGAAACAGAACGATTATCCCTGGTTCGATCTTGTCAGCGTGGGGACTTTTTGTAATATCAGCCCATGTGATAACTTCTTTGGGACCTTTGTAGGTGAAGTCTAGGACGACAGCAGATCCTACGAGAGCAGTAAGAGGTATTTGGTCGATGGTTTTCCCATCAGCAATGAAATGTGAGGGCGCATCGATGTGTGTTCCTGTGTGAGATCCGAAGCTGACCGTATGCATACTAAATCCGTCTTTCGGAACGGTAGCGATTGGACAAGAAATGAACTGAGGAAGGCCTGGAGGAATCGACATGCGCTCTGGATCGAATGGATGGGAGAGGTCAACGAGGCTCATCGTAAAAACGGACATTACGCTGCACGCTGAGGAAAGTGTCAACGCGGAAGGGGGGATCGCTTTCAAGACCTACTTATACCAACAATTGGCGAGTGACGTCTGCGGTGAGGACCAAAGAAAGTCCGAGTCGATTGGAAAGATAAGCGCTACTGCATGAGTCAATTTCTCCTGTTGAAGGCATTTCAGTCAGGCTGAATTCAGTATTGGCGGACAGATTCTATGATTTCGAAGCAGGGCAATCTGAGAAGAGAAAATCGCATTAGTTTTGGATCCAAATGACCTGATAAGGATTTACTATATCATGGGTACAGGTAGGTACAGGTACAGGTTGCTAGTGGCCGGCCTGAATGTATATAAGTGAAGCATGCCAGGACTAGTCTAGAAATAATTCAGAGACGAAGAGGGATGAGGAGAAAAATTCACGCATGCGATTTGCTTTTATTTAGTCCGGACCGATGTACCGCGGCTCACTTTTCACCAGTCTACTGTCTAGTTCCCTGTCTTGGGAATCAGGATACATATCTGAGTGGGGAGCCTCTATTTTTTGCGCTGTATCTTGATTGACATTCCTCAGTGCCTCCTTCGGTCGCCGTCGTCGGTTCCGGAGTAACAGGACTATCTATTGCGCTTGCATTATCAAGAACATACGACGTTACTATCATTGCCAGAGACCTGGTAGGTGACAATGAATCGCATGGATGGGCTTCGCCTTGGTGATTCTAGGAAATGCATGTTTGGCGCAAGTTTTGCAAAGCTGACACCCTCACCTTGTGCAGGGCTGGTGCTGGCTGGCGTGTTTGTCCGGTTGTACATATGCATTTCCTCAAATGAGATTGATTTAGATAGCCACATATTGGTACATCCGATGAAGACATCGAGATGCAAAAACAGTCATTCAGGTATATGTGGAAGCTGGCAGAAACAGATCCGGAATCTGGGCTGAAAGTATGTGTTTTTGTTTTATGAGGATAATACGCGCTTCTGATACTTCACTGATGTCTTCAGCGCATCAAGAGCATCGATTATTTTGACCAAGTGATGGACGTAAGCCAAGTTTGGTACAAGGAATTCATGCCCAGTGTGTGTCGTACTCCTGTTCCCATCATGTGCGGTTCGCTCATTCAATGTCTAGTGCAAGCAAATACCTTCTACCGAGCTTCCTCGGGGTGTCACTCTGGGCTTTGAGTATAGAACTGTCGTCGTCACTCCTTTGACCTATCTTGAATGGCTCAAGAACCGTCTCTCGTCTTCCGGTACCAGTTTCGTACGGAAGGAGCTGACACACATCTCTGAAGTAAGGGACATTGTGCCGCAAGTTGATGTCGTAGTAAACGCCAGCGGTGTGGGTGCTAAATATCTCGGGGGTGTAGAAGACATGCTGGTGGAAGAGTCAAGGGGACAAACAATGCTAGTCCGAACGAAGGAAACCACTGTCATATGCCAAAGGTGTGGTGGTTGGTGTACCCACGTATGTTTCCCGTGCTTACTCGTTTTCTTAGTGGAGACCTGTACGCATACTCTATTCCTCGATTGGACGGCACCGCTGTCATTGGTGGAATAAGCCAACCAGGAAACACCTCTACAGTGCTGGATCCAGCTTTACGAGCCGAAATCCTTCGTCGTGCCCGCCTAATCACTATCCCTGGAGCCTACCCCGAGAGAGTGGAAGATCTCGATACTGTTGAGGAAATGGTGGGTATTCGACCTGGAAGGATAGGTGGTGTAAGGGTCGAGAAGGAAGTGCTTGTGGTCGGGATGAAGGTTGTACATGCATATGGAGTGGGTGGGACAGGATACAAATACTCTGCGGGAGTAGCCAAGAGGGTCGCTGGCCTAGTAGATGATTTTATCTACGGAGATGAGGTAGTCATGTAATGAAGAAATCTGTGCTGACGAAAGTGCTAAAATACGTTCGTGCTTTTCAAATTGTCCTCCTGATTTACTCAAAGCACTTTCAGGTCCTTCCACAACTTAAAACTGTCCACTGCCGAGTTACTACAAATGACACAGCATTTCGTTCTCAGCCAACGCCTCTGATTCAATTATCGGTGTACGTATACTGTGCTAGTCAATATATTGGTCTTTCCGTGTTTCCGAGTATCCTTAGTGACTTCGGGCTTTTGTGCAGTTACTATAGTGGTGCTCTATCTCAGTATAAGTATGTGCTAGAGAAATTCCTTCTCTGCACTATCCACAGCGCGCTCCCAAAATAATGGCCGAACACAGCCCGATGAAGTCCCCAACACCTTCAATGCAAATCCCACCCATACCCGAACATGCGCCGAATCGTACGCGTGCTACAAGTGCCCTTGAGCAATCCCTTCTACCCAAACTTTACAACCTCCCTCCCCAAGTTTGAATATGAAAAACATTCGCTCTTGGTTTGAATCTCGATTTCTAGGGCGGGAAAACCATATAGGTGTTTGGAAGAGCTTGAGAGCCATCATGTTCTCTTCCTGTGAGTTTTTCTTTGTCTATAAATTTAGTTCTGAAAACCGTGATACCAAGGGCTCAATGTATTACTTTTCTTTATACCGCTTGCATGGGTTGCACATTTTCTAAATCATGAGAATGTGGAACACCCTAAACATCTCTATCCGTTCAGCGTCACCTTTTCTTGTAGGAATTTGCTTGACATGTTGTTGTTTTTCCGATCTATACAACAGTGTCCTTGCTTGCGCTTGTTCCTTTGGAGGGTCTGGTAGAGTATGGTGGCGAACAGATGAGTCTATATTGTGGAAAAGATCTAGGTGACCTCATCGTTATAATGCTCAGCAAGTGAGTAACTCAGTCTTTCTCAATTTGTTCTTGCTTCTAACTAACATTTACTGAATAAGCTCCGTCGAGGCTTCTTTGGCCTTCGTGCTGTTTACCAAGTGCGAGTGCGTGATTTTGAGAGCATATTGACCATCCCAGATTCCTCTTACTCTTCTTAGGCTGCGACTTCTCCAATCCACATTGATTGGCGTTACCCTTTTACATCTACTCCTGGTGCCTGGTGTAACTTTCATCATTGGTGGGGCCAAGCTCGTTTATCAAGAACTCAACCCTCATATCGCTCAACTCAATCATACATTGCTGATTACGGGGTTTGTCAACAATCGATACAGTCAAGTCAACTCCTCACTGACCTTTCAGCGTACTTGCCATGGTCTTACCCTTTGCGCTATATACGACAATACATGAAGAAATGACGCCCTCTTCAAATGTGGATTTGCTTCAGGGAAAAATCCTTATGATCAGTCGCGGGTTGGCTGTTATTCTTCATTACTCGTTCGTACTATCCTCATTTTTTAAATGCTGAAATCTTACTGAATGAGTTGATCTTTCAGATATATACTTTCTCGAGTATTTCTACACAATCCACCCGGAAATGATAAATTTCGGACACTTCCAAACGCACCATCGAGGAAGAGAAAGACCTTCTCGTAAAAGAGCCCGAGGTGAATCTTTGGGTTTGTATTTTGTTGCTTGTGGTAACCATCGGGTTTATCGCTCCTACAACACAATTCGTATGTCTAAATCTTTGTTTTTGACTATCTAACGCGAGCCTAACTCGATCTGTAGCTCGCCGATAGTGTTGATATCGTACGAGCAGAGGGCCGTATTCCGGAAGAGTGTGTCGTGCTTTCTTATTTACCCGAAATCACTTCCTTATTTCCATCATATTTAGGTGGTTCGGCGTCCTTCTACCTCTCGCCACATACAGCGCAGACGGGCTATTAGCGATCGGTCGCTTTCTGCGTTGTATCGTCCGCCATTTCCGGGGACAGCCGGCCCAGCCTTTGATTCTGGCGAAGGCACGGTCCATTCATATGGCCATCCAATTCAACCTTTTTTGGGTGCCGTCACTGATTATAACGGGTTAGTGTAACAATAAGCCAATGTCCTTACTATTTGGTGAGTGGGTCAACGGAAACGTTATGGTCGAAGATGATTCCAGATTTTGAACTGTTTTCATATGGAGATCAGTTTGAAGTAATGATCTTGGTTGGTGCATGCTTTCTCGTGAGCTATGTGACCGCCGACGCGAAAACGAACTGGGCTGAAGGGGCCACAATGGTTTCTTTCTACGTTATGATAGTGAGCGCGTAACTTACCTCGCATCTGCACCAAACCTCACTTTCTTCGGATGGATTAGGCTCTAACTGCATGGTTTTACGTTAGTGATCGTGAAATATCACAGCTTCTCGTTGGTGGCAACTGCCAGGCTCCCAGCGACTCAAGCTAACCAAGTCTATACGACGGAGCTAATTGAATCCGTACCTATAAAGGTCCTGCAGGCTGTCTATGGTTCATAAGGAACACGAGGAGGCATGAGGTTGATTATCTGTCATACGGTCCTTACATTACATTTTCATGTGTGGTGCCCGCGTTAGATATAGAAAAACGAGATTTGGACAATATGCCTAGGTACAAACTATTTGGTAGGGGGCCGTAAGAAATAAGTATAATAGGTTCAAAAGGGGTACGGAGGGTAGAGGTTAGAATGCAGTGTGATACGTGGACGGAGAAACGCGGAAGACACAAGCTGAGAGGATAACAGTTCTATGGCAATAAGTGATGAGCAGATCAGGAAAACAGGAAGATTGGATATACTAGTAATTGCAGCAGAGATGAAGATGTAATATTGTACAAGACTGGCGTTGTAAAGAGGGTAGGAAAGAGCGAAGGGCGTTTATCATCAGCGGTGCGTTGGATGCACAGATGAATAAATGTCCAGAGAATACGGCGACGATCGAGTACGGGAAGAAAGGCAGAATGCCTTGGTAGGAAATAGAAACAGAGGAAATGGAAAGCGAGGGTAATGAAGTGTCTTGTCATCTTCTGCTTTTTTCTTCTTCTTCCCAACAATCCTTGTCGTCAGAGCCATCATCAAAATCACAATGCTTCCTTGCCTTCTGCAGCTTTATTCAGGCGCAGAACCTTCTCACGCACACACATCCACTACTTCCTGTATCACCATGCAATGCATTACAAAAGAAAAACGGGAACGTCCCCTCCCATACATAGCCCACAAAAGCAGATACCATCATCCAACACTCGAATTTGAAGAAAAGAAGAATATAGAGAATACACAGCCTGTGCCTAGACCAAAACGGGGAAGGTAGAACCTTTCGAAGGAGGGCAAGGGAGAACCAAAGCGGATAATTGTCACGACGGTCGACGGAAGGAGAATTACTGGCGATGCGACATATTGGTAACAGCGCCAGGCGATCCTAGCACAACGACATTGATAGTGGATGGCGTTGCTGAATCGCGGTGTAACTCCATTGAGTTAACCTAACCCATCTTGTTGTCCTTCTTTTTCTGCTTGCGCGGCGGTGTTACTGGTCGGCCCATATTCATTCCGCCATATGGATATTTTGCTTTCTTTTCTGCTGGCTTGAGAATCTGGAAAGAAAGAACTTAACTCCAAGTTCAGAGTCAGCTGGCAAAAGTAGAACATACCTGGAACGAACACAGCAATGTTTCGTCGACACTCATCATCGCACCTGCGTTGTCAAACTCGCCGCAATAATTTGGCGCCGAGAAGAGCGTCACCAGATGCCGCTTAGCGAAAAACTCATATCCGTCTTCGACGACCTGAAAGAATGTTAGATGAAATCCAAGCTTGTACGAGTAACGAACCTGATGTGCCCGGCAAATTAAATCCATGTCATGCTTCTGGAGGAAACGTGAAACAACATCTGGTCCAAATGTGAAAGACACTCCTCGGTCGTTCTCCGACCATCCTGTGATATCTTTATCAGGGTCTGACCATAACAGATCGCAGAGGAGACCTGTATAGCGGAAGTTAATGACCTATTGAAGGAGAACATGACAATGGCACGTACCAGTATCCGGAACGTCTGTAGGCCGCATAACTCTCCGTATCTGTTCCATCGACTGCAAGTCGGGGCTCAATCCTCCGTGCATTGTGAAAATCTTCTCATCGATGATAGCAGCAATTGGAAGACAGTTGAAGCAGTCGGTGAACGTTTTCCATAACTTGATATTGTATCGACGTTTGCCTGCCGAAATTGAGCAGTGTCAGCGAGTACATTCAAATGGAGCCCACAGTAATCACGCACATTCATCGTAAAAGCCATATATCCTGTTGATACTCGCGCATTCGTGGTTCCCTCTCAGAATGAAAAAGTTTTCGGGGTATTTAATCTTATAGGCGAGTAAAAGACAGATCGTCTCGAGAGATTGTTTGCCTCGGTCCACATAGTCGCCAAGGAAAAGATAGTTTGCTTCAGGAGGGAAACCGCCGTATTCAAAGAGACGCAAAAGGTCATAATATTGACCATGTATGTCACCTAGTAAAAGGTCAGCGAGGTCATCAAGAAGAGTTGATGTTGGCTATACCACAAATTTTGATGGGCGCTTCAAGCTCCAGAAGGATGGGCTGGTTTATGAATATTTCTCTCGCCTTTGTGCAAAGGTATTTGATTTCGTATTCCTGTAGTTGAACAGGTTTCCCAGGTCGATTACCTCGTACTGAAAAACTAAAAGTCAGTAACTAAATCAGCGCAGCTGCGCTAAGAGGAAAGAGGGTTCGTCATCTCAATACAGTTGCCTCAATGCAGTTGCTCGTCCCACCACTCCTTCCATCCATGAAAACATAGAAAATGGTCCAGCGTATACCAGAAGTTGGACGAAGGATTCCTAGAAGCCAAAGAATAAAATAAGGATTGCCAGCTCACCTTCCAAAAGTCGGTCGATGACCGAGTCAAGATCGATTTCCGTCGCTGAATCCGCCATGGCTTCGTCCGTAAAAAGTGCTCTCTAACAGTCAAAATCCTTCCCAACAGGTCCTTTCAGGCGCTTTTTAAGGGTGGTCGTAAAACTTCTGATAAGGAAAAAGGGACGGCGTGTTGAGTTTTTCTGATTGGCAAACAGGGTGAAGCTTCGGGTGCACCTTTATACAAAGAAAAGAAAAAGACTCGAAAAAGGCGGATATCAGTGGTCAAAGGAGCTCGTCGGAGAGCAGCCGGCTGTCGAGGACGTTGAAGACAAGGAAGCGGTTAATAATCGATTGTTGGGGCAGTACAAGATAACTTCTGCCGGTTTTGGCTGATTCTTCGGAGTAGAGCGTGGGATTATTCACGGGTAGCAAACAAAGGCCGGCGTTACTGGCAACGACGTGAACGAAGGAAGTTAGCAAACATTTCGTTGAGCGGACATGCATAATATTATTGCTACAGAAAGCTATGTACATACGAGTACAACACGCTTGGAGGACATAGCAAATTTTACCGTGAATCGAAGAATACAAGTGTCTCGTGTGTAAGTGATAGGAAGTGTGCAGCGGCAGTGGGCTGTGGAAACATTATTGGAAGCAACGAAAGGTATGTAAAGTAGTCTGAAGCTGAGCGACGTTGAGAATTGGTTGGAAAGTCCAGAAAGAAGCCCGATGCAAAAAGGTGTAAAGATGTGAGTCATAATGCAATGAGGAATTGAGATTATACAGCAGCAGTATTACTATCAGTTGCATTAGCACCATTTGGAGCACCGACATCGTTGGTCCTTCGCGGTCTTCGGCGTCTTCGCCTTTGATCAATAGCAATGAATTTCTGACAAACACAGATAAAACCACGAATAACTCACCTAGGAAACAACGGACCTCTCGGCATAGGCCGCTCATCTAAATCTAGCGCAATGTTGGCCGCGGAATGTAAGCCCTAGGAAAACCAAGCATCATGATTTTGAGCCAACTGCTGTGAAGTTAACAGGAACGAGTTAATATTACCCACCTCAATCCAATCCACCACAGCTGTTACATCTCGTGCCTGCAAAAGAAACTGCTCCCCTTCCATCCTCACCCGAATTACGTTCTTCCTCTTCAAATAATCATTTCCCAGCCCACTCTCTGCGTGTTGAAGCGTAAACGACTGAATCAAATCATCCTTATTTGGCGGTGGACAGGTGACTCCGTTCGGATACCGATTCGTCGGAAAGGTCGAAGATGGTGCGGATGTGATAGGCGTCGGTACAGCAGAAGACAACCCAGATGCGGTGCCAAGGTTCGAGGACGCAGAAATTAATGAGGATATCGCAGAGGCCGAGGAGGGTATAGAAACGGAAAGACTTGAACTTGATATCGTCGAGCCCATGCCGCGGTTCGCGCTCATATTCGAAACATTTGAGTTCGAGTTCAAGCTGTTCTCCCTATTCATTGCACTCTCCTGCAAATCTCCAAACGAAGGTCTCGACGGTGACCTCGAAATATTGAACGATGAACGCGCAGTAGAAGGGCCACTATTAGGATGACTATCGGGTACATTGAGGAATTCACTTTGTGTACGTTTATGAGATTTAGGTGCTTTGAAGATATTGACCAGTCGAGACCGGTGCTGCGGTGGGGACTCATCGCCATCCTGTCTCGACCTCGATACGGACCTTGACACAGATCGTGAAGATGGTCTATCCCTGGTCCGAGACGAGTGGGCACTACTCGCAGACACTTCCAAATGAACGTTCGTTGGAGGAGGTAGCGCAATCTGCGTAACCATACTTCTTCCGCCCCTTTCACCATCAATCTTCTCCTGCCTTAATCTCTCCTGCTCTCTTGATCTCTCCTCTGCAGTCATACTACCCGTCGCTCCAGCAATTGTCGCCGTCCCACCGTGCCCAGCAGGCGTCGACGGGTATCCACCAACGCCAACACCGACACTCATATCACCAACACCGACCTTGCGTTCCCACCAATCAGTAACTTTGCCTGTTCCAGTAAATTCCGGTGGACATCGATACACACGGAATACCGTGCCTTCGAGTTCGCAAACAACTTTCCGCCACTTCCTGTCTTTAGCTTGAACGCCAGGACTGACAAACTCGACTTTGCGAGGCATGATGGCGCGCAGGAAAATATCGTTCGAGTACGCGGGTAGACGCTCGTTACCCTCTTCTGCATGTGGTGACGGGGAAGGACGGACATGCTGAGCAAATGGATGCGGAGGGGGAAGCGGAGCTGCAGCAAAGGTTTGACTATGAGGATAATCCAACACAAAGCTAGGATAAGGTGGGGGAGGCGATCCTACATTAAAGGTCGGCATCGATCTACGACGGAGGAGCGATCCTGTACTGGAAGGACGGCCGTTACGAGCAGCAGCAGTAGTTTCAGTGGAATTGGAAGGCGGAGGTAGACGAGCAGGAGCCTGGATATGTGCAAGATGTTCCTCCATGGATAGATGAGGCGAAGGACCTAATGCTAGCGTATCTTTCCTTGCATGAGGATCGCGAGGTTCTTCGGTGATCAATGATGCATCTTTGCGGGAAGAAAGAGGTTTGCGTGTCTTTTCCATTACAGGTCCAGTTTGTGTTGTGGCAATCGATGGCTCTGAAGTGACATCGTCGAGCAAGGAGTGGACAGACGTGGCGTTGATACTAGCGGTTGTCGATGTGGTGGAGCTTGAAGCCTTAGCCGTACCAAGCTCAACCTCAGGTTGCGCCTCGTGCCTTTTTATACCCCCAACATGGTCCAACACCCCGTCTGGCGTCAAGCTATCCGCAACATTGATGTTCGCCTCGGCATGCTTGTCCTCCTTAATCAATTTGGTTTCAGCCGACCCAACGCCGAGTCCAGGAATATCAATCATGCTCCTCGATGCGTGCTGGTAGATCCCTGGCCGCACAGGCAGAGGTGTGCGATTTACAGTGAATTCTGAAGCTTTCGGTGTCCTTGCAGGAATGGCCGAAGGCGTCTTTCCTGGGACAGGAGAGTGAATCCGTGGCGTGCCGTTACTAGAATTCGGATTGCTATTTTCGCCACTACCAGAGGACCCGTAGTGTTGGGCCGAAAAATAATCGTTATGAGAGCCGAAACGAGGGGTTTGTAAGGAAGCTGTAGGAGTTTTGCCTGAATCGTCATTTGCTCGTTGTTTACCCTTGGGATCGAAATTCAGAAAAGAAAAGTCTATTTTCGTCAGATTCACGGGCGGGAGAACCGATGGTAATGTTGGTGGCGGCGGCGGTAGTGGTAAAGTATGAAACTGACTCTCCGTACTGGACCGTGTATCGTCATCCTCGGCTTCGCCATCACCTTCTACGTCGACGTCTGTGTCTTCGTCGTCATCACTACTGTCTGCATCACCATCGACGTCTTCATGATCATCCTCGTTGTCTCGTTGATCTTTACCTGCCATAGGGAGTGCTGGCATTTCACGTAGATTTCTTCTGCTTTGAGCATGGACGGAAATTCTTCTACTCTCGACGACGGGACTACCATTACTGCCACTGGCCATCCCACTCATTCTTCGAGCAAATGCTGACGACCCTGCAACACCTGTGCCTTCGCTCGCAGAGATTCTCGAGTGCAGAGGGCCCAAGTTACCATCATCTGCCTCTGTTGTGGCATGAGACAGGTTCAACTTGGGTAAATTGAGAATGGGTAATGCAGGTTGCCGAATTATTATGGAAGGTGACAACCGTGCCGAGGCACTTTCGTTGTCGGAAGTCAACAGATTGAATCTCTGTCTCGGAAGAGGAGTATTCAAGTGCGGCGCAGACGGTCGGCGAGAAGAAGACGTCGTGAGAATAGCTGTATTCAGGTGAGGTGCAGATGGTCGACGAGAAGGATACGATGAAGAAATGAACGTCGTTGGAGGTGTATTGGGTGATGTCGCAGGTCTCTGGGAAGACTGAGATGTAATCGGGCTCAGTTTATTCTGCGAACTGTCCAGAGGAGAGATAATGGAAGTAGATGTGGGCGAAGTAATAGGTGAATGGGAAGACAATAAAGGTTGCGATGAATTGGGATGCTTTGGGGATGCGATAAGCACCGGAAGAGGCTTTTCCGAAGAGTTCATACTGAGTGGTGTGACTGTAGCCGAGGACGAAATGGATAATGTTGACCCTGATGTATTTGGCAGTTCAGGATTGCGACGTGATTTGTTGAAAGAGGATGAATCTGTGACCTCATTCCGTTGGGCTTCAATCGAAGATCTTTCCTGCTGTTGTTTGCCTTGCCTTTCCACCTGGCGATTGGATTGTGACAGAGAGGAGTCAGTAGAACCTTCCAAACGTGCCTGGTATCTCTGCTTAATCCTCACAGTGCTCGAATTCGAGTTGGGCAAGCCAGAATTAAATGACGTCGTTTGGCTCGCCTCGTTCACGTTTGGTAACCCATCTACCTTGCCTTGCTGCTGCCGCAAATTTTCAGGCTTCACAAAATCGGTCCTCGAAGGCGAGGGTTGGTGCATAGATTGCGCCGAGCTCGCAGTGCTATCTCCTTCATCGTGGTCTTCATTGTCAAACCTTTTCCGAATATCAAGCACTGGTTGTGACATGTACGGTTTCTGAGCTACATGTAAATTCAAATCCATCGACCTCGTTTCGCGAGTAAATGTAGTAGGCATATTCATCGACATGTATGGTCCTTTGCCTCTGTCGTTGGTACTGTCAACGGTACGAGAGTTGCCTAGAAGCCGGACTTTGAAATTCGACACTTTGTTGAATATTCTGTTAGCTTTCGACTATTGAAATGTAAGGCCAAAGCGTCGGGTATAAAGGAGAACACGCACATGGAAGCCTGAGCTCCTTGTCTGCATTACAGACTGAGCTCGAGGGAAGGGTTCTTGTACCTCCATTGTGATCGTATTATCAAGTTTTTCGTTATTGGCGTCTATGAATGAAAGAACATTCCAAACAACCAGATTTTGCGATGGGTGAGTACGGATTTAGTGGTCGTTATTTCCCTTGTAGTGTCGGATGGTCGTGGTCAAAGAATGAACGTGAAAGTGAGAATCAAAAGTCTTAGCATGGGTCCAATGCCATCGCGTTCAGGTCATCGATGATGACACAGCTTCCAAAAATAGTCGACGCATTATCCCCATTCGAGATAAACACATTCCCACGGCTGGTCTCTTTACCGCGTCTTCAGAATTTTTGTTTTCTTTATCCCAAGCAAGTACTTGGTAGACAAAGATTCAAAGAAAAGCCCTTTGAACATTCTTCTCGTTCATACTCAATCCGACAAGATAGCACCAGACTTAAACTTTTCGCTTGATTTTGTAATACATTACCCGATGTGTGTGGAAAGTGCCCTTGTGGAATTAGATTCAATGACTGCGAATAACTGCGTTCGCCGATTAGCCATCCCCAACAACTCCAATCGATCCTATGACTGGATCAAAATTACTCCCCCTTTTGTAAGTGTCCTTTTAAAACTTGCAGTTGAGCTGACATCTACAGCTCTTGGGGAACGAACTATTCTGATAACACGAGGCGGATGGAGATCTAGAAGTGGAGTACCTAGGTTGAGTTTCGATGACGGCCTTTTCACTTCATCCAATCTGTGTCCAATTATCCCATAGAATATTTCCCGCATCCCATCAAGCTCCTCCGCAGTGAGAAACTTCGTCATCTGTCATTTAGCAAACGAATAACTGTAGAACCATCAGCCAACAAGAAGGTACACTCGGAGTGCCCACTCAACGCTCGTGAGTTTCAAGAATAGTTTCGTTAGCATTCCGATCTGACGGGAGTTCCTCTTTTACCAGGATAGGATAGGATACCAGGTACAATTAGAATATGCCTGTGAGATCGGAATTCGTGGAAGATGAAAATGTCCTACAAGGTCAGTACTTGCATTGTATATAGTTATGGTGAACACGGAGAAAGGTCTACAGAAATTGAATGTGACACATCCAGAGGTCCCAAAAGTTGTTGGATTCAAAAAATAACTCAGAAGGCCTTGAACACATAAGACACTGATTTGGAAGGGCGTGTCGGTATATGTTTTCTACGTCATGAAAAGAAACACATCCTAACACTAAAGAGTGGCGAGCGTTATTCTTTTTGAGGAAAAGCACGAAACCCATGCCTTGTTATCCTTCCGGTTGATCTCCGACTAATACACTTCCCTGATTTCCGCCTCGGAATGGGCGATGATAGCGTCAGACAGCTAAGTGACTAAGCCGCCCCCAGTCTGCTACCAGTTTCTCCTCAAATTCTTATCGCATACTGCAATGAAATATCATCGTTATGCACCGGCCGCACTAGCTGCTCCATCTTCAACTCTTCCACGTAGTCGCCTTGCTGGATCTATAAAAATTACAATTCTCCGACTTTTGTTCCCATTTCAACTACACATCTCCTACTTATCTGGCACTCTCTTTGAGAATGTCTAGCGGCATGATCCCGCTACAATCTCAATATCATTCCTGCGTCGACTCGGATGTCATAACACAGCTCCGAGACCCATTGATGGACCCTAACGGCAACGTGTTCACGTTCATCCTATCGAGTGAATTGTTTGGGGTCACATATCCCCTCCCAAGCGCGCTGAAGGGGGCTGAAGGTTTGCGCCGTTATTTAGTAGCGGGTCTTACTCTGTCTTACTGCACATTTAGGATGCCAATCCAATTAACAATCTGCAAAGAGAGGATAGGATAGAAATTATACTGGCGAGGTCCGATTCCCAAACAGGTAATTTACCATGCCAGTATGTATAAGGCGATCGAGTTAAGTACCGTCGGGCGTGCGTGTGTAACAGCTTGAAACAAGCTCATCCTGAATCTTTTTGTTGGACCTTGCGCATAAGTACATATAAATACTTTCGTTTTCGTGCACAACATTCTGACCCCCTCTTCACCTGCTCTTCACAGAAGTCATAAAGCCTAAAAGCGCTGGTTCGGTATGTTCATGTGATTCTTATGTATGTCCGTGCACTTCTTAACTATAAGGGCACTTTCAAGTTGCAAAACAGGAGGAATTACACCGGACGCTGGATCGGTACGTCGGCAACACGTCCATTTCGTTCACTGTCTGTGTCTGACCCCTCTATCTCTTTTAGTTCCTCATAGTAAAAACGTACTTTCGGCAGGCCATCTTGAACTGACACACCGGTGATTGACCTTGACTGAACGTTCTAGCTTGTATCGCCCTTCCATCCTTTTGACTGTTCAACTATCATCATGCATATGGTCCAGCTTCATCTATTCTCTACCTTCCTTCTCCTTTCAACTGTCCTCGGGATCGCGGCCACCCCTCCTATCCGCAGAAGCTCTTCAGCAGCGGATACCATACTGAGTCGAGCAGACACCAAAGGTCCGCTGTCTCTTTTCCGCATGCATGACATACGACTAATCACTATTTCCAGACAGTGTCATACAAATCATATTTCGGCGTTCAAACTTTCAAGCTCCTGACGGCCGTTCTAAGGCTACAGAGACAATCAAACACTACGCTAGTGATGCACCATGGAGTACCGACCAAGATTGGATTATATACCTCGGTACCCACGATGGATACTATGCAGTCCCTGATTCGACAGCGGAGCATGGGTTTACCAATACCAAAATATCTGCATCAAGATCGAAACATTTTGGTGTAAAACGTCGTATAATCATCGGCACGTCCAGGAGTCTTGTTGACAAGCGAGATATGGCGCAGGCTTCCCTTTATATTTCTCGGATGAAGCCTACCGGGAAAGCTGATCTCGTCGAAATTGCGATCAACTACCTGAGGGTACACTGGAACTTGCAACAAACGGATGAGGAGAAAAAGAATTGGGCAGAAATACGGAAGAAGATGAAGGAAGCAGAGGACGCTGCTACGGAGGAAGCCGCTAGAGCAGTAAAAGCTACTGGACCAGAGGAAGTTGCAGCTGCTGAGGCCCTGATGAGCATGAAGAAGAAGGAATAGTCAGTACAGGACTTGGAACATCTTTATATCTATCTATCGTTGTTCTCCCAATATAATAACTTTCAAGTTGAACAACGAATTTTAGTACGATGCAGCATTTCATGTCTCTACTTGAGTTTCAAATCTAGTTCTGGTCAAGTTGAAAAGGGATCCCAAAACTTTCGCTGTCGAGACACAGGTATGTACTGCCAACGAGGGAACGACACAACATCTTGGTTGTAGACACTTGATTATATACATTGTATAATATTGGGTATAGCATAACCAGTAGATATATGCACATTCAACTTGCCAGGACTCGGTGGTAACTTCTCGATCTCACTCGCCAAGCCACCCAACAAGACCGACTGACAATCCCCGAGTCTATCAAACCTAATCAACCATCTCAATCGCCACACACCAAAAGCTCCTTCCCCAAGGCTCGGAATCCGACCTCGACGCATTGGAATCCTTACGCTCACAGCACATGAATCGCACCGGTTGACCGTCCCAATACCGCAAAAGGTCAAAGGATATTCCGCCCGGAAGACGTAAGGTGAGGGAAGGTGCGAACTCAAGGAAGCCATAACAGAAATCGGTTGTTATGATGTCCTATGAATAACGTATGTGAGTAAATACAGACAGATAGATGAGAAGAATAGGGATGGGAACATAAAGAATGACAGGTGAAGTGAAGAAGGTAGCGGAACATCGTGAGTAATGATTTACGGGTATAAAGCGAAAAATCATTCGGGAGATTGTATTCACCTCTGGGCCGAACACTACGCTTTTCCGATTCTTCGACACACTGAAATAACTTCTTCTTTGAGCGGCAGTATGCAGGTTCACTGGAGGAGGAGCTCCGTTGCCATTTCTAGACATTGAATGGCCTCCGCCGCGACGGATCTTCGATAACGACTTGATTTTGGATGATGTCGACCCATTTGAGCTATGAGATTTCCTCGAAGAAGATGAGGAAGACAAGTGCCCAGAATCACCTGAATGAATTGATGATCCGGATGACAAGGAAGATGTGGAGGAAGATGCCGATGAGAGAGGCGAGTCGGCGTCTTCGTCTTCTTCGTGAAAAGCAAGAGAAAGCTGGGAATTATCGTCTGTGAGCGAGCTAGATGAAGGAAATTTCGGCGGTCTGGATTTGTGAGAATGCGCGAAATGAGGCATGGTCGCTACGAGCGGTGATAGAGCCCATGGTTTGGTCTGGGAAGTAAGATCGTGTGTGAGGTTTGGGTCGAGGTAACTGGACAGAAGATTAGACATGGGTTATTATAGAAAATTAATCAATACCTCATGAACTTTAGAGCAGCGCCAGAGCCCCAAGGGAGGTGTAGCGGTCTCTCGAACGTGTTTCCGAACAGGATATCATCAGCAGAGTGTGGTTGCAAGAATCGACCTTGAACAAGAGCTTGATTTCCATTTACACATGAGAAGTGATCATCAGAATATACCTTGAACCTGTATGCTCCAAGTGACGCCTTTTCTATCGTCTCTATCAAAATATTCTGTGTCTTTATTGAATCCTTTAATGTTCGCGATGATCTGTCCGTCGAACAGGTCTGAAGAAACTTTGCAGGGCAAATTCGTGTTGACCAGATGAGTTATGGAAGAAAGATGATTTGGATCTGGTCCAGCAAGAACGCGAAGCTGAGGCATATTACTGGTCAAGGCGGTGAGTTTCGTCGTCAAGACTATATGCGATTGAAGAGTAAGAAGATAAAGAAACCGGAGCTTGGGAGGTAAGAGTTCTTAAGAGAGAAAGGACAGAATGACGCAAATAAAGAAAAAGCTGGGACGTAGCCGGCTACGCAAAGAATCGAGTTGGTGAAAGAGACAGGTGTAAATCACTTGTGGAGTTTTACTGCCTAAATGGGGCAAACAATTCAGTATCCAAGCTTCCATTTTTGGGAAGCATGTTCCCATGTGCCCGAATGCTGTTCGTATATCCCGCTTTGACTTCGATTATTATACACTACGCAGGTAAAAATCATCTATGTATGCAGGCAAAACTTCTCAATAGGTGTACAGTGTGAGCTTGCAGCGAAACCCGGAGGATTTCAAGCTTGGAAATAACACCAATGACCTAGAAAATGTCCTTCAAGCATCGCAACGATTTCTAGATCGCAGTAGGCGTGGAAACTGCAGACATCATTAGGTATTTACGTTTACAGGTATAGAAGCTGTAGACAAGGAGAAGTTCTCGAGATCATGCCTCGAGTCGGATCAAGATTAATGGTGGGTACCTTTATGAAAATCGTTCGATTTATTTTTGGGGAATAACGTTGGACGTCTACTCGTGAAATCTGTCGTTCATTCACGGATGATCTTCTCACCTAGAATACTTTTACTGGCCATGGTCTTCATTTCTTGCGCCGGGATAAGAATCATGAAGCATGTCCCGGAGAGGCGTCTCCGCATCTACGAAAGTACAATCCAAAAACAGAGGCATGGAAATAGACTTGCAATGAACTCGGATAGCATGACTGAAAGCGATAGAAGCTCCTGCAATATATCAGTGGACAGAAACTAGGACGAAGATGGGTTGAACTAAAGTATCCTCATCGCAACGAAAGGAGCTCGTAGTGCTGGTGCTCATCCATACTATGTGCCACCAGCCGGCATTATTCTGCCACTAACACCTCAATACGAAAACCCACTCACGACCCATTCACAAAACTCGACGACGATGTACGTCTTCAAACGCCCGATTGTAGGTGACATAGAGCACTTGGCAACCTCTCGTGCAACTGTTCGAGGCAACACCGGCATCAGATTCGACAATCTGCTGCTTAATTTCTGTAACCTGTGCCATTCATGGCCCATGGATACTTCGCTATTCTTGATCTCAATAATCTTCAACGCTGTCACCTGTCCTTCGAATGAGAAATTGCAGATTATTGAGATATGTAGAGCTAGTACTTAGTAACTCACCTTTCAAAACAACATACTCCTAACGTTGGTTTCGCCTAGTACTAACCCATATTCTAGTATCGTAACTCGAATTTGAAACAGCGGGACATTGTAGGATGTGCTGGTCATTATTGTGGTTCGATCCAGGAACTTGGCGATGCAGACAGAGTTTCGGTGTTGGCGTCGAGCCGGCGGGATCATAACAGCGAGGGGGGTTGGGGACAATGTTGAAGAAGGGGTATGGTATATGATTAGAGGTGAAAGCAGAGTAGTGAGAGTCCACTGGGGAATGTGCAGTGATGATGAATACCGAGAGGCTCGAAGGACTGATAAGATGAGACAACGGAAAATTAGTGTTGAATACAATGGTTCAAAGCAGAGAATTATTGCAAAGGAAAGCGTACATGTATATCTGACTTTGATAGACCCTCTTCCTGTCCTCTAAACGCACCGTCAAACCTTCATACCCATACCTCGTCTGTACGCGGTCATATCTGTGAGCCGTGTTGGTAGAGCAGAATCTGGTAAAGCGTCGATAGGTTGCAAGCCTTCGAGCTTGAGGCGTTGAGGAGTGAGCTGGGCCAGCGTGGTGAGTGCTCAGAATTTTTAAATCCTGCTCGAAGCTCTCCGACTTGCTCTTGACGAACAAGGAACTAGGGGATGAAGATCATGTTTGCAACTCAGAATTTCGGATGCCAAGGGTAGAGATCTTGGAAATAATACAAGTTGACTTCGACAGCAATAAAAATCTTCACAACACCCTATAGTGTAGAGGCAAACTGCTGGATTGCTGTTTTATACTATGCACTTTGACATACTTAATTGATTGGAGGAAAATCCTCCGTGGTCACTTACAGAACACAAATGAGCGGAAAACTACTGCCTATGTAACAAATTAAAGCTGTATGTAGTACCTATCACATGAATTCGCAAAGATTTGCAGTAAATCCATGAAATGTCATGACTCATGGTTACAAGGAAGGAAATATTGCTTAACGACCTTGTTCTTGCCTCGAAGATCTAGGGAGATCCAATAATCTAGGCATTTTTTTCAGAAACTTCAGAAATTGATTGAACACGAACTGGGCAACATGAGATTTCCGGTAACATAGAATTTGTCATACTCAAAGCAGAAAAATCGGTGGGGTGAGGTATTATCGAGGTTGGGGATCGTTGAGTGACAGAGGAGCGGAAGAACTTGAACTTGGGGAGAAGTGTAGAAACAGTTGAATCAGTGCAAAAAAGGAAAACACGAGCCTCGAGGCTTTCATTCGCCCAAATTTCTAATTCAAAAAAATACAAGGGACTATTCTGACTCTGACAGATCCCGCATTCTTGTGCTGACTCGTCGCGCCTTGTGCAGACAATGCTGTTTTGGGATTCTCAGTCGGTATAAAAATGGAGTTGTGTGGATTTCAATTCTTTACTTCAGAATAATCATTGAGTTTTCATCAAATGTCGAGCACAAACAGAAACTCATCGAACAACTACCAAACCAACCAAACCACTCAAGGACGAGTGAGATTCGAAGAAGAATCCACCGTCTATTCGCATGAAGCTACGAGAAATCCCCGATCGACTACTAGTAGCAGGGGAGCGCCACGTCCTCAAGATACACGTAGTCTCTATGCAAGGCAATACTCAGAATGGATTACAATCAAGCTAGCCAAGTTTACTCACATTGCTAACAGCCCACAATCCCAACCAGCCCCTAACATGACGGGGAATAGGGGCTACATCGAGGCGCCACAACTTCAACCTCCGGAACAATCCTATGGAAGGTGACCATCCCAATGCCCATCATGGACCTCAGTGAATTCACCTGGCTGGCGCGTCGAGCAACAGTGCTCACCAAGGAAATCCGGCAGCTTCGTGGCAACATTCGGCGTGAGTTTCTCATTGGCTTCAGATAATCATTTTGCACTGACTTGAGGTATTCGTAGCTATCCTGGTCAGTTTGTCGGAAACAGCGCCGTAGACTTTACCCCACCCACTCCACAAGGAGTCAATACCATCCCTCTTCCAAATGTTGGAGAGAACAACTACCAAGAGGCGTGGCGATGTCAAGCGTCACCCTACCAGTACAGCCCAGTGGCAAACTCTAACCAGTAAGTTTAGTAGCTTACAATTTGATCATTACAGCAGCCTACCTCTGGATCGAGACCACCTTTGACTACCGTTTGGATGTCAACAAGTGCCACAGCGTTGCCTTCCGCCCCGGAAGGGGTGAACATTATCCCCCTCCAAAGCATTGAGGGGAGTGAAAGTGCAGAGACACGGCGAGGTCGAGGCCGAGTCTCTGCTTACCCGTCAAGCTCGATGCGTTATCCTATGACTGTCAACCAGTAAGTCACAGAGCTTTGAACTATTTGATTACGACTCACCCTTTGCATTCAGACCTGCTCTGCAGCAGAGCTTTCCAATGAACACCTTTCCTGTTAACAACGGGGCGACGCAGGAGGAAGGGGAAGAGGACCGCAGATGCTGCAGGTTCTGTTGAACATCCGAGTCGATGGTTGATCGAGAAGCGATGCGTCGGCCGTTGTATTTTTTCGTCGTTCTTAGCATGATTCCCGTAGCATAGGCTCATGGGGACGTGCCGTTGTACTAGTAGAATTGTCGCCCACAATGGGTTGAGAACAACTTGATTTCGCGTTTGGTGTATGATTGAATTGTTGAGACGGGGTGAGCGCGCTAGATAGACCAAGTGCCGGTAATTATCAGTGATTAGTACTGCTATCGTGCTTGAGTACACACACCTGTGGCTATGTATGAGAAGGGGGTATGGTATGGTAGGATGCCAATTCAGCCGTGAGATCTGAAAGGGAGGGGTGAGGGAGAGCGGATATCAAAGTAATTGACCATGAAGGGAGGAAGTAAGTCGAAAGGTCAGACGTCTTGCACGACAGTGGTATTATATCCTATGTGCGAGGTGTCATTTGTTTTTTCCCTAGACAGCGAAAAATACCTTTTAGGAAGGTCTTGATCAGCTATACATACTGTGCAATGTATTGCAATGTATGCCGAAGGCATCCTGGGAATGAAAATGAATGTGGGTCGACAGGTCAGCAGGGGATTTCCGATTACTAGAAAGAACAAAGAGTGCACGGTGTACCCTGATGGTAACAAGTTGAACGGGAAGAAAACAAAAAGATGTGTTACGTGGATCGGACTAGGCTGAAATGGGTCACAAGAATGTAGACATGGACAAAGAGCAGATAGAGATTAACACGATGGAAAGAAGACAAAGCTTGAAGCTCTCTCTCTCTCTCCTCAGATGTCGAGATGAACGCTTGATTACGCCTTGGTCCTGTGCGATCAACCAGAAAAAGCTTATATGTGCGCCATAGGCTCGTCCTTGATCACCATACAGTTGCACTTGGTGGTCGTATGCCTTAGGGACATGCAGGGAACATCGTTGAAGAAAGAAGAGGAATAGACGCCCTGATATAGACGCCCGTTTCTTTGATTCGCCTCCAGGCTCTAAAGGTTGTCGAGGCACTGTCATAAGATTGCGTATCGGTCTTTCACCGTTACAATTTGAAATTGGCTGCACGTAAACAGTCACGATTGCTGTACACCTACAACACGGAACGGTACGAAATCTTGGTAAATAACTGAGTTTCTAAAAAGTGTCCTAATATTGTCCTCAATCCAAACAGATAACGTGTTCTACTGATCAGAATCAGAAAGAAATTGAGAAGATCTTGAAACCTTCCGCCTCCCCGCCTAGCATCGGAGCTCCGTTATCCCCCAAACCCAAGAACTTCCCGCTCTCGCTTTCCAAGAAGTTGTAAACACCCAAACCTTCGTAGGTAATATTAAACACTGCACTGGAGTTGATGGACCCAAACTGCAGATTCGCATCGAGGAATGGGGTAGTGGCGTTAGCGATAGCAGTAGCGTCTATCACAGATGCGGCAGAGGATATCCTGAAGGTCTTTTCTGTCGCGAGTTTGGGATCCGTAGCATAGATCACAAAACGTTGCGAGGGAGTGGTGAACTTGTCGTTGGTCGCCGCAGATGTACCAAGGGAGGAGTCATTAGCAGATAGTGCAAGATTCTTCGTACTCGATTCAATGACCAGGTAACGACCTTCTGTCAGCGAGCCTAGCAGCGTTGAGCGAGGATACTAGTCAGACTGCCAGTAAAGATATTGAACGCAGCTTACCTCGTACAATTTTGAAACCCGTTTCCGTGAACAGAGAATCTGTCAAGGTTTGTTGCCCGTATGGGACAGGGGGTTGAACGTATCCCGTGAAGGTATTTTCACAGAACGTGTACTACCGAAGCAAAACATGTTAGCTTCGTGATTGTAATCACTGAAGCAAGTCAGTGCGAAGCGTACCCCGTCAAGCAACGATGTCAGAGGGTCGGTATGAGGCGGTGGAACATCGGGTAGCGATACAGCGGTGTAATTGGGCTAGAACACAATTAACATCCTCGTTGAGCTATGTATCACAGAACAAAAAACTGTCACGTACGTTCTCAAAATCAAACACATTTATCAAATTAGACATATGCTCTCTTCTCCAGTCGTTGATTTGCGTATTAATGAATGGTGTGCCCTGGAGGAACTCAGTCGATGGTGATCGAAAAACGATAAGCAAATCATACCCTCGCAGCTGCCCACTGCTCCAAAAACAGTGTTTGCGAGATGTGGTCTGCAGGCTCGGTGAATACAACCCCTCCGCGGGTCCAGGGCGAGATAACAGTGAACGGTAACCGGAATCCAGGTCCGGATGGCGCGGGCAGTCCTGTGAAAGGGTTCTGCAGGAAGTTTAAATACTTAGGGAATGACGTGGAATTTGGAAAGACACTCACAATGATCCATTCGCCGGGAGTGTTTTCGGGCCTGAACAGGAATAACGGGCAATCAGAACTACACTGTGAGGCACGTTAGGGACTGGGCATACGAAGTGAAGGGAATAACGCTATAATGTACACCATTAGCCTTAGTCTCAGAAGAAAATATACTGACTATGAACGTACTGGTCGCCGAATCCTCCCGACTCATCAAAAGAAATCATGAGAATCGTTTTGTTGTACTTGGGAGAATTGACAATCGCGTCGACAACTTCTTTTTGCAGCCATGCACCATCAATAGGACGGGCTGGAGGGTGTTCAGAAAGCTCTCCCGGGCCTGTGTAGTAGAGATACCCCGTAAGGCGCTAGGGAAAACTAGAGCAACAGATAACTCACCAATATAGAAAGAAACAGCTGGTAGAGTCCCCCTAGATTAAAAGCACGGTAAGCTCTCATAATGGCCAGATTGAAACATCACAGGTGCTCGTACTCTGCAGCTTGCTTCTTAAGCAAATCAAGACCACCTTGCCAATTCCCACCCCCGTTCATGGCCAAGCCTACATAATCGCAAGATTTTCAATGTCGAAGGAAAAATGCTTATACCGCATAGAATACTACCTCGCTGGGCGAGCTCCGAAGTTGGATCGTTGGCCGCCAAGTTCTGCCAGAAGACAAAGTCAGGTAGAGGATTGTCGTCGATACTGTAAAATAGTGGAGGTAAGTCTTGGACGACAGAACTTCTCAAGGAATTAAATACTCGTAAGCTTGGAATTCTTTCCATGAGATGCCCGCGTCCTCCAGATATTCGGGCAACTACTAGAATATATGATTTTGTGTCAAAGGTACAGGTTTTCAAATCATGCCATACGGTTTTCCAATCAAACGGATAACTACAGTGCGACTTTATAAATTGGATGTAAGAGATCATAGTAGAAACGCACCAGGTATAATTTTGTGCTGACTCTATCTCAGTACCGTTTTCGAGCCTCTGTGTAAGACTTGTACATCCCGGACTAGCGTTGTTGTCCAATACAGGGCCCTGTGTAGTGTTCACATTCCCTCCTGGAACACTGGAATACAAGCTGATTCAGAAAGATATTAACGCTGTTTTTCAAGTTGTAGTACACACGCAACACTGCCAGTTTGCCATAGAACGCGATTAGGGTTGGTTGCCTTGAATGGTCATTCATAATCAAGTAGCTGATAGCTTGAATATAACTGTAGCTTACTGCAATAACACCTTCTTGGTACATATCCCCGACGGTCCATCCTTCAGCAATAGCAAATTGGACTTGAAGATCTGACCGCCGATAATAACCCCATGACTCTGGCGTATTTGCTTCAGGCCAAAGATCCTGCGGAATAGATGGAGTGGTGAGGATCAGATAAATAATAGGCACTTGCATTTTGCCCAGAAGCCAATGCTGCATGATTTTCTGCCCAGTTATTTGTTCCAGCTACCATACATTGCGTGCCGTTGATGAATTCCCCGCCTTCCGCAGCCACATAGAACGGGAGAAGGAAGTCGGTATCGTTTGAGAGGAACGAGTTGACTTTTTGGAAAAACACGGAGTGACCATCAGGATTGACTTGGACGCTGAGTTGAAAAACTTTCAGTCACGGTTATACGTAGTCAATTGATCATAAACACTTTGGATCTTTGAACCCTCGAACTCCTGCCATGGTACCCTTTTCAGGTCGATAAGATTGGATTTTCCAATGAAAGAGGACTGAATGGCTCACGAAGTAGTGATCAAATGCTCTATTTTCCTGCATGAAGAGAACAATGTGTTCGACCTCGGCCAGACTGTCTGCAGAAGCAGAAGAGACCCAGAGTGCAAGGAAAAGTGTGTTCAACAGAGAAAGCATTATCGGGATTGAAGCCCTGGCTTTGTGGATGCGGAGACCCAAGCAAGTCCATGCATGTCCTCACCCATTATATACACAATCTTAAAGCTTCTTCAGTTGTAAGCAAGGTCGCGCTAGAGTCCGAGGGATAAGAAAGACATATAATCTTCACAACACCTCGGGAAGATGGAATGTAAAAGTTACAAGCTTCATCAGAGTTACTGCAACTTACATTCACAATGCGGGGATGAGCCCGTTTGCTAGTGGTGCAAGGAATGATAATCTGGATTAGGATCCTCACGACGGCCTCGCATAGCCTTACCTCCTTCCCTAAAGAGTCTGAGGCTTCTACACATTTTGATCTAATTAACAATAAATTCGTTATTCGACGAATAGTCAGGCCACGATCATGAAGACACATTCGTCAAACAGGCGTGATTTGTAATGGACAATGGTGAACTTGGTCGAACGCCCGATTGTAGGTCGCTGAGAGCAACAGCAGGGTGCTGGCGTTAGGGATTTCATTACGTGGAGTGATCTACATACACGGCACGTATATGTGGTTGTTGTCGTTCAGAATGTTCATGGCCTACAATATACAGTACTTTTTCAACATAAGCGACCTGTTCTTCGAACGACACAAACAGCACATACGAAATATTCTCAAGCCATTGAGACTAAGTCTCTCCTTTGGTCAACCCACCGCTGGGTAGAGCCAAGTTCTGAACTGAACAATCAGCAAGATTGTGCCCATAGAGCACTAAGTTGCACGCAAAAGTGTCGTTCTTGATTTTGATTATATTCCTGTGTTCGAACTCTGCGACTCTGCGTCGCTTGGAACGGAGAAAGGAACAAGGAGAATAGACGCTTGAATGGATATTCTCACGTTGGTGACTAGCTGGGAAACCATTTCTCCACCCTCCATTTATTTGCCCTCCAACTAAAGTCGTTTGCTCCACTCGTATCTGTCCATCAAAATAATGCTACACGGAAGGCCCTGTCTTAAACATCATGCTCGGACCCATCGAGGAAGATATGACTCAAACAAAGATAACTTCACCCCCGCTTTCACATCATTCTTCTTCGTTCTTATAGGCTGGATACTTGATCAATAAAAGCAAGTGCGGGAAATCAATTTATTCCACTCCAGCTGACCATCATTCAAGTTCTTGACTTGATCACCACCATCTGTCTCCATCTGTCCAGAATACCAACTATTACTGATCTTGATCATGGGCCACAAGAGTGATTTGGGCGATCCATATAGACGATGGACAAGCCTTATCGATGTTGATCTTCTACATGTCCCAGAAATTCGCAACTATTTGTCCCCTTCGATTATCGAGCTGTCTAGCTAGGACCCGCGATTAGTTTTGGAATTGTGCGCAAATACGCCTGAGTACTTTGATAAAAAAGATTGAACACTAAATCCTTGGACAAAATGACCGACCTCGATTTAATCTTCCAAATTCTCAAGAGGTGAATCAAACTTGATATATCATAATATGAAGTTAGATGATCATCTAGAAGCCATCAGCCTTTTTGAAGTCTTAAGTTTCTACCATGTACTATTCAAGGCAACCAAGATTAATCAGGATTCGTCCAAAAACACATTTAAAGCCGCATGAAGATTTGGATGCTTCAATCGATTCTTCCCTCCACGACTTCATTAGTCGGATTGAACTGCGTCGATCTTCACCATGGCTCTGGATGATGCGGCAATGCACCGTGCAGGTCTTGCATTTCTTTATAGGATCATTCCAATTTTAGTCGCCACCCTTTTATACGGTAACGTCCATGATAGGCCCTAAATTTCGTTAAATGAGATTTTGAACCCAATTTTTTAGGCATTTATATTTCACTGCTAATAACTGCAACTCGAGGATTATGGTCAATTCCACTTTCGAATAAGGACTTGTCATAAAACTCACTATGGATCTCATATATAGGCAGCGAGGATTAAAGAACCATGCCAATATCATCATCCTGCTTGTTCTATATGTGCTGTTTTTCATCACAAGCACATTGTGGTCTTTGGAGGTGGCTCAGCTCATGGGACTGGTCGAGCTACTCCTAGATCCCAAAGATCTATCTACCGACGGGCAGTTCAATGTCTTCTATGCACTTATAGCACGTGAGACGAAGCTTACTAGTGTGCTTTTTGAATCTCAAGTAAGTTGTGTTCTTTGTACCTTGCCGATCACTGACATATTATTTCAAGATGATTGTTGGTGATGTACTGGTGATTTGGCGCCTTTCAGCTATATGGTTCAACAATCGAATAATGGTTTTGATGCCTTTGTTTTGGTGGGGATTAATGATCAGTATGTCCTCAATTAATTCAACTTATCATTGATTGGGACATCACATTGAAATTCTTACTCAGTCAACATGATTATCGAGGCCTCACACTGTAACTCGGGCGTATCCAGTACGAACTACACTGAACTATGCAAAGTAACCCAGGTGTTAGCGCCTGTGTTATCAGTTGTAACAAATGTTTCAGTGATGATGCTCACTTTATGGAAGGCATGGTAGAGGAATTTTCTGCCAACTCAATAGTACTAGTCGCTCAAAGCTTATTGATTCAACAGGGTACTTCGAAGCGAGTTCAAGCATATCCTCCGCAACCGACGAAACAATAAATTGTTCAGTATCTTCGTGCTCCTCATCGAATCTGGGACTCTGTATGTCATAATGCTGGTGGGTGGTCATTTCATTTGTGCTCGAGGATCACCAATATTGACTGTTTGCCTAGGTGACAGACCTACTGATCACATCCTATGTCGTTGGAGGAAACGAATCTGTAGCGCGCATGATCAGTTGCATCTCGGGATATTCTACAGTCCAGTTTGTTGTGAGTAAACATCGGCTCCCTAAATTTCTTGATTAAGTCCATATTGCTCACTTCTACTGTTTGCGAGTTAAGGCCATTTATCCTACGCTCATGCTCAATGTCCTCCGAGAATCTATCTGGAACTCGCCCAACGACAACCTTGAAGTATTATCAGTTAGCAGAATGCAATTTACTACAAAACAACTTAGTCCACTGGCGGCGGCGGTGACGTACACTGATAATCCTCAACGCAGCTTGGCTACCATGCAATTCGCTGGTTCCACCGACGCGGACACGGTGTCGCTGACAGATCGGAGCGGCAAGAATGAGAACTCCAAAGCATAATTTCTGTTTTCCCTCTTAACTTATTCAGTTATCGCTTGTAAACTCCTCTTTGTATCATCATTGTGTACTTCAGTTCCAACGTATCCTTTATGGGAACCTCGCCAAACATTTTTCTGCAAGGTCGACTCGAGCTATTTGGTGAAACAGGACGGATTACTGCTCAGAGAAAAAAACATGACAAGTAATTGAATAGCGCGACTGAAGTACATTTCACATTTACATTTCCTGCAAGATATTGTTTGACTGAATAGACCGACTGGAGGATGAGTTGGACAGGGAACAAATAATCAAAGGGTGCTCACCAAAAATACACTCAAACTTCTTCATCGATTATGTCGTTGTCTCCATCTTCTTATTCCTCATTCGCTCCTTTGTAGGCTGAAAACACCCTGGAAGACCGGTATCTAACCAAGATCCACCAGACATTAGAGTCGCAAGACCCTTGGCGCATGATGCGATTCGGGCCATACCTAATATGAAAAGGCACGATATGTAAGTAAAGGATAGTACTGAGATCGAGAATCGAACATACCATGCCCGCAATGACCGGCAATAACGTACGCGCCAGCTTTTCCTTCGACGTTGCCAACGAAGGGGATATCTATTACAATTATTGGAATGCGTTTGAAGACACGGAACGCATACTGACTGTCCCGAGTATAACCCATGATACCTATGTACAAGGATTTGAATTCAGTATATATTCATTTGTAACGACTCAAAAAGATTAAATTTACCTGTCCAGTCGTACAAAAGTCCCTCACCAACTCTTAAAGATTCCCGTTTCTGGTCCGGGTGCGCGCCCGATCCAGAACTGTAATCTGAGTCATTCCATCCTACGAAATATTCGCCCATTGCACCCTTCAAGTATTCGGTGATTTCTGCTTGCTTTCCACCATCGTCGGGACGCCCAGAGTCATTCGTACATCCAAGAATGGCACCAGGGTGAGACGCACTAGCTTTACCTCCTCCTAGGATTATAACGCCGTCTTTCGGGCGTTGGATAAGGTAGTCAAAATTGTCCTATATATGTACCAATATGAGTATAGGGACGCAGTGAATGGAGACTATACGAAACACCTTGCCCCAATGATAGCAGCACGTCTTCTCCATCATCCTAGTGCCTGAAAACGACGGGGTCGGTACTATCGCGGCACATTGTCCTTGCCCGGGTACGATATTGCCCAGGAACTCGGGAAGTAGCGTCGCAGTGTACGCATTTGTGGCAAACACGACTTTGTTTGCAGTGACTTTCCCGCGAGGTGTTGTTACAATCCACTCCACCGTGGACAATCGAGGGTCGTGCGCCGATAGAGAAGTCGAAGTCGAAGTGACTGCAGTAACAGGTGTATGAGTCTGTAGATTTAGTCCGTGTTTGGAGATACAAAGCTGGAGGAGGTGCGAGACAAGTTTGTATGGAAACAAAGAAGCTGCTGGAAAGGAAGCGGTAAGCACTGCGTTGCGCATTCGAGTCAACTGGCGTTGATATAATATGAAAGATTGTCAGCTTCAAATCATTCAAGATCGAAGTCATCCATTCACGAACAGTAGCAACTTTACGCCATAAGCGCATTTGATATTATTGATTGTGGGACTACAAATCCAGAAGAGACTCACCCGCTTTGCCTCATCGACATTCGTGGTCAACTTGACGACACCCTCTAGAGGCCCGCCATCGTCTTTGAACTCCTGATACGATCTTAGTTTTTTGTTTGCAGCCTCCTGGTCGATGCATGTCTCAAAAGATTCACCAAGCCAGAAATCGCAATCAATTTGCTCTTCTTCGATGAGTTCGGCCATAAGGTGGAGGTTTGCCTACAATTAGGCTGTAGGCAACTATCTTCGAAGAAAATGCTCATCTACAGACCATTTCAAAAGCAGCAATTTTTAAAGCTTCTTCTTTTCCGAATATTTCTTTGTATTCATGGTGACCTGCGAATGATTTGGGTTATGACATTGAGATCATCGTATCAAGAACTCACCTTGGAATACATACGGCCTGCAATGTCCCCCATTTCTTCCCGTAGCTCCGTCACAAGCCTCCCTTGCTTCTAGCATCAGCACAGATTTCGGAGCATTGGGTCCAACAAGAAGGTAATAAGCTGTAGCAGCACCAGAAAGTCCGGATCCGATAATTACTACATCGGCTGAAGGAGGTAAAGATTCCGTGGTTCGGTAACCAAGTAGAGAGGAGGAGCGTGTATTTTGAAGCCAAAAGGATAAACAGGGATCTTTCACAGGAAGACCGGGACTTGGATATGATTCTGCTTCGTAGTACATAGTGGTTTGAGAAGAACTTTACTCTTTGGCGCCCAGGCGTCTGAAGGCCAAAGCTGTTTGACTATTACATCAATCTCGTCCTGCGGACTCGAGTTTTATTACACACCCATTCTTTTTATCTTTATCAAACTATAAATTGGTCGAATGCTCAAACTCTCCCCCTCCATGCAGATGCTTGCTTGGGAATTGCTCAAAGCTCGTAGGTTATCGAAGGTTCATCGACTCCCGAATTCTTGAGGACGGCGCCGACGGATAAATCTGGTAACTTGTTTCGAAAACAATTCAAAATCAGGGTTGCGGTGCGGGTGGAGTCACCCTCGTTTGGTTTGGCGTTTTGATCTGTCGTTCCATGAATTTATTTCAATTTTTCGCACCGTCGTTCTAAGGTAAAGGATCCAGAGTTTCCTGGAGTTTCCCGTTCTTTTCATTCCTCTCACCGCCTCCCCTCACACCTCGTCTCGTCTCTAACCCGAAGCTGTAAAATCGCAATGAGCGATCAGATCACTGAACTCTATAACGAAGCTTTACGACCTGCGATAACGGCCTTGACAGTACGTTTTCTGCAGGACTTACATACTCAGAATTGTTCTAATACCGCTCTAGTTCGAGGTTCTCTTCTATGGTATGTCGTATCCACCCCCGTCGCCCAACCAACTATAAGCTCTATCGTCGACAGGATTCTACATCGCTCTGAGCGCAACCTATTTCTCCCTCCTTGCTCGCCAAAAGAACCAGGAAAAGTTCAAGCATCTTTTCTATCCTGTCTCCACTCTCGTCCTCTTCATCCTCTCGACCGCCGGCATCATATTGTCAACATTCGATATCGCGAATTTGATCAAATTGCTTCTCGTTAGTATGGAGGATATGGACCCGACTGCTCGCGAGGAGACCTTTGTGAGAACTAGGTGTGTTCCAAACTCATATCTCACTGTTGTTGTATATATTGATGGAGCCGTGATTTAGGACCGCGATTGGGGTGGTATATGCTTTGGCAAAGTGAGTTACCTGTATTCACTGAGACTATCAATGGATTCTTACGCTGTTATGCCTACTTCAGTTGGATTGGAGACGTAATCCTTGTATGTGCTACGTGCTATCAAGACTGTAATGCATTAACCTAATTGGCGACAAATAGATCTATCGCTGTTACTTCGTGTGGAATGGTCGATGGTTGGCCGTCGTTGCTCCGAGCTTTCTTTCTGCTTTGAATACAGGTCAGTCATTCGATCAGACGCAACTCTGATATCTCCCTCAATTGACATCAATCTAGCCATGGTCTTTGCTTCGATCGCGAATATTCAACTGGGTTCCAGCGATGAATTTGCTACTGGCGGATACTCTTCTCAGGTCACGACCGGAGATAATCTGCAGTATGCTTTTTTGGCTATGAACGTATTCAACAATATTTTATTGACCGGATTGATTGGTACTGTGTTCTTTCCCTTCGATGAGCCTGCTCCAGTTCTCATTTCCTTTTTCCAGCGGGAAGGCTTTGGTACTTGAACCGTGCGTCGACCAAATTATTCGGCATCAATCCTACTCCCGACAAGCGGTATAGAACGATTGTCAGCATGTTGTACGTCTTCTATCTCATTTAATCGCGCACAGGTCTTTTGAGGGTTTTCTAGCTTGGAATCAGGATCTCTTTACCCTATCGCTCTCGTTATATGTTTGATCATCCAACTGAAAGGATCCTCAGCAACCATGGATGTTGTCCTCCTACAGATTGTGGTGCGTGGTTATTGCCTTATAGGTGTCCACCCCGTTTTATTTAACATTCCGTAATCTAGGGTATCGCACCGATGCTTATTCTGGTGAGGACCACTCTGGGTATCAGTATCGAAAGTGCGCCTCGCCGAGAAGATGTCGATACAGAGCTCGAGCATTCGACTTTGAGGATCAACACATATACATCCGATCAGAAATTCACTCCTCCATTCGCGCTCACGCCTGGGACGAATTTCTCCCCGATGACGGGTACGGATTCGATGATCTCCGATTATCAGCCTCGACCTGAATTCCATGCGTTGCCGTATGAACCGAGCAGCAATCGTCGCTCCATGTCTTCGAATTATCATGCGCAGCCCGAGCACGTTTTCGGTGGTTCCGAAAACTTGGATCACGGTTCAGCTGGACCATCTACCCCTTCAGACCGACTCCAGCCGCTGCGATGGGTCGCTCAATAGAATTGCATGCTGTTCTAATACTGCCCACCTGGCCCACCTGCGAACTAATACCTACGTTTACCCATTATCCTATCCTATCCCATTGATGCCTATATATATCCTCCGCTCGCTCTTTATTTATTTCTTGCTGTGATACTGTACCCCACTCGTTTATTTATTCATTTCCCTCGACTGTACCAGGTTGTACCTATCGTAGGTAGAAAACATTGAGTTTTGTATGTAGCATATTTGTCAGCAGTTTAAGCCCAACTCCGTTGAACTTTTGTGGGTGTCAGAAGTTACTGCAGGTGCCAATCAAGGTGCAGTACATGTAGACGGTATAACCTTTGGCTTCGATACTAGGAAATCGAATATCAACGTTGTAACGTCCACAACTGAGAGGAACCAGGTTATAAGCATCAAAGGCATCATAATGTTGAATAAGTTATAGCAATATGTAACAGACGGAGAATACGTTCGTCTTCGTAGATGTGACACAAAAGGTAAAGGAAAATTCAGTGCTATACAACGACGCAACGTGCATGAAGAAACAGACAACTAAGAATGGCTAATAGAGAAAATTCGTGAATGACGCCCAAAGCTAACCAAAAAAAAGGCAACCAACACTATACTTTGGCCCGACCAGAAGAATGATAGATAATTAGATATTAATACGAATAACATGAGATACGAACAAAAACGGTGATGACAAAAAATATACAAAGAATGAAGACACAGAAGCCCAACAGAAGGAAAGAGAAGAAAATCCGTTCAATTACGGCAAAAACAAGAAAGCCGGCAGTAGGCTGGCCAAGAAAGTCCCGAAGATGTTCAAGGACGTGGAGCTCGACTTGCTTGCACTATTGGATGAATCCGCCTGTGTATTAGTCGATACTTGAGCATACGAGCTTCCACAAGAGCTTGAGGCCAAGGCCTCAGCGCTCGCGTACACAGACGCGAGTTCCATCAACTGCGACGCATTGACGTTCAAAGCATTGACATAGAGCGACATAAGGGACTTGGTGCAAGTTGAACATGTTAGTGTGGTCGAATTGGATATACTGACACCCGAAACGAGTGAGTAGAAATAAAGATCGGAGGGGTTGGTGTTATGCACGGCTTTGACATAGCAGTAGGAGTCGGTAGAGGGGTCATTAAGACAACCGGCGCTTTGAGTGAGCGAATAAGCATTGAGGGCTAGAAAGTACAAAAGATAAGAAACGTGGAACAATCTCGAGAGATGCATGAAAACTCACCCTGGAGAGTGCTAACTGCGTACAAATTGCTATCTTGCAAGTCTTGCGCGCAAGCTGATTGCAGCGAAGCCGCGAATGTCGCCATGTTAGTCGTACATTGGTCGACGCCGATAGTCGGGTTACATGTTCCCCAAACAACGGCATTGAGAGCGGTCAAGTTGGATTGCAACTAAATGAATGAACTCGTAAGACGGGTAAAAGTATAGGAATGACCCGGTCCCACTCACGTCCGCAAAATCATCACTAGTGTTTTGCAATAGCCCGAACGGTCGGCAGCTCCTGAAATCGTCCGAGTTGGTCATATTGAGGAAGAAGTTGTAGCAGGACTGGGTGGAAAAATTCTGAGTGATGCTCGAATCCCAAGGCTGCGGGAAAGGCGTAGGGAGGACTGGAGCTAAAGTAAAGTTAGATTTATCAAAGACCAACAATGTAAGACGCACCAGAATCAGGAATGGTGGGCAAGGTCTGGGATGTTGCTGGTATAGACGTCGTTGTCGTTGCAGACCCTGACGTAGAGGAGACGGCGGTTGACGTTGGCGTTACTAGCTCAGATGCTGTCGCTGTGCCTGTGGCGACACTGACGCTTATATCAGTGCTTTCTTGACGTCTAAAAATCCCTTCGTTCATCGTATCTTCCTTCCTGCGGTTATCCAATGGCTGAAAAACATGATTGTGATGGATGTGTGATGGATGTAATACATCCATAATCACATTGGGAGTATCAGGTATAAGCCAGTTTTGGCCATCATGTGCCTCCAGAGTCTCATCATTCACCCACCATACCATCCCCAGTAGCTCGGAGAAACAGTGATTGGCAAGCGTAACTAGGATCAACACAGCAGGTATAGCGATTGCTGTCCATTTTATGCGACGACCAATACGACGTTTCGCTTCCGAAGAACTCTGAAATTCAAAATCTGGTCGCTGTGGGCGTATGGATTCGGTTTTTGGAACAGCAGACAATGACGGTAAAGACAGCGGTGATGCAGATGGTGTTGATGAACATGATGGTGATACAGAAGGTGATGATGGGATCGTGGCCATCGAAGGTTTTGACAGGAGTCCTTTTGACGGAGGAGGGTCCAACGAAGAACCAGCAGAGAAGTAGGACGGCGACGATACAGAGCTCCTGGAGTGTTGCGGAGAGCCTGAACGCGGGGGACCCGTGCTGCCAGATGACGGAGGAGTGAGCAGTACATACGATTGCCGCTGTATCTCTTCCATGGGGTTGACTTGCCCAAGCTTTGCTCGAGGTGAGGGAAGAGGAGAGGCAGGCGGTGTGAACATCGCTAAAGCCTCGGAAGTTGAAAAGGTATAGTTTGTTTTTAGATCAGAGGGGACGGGGCTTTGAGCCGAAAGAGTGTGATGAAAGTGAGCGTGAGTAGAGGTGTGGATAAGCGTTCAAAACGCCAGATTGAATGGATGTATCCTGGTCTGAACAAAATCAATAACTAAGTCACGCTTTGTAGGACTAAGAGGGAGAATCTAATGCAAAAGAATGTTATGAAATTACACAGAAAGTTCCAAAAAATACGGCAAGCAACAAGTGCAGAAATAGAAGGAAGATCCAAGGAAGCGCAATCATTCGAAAGCCTACTCACCGGAATGAGCGGCCGCAGTAGAGAAGAATCAACGTATGAAAGTCTGGTTTCGCTCCTATCGATGGTCAAGAGGTCAGCTTTTTGATTTACGGTAAACAAAGGTGGAAATGAAGATTGTATCGCGTGACTGAGTCTCGCAGGGATTCTGAAGGAAGATACTTGCCTGCCAGAATGATTAGTGCAACGAATATTCCTTCGTGCGACCAAGAACGGGATAGATCCTATCAATGAGCCTTCTGCAGCGTATGGATTGGCTTGTGGCGGATATAGAAGAAAGAGTAAAGACAGTCAAAGGTCGTAACAACAGTCTGGAGATCGGTTTTGGAGTTCCTGTGTTCAGTTCAAGTTCTTTGGTGCAATTACAATGTAAAACACTTCTGAACTAAACAGCCACACCACCCCTATAATTTAGCAGGCAACGAACTTGAAGCACCACTGCAAATTTGGCGCGGTGATAGGTGAGTGAAAGAACGAAAGAAACAAAGCAGTGAAATAGGCAGGGGTGTACCTAACATGTACGATTAGCTCATCAAGGTACGTATTTACGATGATAGAAATTTCCAATATAGAACGGACGAAATTACCATATTCAGCTGATTTCGATTACGGCATAGCATTTCTTCCCACAGTGCTGTTTGAAAATTCAGAATTGCACTCGATTTTAAATTTGTACATTACTGCAACGACTTCACCATTCTCTGCCCCACTGAGTTCCTCAATTTCATCTGTCAGCAATAAAGTCAAGGCTTTGGCCCACCCAACTTCAATTCTCAGCATATTTTGGACCTCATCAGCTCACGTCACGACATGCCACCCCGAATTCTCCTTATTGGCCACACCACTCAAAGTTTGATCACCGCCACTCCCGAATTGCTTCATGTCCATGTTTTGTACTAGAAAGCAGAGCCCACTTTTACCCACTACTAGTTGATTGTCCACTGTTTCCGGCTTCACACTGATGGGAATGGACTATGCATGCTTCAATGCTCCCCGTTTCCACTATAATATACTCTCAGACACCGAGAGGCGACCAAAATTTGCCTTTTCACAAAGCACCACAAATTGCTACTTGCCTGGGTCCGAAATCGACTGGATGCCATACACACGCCTTCTCTGTTAATAATCCTTCAAACTCGGGATTGTATGCCAGAACAGGTCCGAGCGCGGACAAAGACTTCGGTCTTGTGAAACTTGGAAATCACAGTTTCAAATAAACATCGTGGCGATCCTAGAAGTCTGCGTGATCGTATTATCACATTTAAGAACTGACTATAACGATATATTTCTAGCGCAGCGCGCAGAAGCTATGTTACATGTACATCCCGAGGTGCTACGTTTACAACTCTCCGATTCCGAGTTCCGAAATTCTTCGCTCAGCGCTCAAGCTGGGCATCTATGATCTACAATTAGCACAAGTTCTTGCGACACTGACATGACCGATTACACCTGGAGTACACTGGCATTGACAGGATTCAACTTTACAGTATCAAGTTCCATGGCGGGTTTTATACTCTATTCCGTTCCACCCTAGGGGTGTGTATCCTCGCGCTCTAGCAACTATTTTTTTCAACGATATCCTCTCTCACTCTTGTTTATAGTACACCGATGCTACTACCTCTATCTCTCCGTTAATTTACCGAGGCTACCAGTCCGCCTCCTTCCAACTCTCCAGGCCCAACCCATCTTTTTGTCCGCGGGTGTGTGTAGCATACGCTGATGCTTCTTACTGGACCTCTCTTCAGCCTTTTCGACCTCCAAGTCAGCGTGAGTAAGTATTTCGTGCCGACTCCTCCTCAGGTATTGCTGAAGTATTTACGAAACCGGAGCTGCTTGTACAAGTTTGTAAGTACGGACTTTTGTTCATACTAGCTTCTTATCTGTATCAGATACATAGTGAATTCAACTCCTAGCTTCTGTCATATTCCTCGTTCAAGGCTCACACCTCATGCACAGTGCGCCGAGGGAACCCGACCGTAGACGATTACAGTCGGTGCTGAGAGCACCGTGAACATGACAGTGACTATCCTGGATTTCAGAGTGGCTCGGGCGGAGACACTTAATCGATGTAATTACACTTGGCGCCTCTCCTTGCCCAAGAGTTTGATTTATCTACTCTTGTTCGGTGTATGCTGTGGACTGCGCATGGCCGATCGTAGACCTTTCTGATGCCGGGTCCAACGACATTTGCTCTTCCCAGTATCAGGCAGCAAGGAACATTTCATAAAATCTTTGTGTATAATTCAAAGTGGTTGCACAAGGTCTTCCGCTGCTGGAACGGTGGAGAGTTCAGCAAGTTTGGGCACATGAGTATACCATGCACGGGATCTATACTGTCGATCTGGCCGACACAAGGCCATTGCCCGAGTCGGAAAGATATCGGAAAGGTAAGGTGTCCGACGAATTTCTTCGGAGGGTCGTGGAATTCGATTTCCTGATTTATAACCTCACCCCAGTGCTCAGCTGCACCTTTGACGAGGGCTTCTATATTATTATGGATGTCATCTGGATAACATCGCTGACTCGAACATAGATATCCCCGCCCGAGGCGCGGGAAGAAAGGACGCGCTTGGACAAGCTCGTCCGTGGCACTTGGGGGTGAGTCTCACCAACCTAGTTGGGGTAAATAGGTCAAATCTTCATTCCGATACCTAGGTTCCAATAACCCACAAGTGCAGCATAGACAGCTGGGATCAAACATAATGTAAGGGAAGTCCAGCTAGCAACAAGGCGCATTGTGAGGATTTTAGTGGGGAATAAGGGTCGTGAAGGAGCTAGACTTGTTGAAAGCAGGAATCAGATACGACGACTCGTGTCCCAAATGATGGTAGATGACTGTAAAGATAAAATGTAAATTTTATTCACCTTCCCTCAGTGTTTGTTGGTTTGTATTTGAATGCAATTTCCTCATCTGGATACTCGCCATGACAGAGTAATGGAGAAAAAGGATCAGGTGGTTATGTAACACATTTCTGTGTGTTGTATCACTAGTATATATATCGTATACTGGTACAGAAGATAGGATAAGTTGCGAGTATGACGGTGATTCGACTAAATAAAGGGACCAAGATTCATGCATCATCATTTTGGAAAGAGTAACGCAATGGCTGCAGCTTTTCGTGGTCGAAGTGGTGGTTCCTTGAAGACGAAGGACCATCCAAGTCAGCATAGCTGGTGCTCACTGAGGCAGAGACTGTCTGAGGCTCATATCTCAGCTCTGTCTGCATCTTTTCCGGTCTGAAGCCTGTACCTGTCTCCCGATAATCATAGGCAGGAGACTCGGTTTGCCTTGTTTCATCCATTGAAGCTTTATGGCTATTGTTTAAACGATATGAGGTTACAGTTGGCGATTCCAACCTCAACGGGGTCGTCGCATACTCTGATGGGAAGGTGGAGGTAGCTTGATATGAGCTGCCGCCCGTCGAAGCGATTGGTTCCTTGATGTCAGTGGGGTAACGAGCCGGCCTGAATTCGTTCTCAAGTTCGGTTTCTTCATCCCTATGAGCAGGAGTACCGCTTTCTACTCCAAGGTCAAGCGAGGTTCGAACCATGATGAGCGTAGGCACAATTCCCTAAGGAGAAACAAATCAGTTGTTATCGAAACACGAACGAAGCTGGTTTACATACCACTATTTGAAGGAGGATGGGGTCCATCGTTGCAGGCGAGCCCTTCACTTGGATAATGAGACATACAATGAGAGCAATTGGATATAACGTTCCAGATTCAACGCTACAGGAGTATATTAATAGAGGAACACCGTTAAAGGCATGTACGACATACAACATAGAGGCAATTGCATTCAGCCGCTTGTCCCTCCCTTCAGTCCCTAGCAGTCGACTGTGAATCCTATTTAACCACCAGATTCTCCCCGCTATGAGGCCGGTCAAAAGAAGGTTATTGAAGACGTTGATGCCCAAAAAGACATAATTGAGGTCGTCCCCGGCATTAACTTCATCAGAGTGGCTTGTAGCGAAAAGTTCATTCGATCCTATCTGAATCGTAGCCACGGCGGCGTACGAAATACCTAAGAGAATCGGATGAGAGATTGGTTATGAGAAGCAGTCCGAATTTACTCGTACCGGCATTGACTACCATCAGAACAGCCGGGATGAGAGAGACCCAAAGTTTTCCATTCCATACATGATAGCAACGGTAGACCTACTCCAAACGAGAATCAGTGACAGCAAACAGGAAGTTGTAGGCTGTCACGAACAAGAATCATGTCAGCGACCCAACTGAATTACCAGAAAATCCAGTCAGTAACGAGCTAGCAGGGATCCGGGAATAAACTGACTTCGCGGTAGAATAAAGTGCTCCAATGGCCGTCCTACAGCGAAAGTGAGTTCGGAGTTTACGTTTACTGATAGTTTAAAATGAAATGTGCGCACCTGTACCGCACTAGGTCGACCTCCCTACTTTCTGGACTCAGTTCCGTGAATCCAACGACAACGAACTCCTGGATGACATTCTCCACATCGTACACGGAAACGATGATCCCCGCTGTTGCAAGTATGAAAAGGACAAGCAAAGAAATAGGGTAAAATGGATGTTGGAATTTCTTTTCCGACCGTAGTTGTTGCCGCTGTAGCGAAACGTATATTCCTCCCAAAACTAGATAGATCCCTGTATAGTATTATGAAGTGAGGGACGGAACATGAGGGCCAAAAGAAGAGGGAATACCGTAGAAAAGGAACTGGAACTACAAATGCGAATATTCATTGAACGCCTTGGAAGAATATGAATGACGCACTATCAAAGAGTTCATAGATGGGCGCATGACCAGGTCGAAGACTTCAGATACTTCGTCTCCCATTTTCCGCGGACGCTTGAGAGATTGTAGTCTGGGGCTGCTATATTTAAGAAAGTCCAACGCTGGCTGCTTGAATACAGCCTAATACAGCCTGCTAAATATGTATGTCCGTGGTGTCCGTACAGTCGCAAATTTAATAGATTTTCAAATTGAAAACTGAACGCGCTGACTGTTGAAATGTCTTCAATGCTTGCAACTCCATGTTATGTACATATCTGCCAGTATTGCTCCTCGTATTTCTTGCTGTTATGTGTCCTGTATATGACCTGGGTTAGAGCTTGGGTAGAGAGGTAGTCGCAAAAAATCAATTTCTGCAGCATGGAATAGTAGTACTCCGGGAGGCTGACCTGCGTGTTGTCGATTTTCTCCTTCCAATTTTCTATGTAGCGGCAATCTATATCACAGACATCTAGACAGGTGCCCCATAGAGCCCCACCCTCATGTAAAGATAGATAGATTAGAGAGTACATAGAAGGGATAGAACTAGAAGTGCCTCCCGGAAAGCGCTTACATATGCGATGTCAATCGAAAAAAGCGGGGCATAAGCTAGCATAAGTTGGACTGTAAACGAAGCCTGAACGAAGCTCTTCAAACTTCAGAGGCAATGCATGATGGTCTCGATATTCTTTATGTTGAGCGGCAATTCGAAGCACAGTTCATCCTCACCACCCTAGACAATAGCGGTCAAGACTCAAGTTCATCTTACCGCATTACAGCACCGACAAAGGGAGGTGGACTCCGAGGAAGAGGACCAGCGTTGCCATTTGATCAATCCCTAAGTACCCCATGAGTATTTTGTGTATTGTGGTATTTGAGAGTTGGAGTACAGTAAGTTTGGGCTCAAAAGTAGGGTGATATGCGAAATTTGTGGTGTTTGAGATGGAAGAATTCATGTTCGAGGTAGGTAGTCAGCCCAGTTCTGTCTTGCTGGTACGACGTGAAGGCGTGGAAGTGGTAACTGAATTTCGATGAGCTACATTCACAGATTCTATGTACGATATGAAAACATGCGAAAGTTATCATCGGAGCGGTCCTCCGTCCCACTTCTCCGAAGGTTCCTACCCGTTGATGAGCATATGAATCAATGTATGGAACATCAACACCGACGTACCAGCTTCATCGTATCATAAACCTCCTTCCTAATACGGGACGTGATGTCGCCCGCCACGTCATCCGCCTTGTAGATGTAGCCGACACAAGGCCATTCGCCGTTCACTTCCTCTTCACAGCCCTTCATACTCCCAAGGAGTTCGAAACGTTGCACAGCGACGGGAGTGTGTGAGGGAAATCTCTTCGGAGGGTCTTGGAATTCGAATTGCCACTGATTCCCAACTTTCTTATCCCCCCATGCCCCACCTACAATTTTGGCGAGGGCTTTTATCTTCTCACGGACTTTAGTTTGACGTTCACCATTATCTTCTGCATCGTTGAGTCGAACATTGATAACCGAGGCGCGGGAAGAAAGGACGCGCTTGGACAAGCTCGTCCGTGGCACTTGGAGGTGAGTCTCACCAGCCTGGTTGGGGTAAATAGGTCAAATCTTCATTCCGATACCTAGGTTCCAATAACTCACAGGTGCAGCATAGACAGCTGGGATCAAACATAATGCAAGGGAAGTCCAGATAGCAACAAGGCGCATTGTGGGGTTTGTAATGGCGAGAAAGAGTCCTGAAGGAGCTAGACTTGTCGAAGACAGGAATCAGATACGACGAGGGTATTTTTGTTGACCAGCAAAAGAAACACAAGGTGGGGCAAAACGTCGCGAAGAGATTGAAATCAACTCGCCTTCCTTTTAAGTCGTGGCAAGGTAAACTCTTCATCATCATCGTTCCGGTAACATCAGGGGTCGACAATCTTAACGGGGTTCAACCGACGGACCTGCGCCGCCGTCTACGATCACTAGATACTGTATATGTAGATAGATCACGCTCGCGGAGTACTCGAACTGAGGTGAGCTCACCACTGCTCACCAGCAGTATAGTACGATATCCGCACTTGCTGATGATGCCCATTAGCTTAATCTTCCGGTAACAGGTACAGAGACAAAAGAATTACTTTGATATCAACTGAGCTTATTGAGACTGATGACTCCACTTCAATGTCTTCATCACCGTCGTCGATGGGTCGATGGGTAGACATGTATTACATGCCTTGATGCTAACTGCCAACCTTCCACGACTTGAACACGATGAGCTCTCAATCCAGCACCGATGGAGCAAGAGCGATCATGCAACTTTCATTCACCTCATGATTCATCAAAACGTTTTGCTCGTCTATGTATGGTCGATGAATCGAAGCAGAAGACTCGCTGGGTGGAATATTCTGGATAATATAATATGGGTAATGCTCTGTGATACTTTGGACGAATGCGACTTATATGCGCGTTTCAATGCTCTCGCTGTTTCGAGAGCAAGACTGGCCGAAGGCATTATTATATCTTCTCACTTTCCCTAGCCAGAAGACCGCAAAGTATGTAGTTATCTTCAGCATGAAAAAGAGACCGCTCAAACCCACTTCAAATCCCCCAAAGTCATACAGTCCCGATAATATATATCAAGGCGAGATAGATCCTTTATCAACTTGACATCGGACCCCGCTCTACTTAACCCTTCCAACATCCAGATCGTGGGTGACTCTGCTGTTTTCCATGACCCATTCCGTGGTTCTACCTTATCCCAACAATGATCTCCGCCATACGTCGACCTCCTTGCAAAGCAAGTTCGTGACAATATTTCTGGATCATTAACGCTTTCAAGTCTCTTCCTTCCTGGTGCTAGAAAAGTACCACTACCGAGTTTCCTCGGGTGGCGTATACAAAAAGAATGAAGTACTATACTCCACTACGTAGTAGAAAAGTACCACTACCGAGTTTCCTCGGGTGGCGTATACAATGAACGAAGTACCATTACCGGGCCAAGCTCGAATGGCATATACTCTTTGAAATATACCTCTACTGTTAACATCATGTACACCGTGTAACCGTGCCAAAGCTACAAGGTGTCTAAGTGCGGAAGACGAGTGGGACAGTAGTGAAGTTATTAACAACACCGCCGTTACGCCGTTAGTCCCCGGAGATCGAGAGTAGAGAAGGGAGGAACTGAGGAGCAGCCAAGTCGGAGCGGCGGTATCACCGGTGACGAGGAGCGAGCCAGAGGACGTCTAAGTCCTAAGGTAGAGTAGAACGTACTTCAAGGCGTTGAGCCTGAAGACTTAGAGAGCACAGAGTTAAAGAGGGAATCTAAGTCGATAATTAAACTGAGGAACTACAGTAGCGTACAGGCAGTATTTATATCTACGGAACGGCGCATCGGTGCGGAGCGCCAGACTAACTACTAGGAGCTATACGAGTAGTACCTGCAGGGTAGAGTAAAAGACATTAAGGAGAGACTAGAACGAAAGAGTAAAAGACAATAATGAGAGACTAGAACGAAAGGATATGTGTAGCGAGAAAGAACAATAGGAAGAGAATACAATAAGGAATGGATCTTCGGAATCCCGAGCGGCGGAATGGAGGCCTGTGGCATGGACTTGACAGTATCCCCCTGTTAGGCTTGAGCCCTCGAAAGCCATTAATACCGGGAGTTGGTTAGTCACCAAAGAAATTTTTTAAAGGCCGTCAGGATCGGGAATTTGGCCCATCAGTCAGCAGGAAAATTTTCAAAAGCCGTTAGTACCGGGAATTGGCGTTAGTCATCAGTGAAAATTTTCGGTTCACCGTACACCAAGTACAATTCGAAGGAAAATTTTCGCTGGTCCGTGCGCAGTTTTGCCATATAAAAGGCCCAGAGTTTCGCCGATAAGACCCAAGTTCCCAAAAAACTTCTAAGTCCATTAACATGACTTCCAGTCGCACTACCACCACTACCGTCTCTGCTACCGCCGGCCCTTCGAGGTCAAGACCAGTACCGCCCGCCGATCCCGTCGTCCCTGAAGAGGAGGGTCTGGAGGACGAAGATGAGGAGGAGATCATTCGGAGGGCGCAGGCAAGAGTTGAGAGAGTGAGAGCGAGAAAGGCAGCGGCGGCGGCGAAGAAGGCCACAGAGGAGAAAGCTGCAAGGGCAGCAGCAGCTAGGGAGCGTGCGGCGCAAGAGGCGCGAGAACGGGCCAATCGGGCTCGCTAACAGGAAGAAGAGGTTTTGGAACGGAGGAGGCTTTTGGCCGAGGCGGCGACCACCAGAAGTCAACGGGGGACTTCTCCAAGTGAGATGTCCGCTTCCCCCAGGAGGCCTGTGGTGGAGATTCGGCGGAAGACGGTGAGCAAGGAAAAGGGGAAGGCCAAGGCCCAGGTGAGTCCTGAGCAACTATCGGTACCAATCCCTCCATTTACCATTTTCTGATAGCCGGTCGGCGGGGACCCGGACGACGGAGACGACGACGACGACGAGGAGGACCGAGCACCATGCGAACGGTGCAAGAACAAAAAACTCCCTTGCCAAATGCAGGCAGGCAAGAGGAGTTTGATCATTTGTAAGCCCTGTCATGACGCCAAGGTGAGGTGTTCCTACTCGGGGCGCCCCACTACTTCGAAACAGCGGGAAGGCGGATCCGGCGAGCGTATCGCCATCATGGAGAGTCAGATGGCGCAGAGTCTCGCCGATCTCCGGGCGTTACGAGAGGCGGACTCAAAGACTCACCAGTACCTCCGCCAGTTGTTGAGAAAGCAGGAAGATGATCACGCCCGATTGATAGCCATGGAGACCAGGATGGCCATGATGGGCATGGGAGGAGGACCGGCGACGGCAGGACCGTCGAGGAGGAATACTGAGCGGCGGCGACCGCTGAAGCGGAGGAGGATTGTTGAGGAGAGTGACGAGGAGAGGGAGGAAGAAGAAGAAGATAGAGAAGTAGAGGAGAAGGAGACGGAAAAGGATGGAGAAGGGGAGGTAGAGGAAGAAGGAGGAGAGATGGAGGTAGAGGGAGAGAAGGAGGGGGAGGCGCCGGCGCCGACAGCGGCGAAGACGGTGGCCTCTGAGAAAGGAAAGGGAAAGGAAGTAGTAGAGTAGTGGTATCACGGACATCGGACATCGGCCTTCGGCCAACTTCTTGTAACCTTCTTGTTACCCTGCCTTCGTTGTATGATTTTGTTTTTTGGACTTTTTGTATATAAGAAAATGTTAACTCGATTTTGAAATCGGAAAGCGAATGGGCCGTGAAGCGGCGTAAGAATTAATTAGTTCGAAGTATAAGTAGTTTTAAGTGTAAATGAAATATAAGTGAAAAAAGTAAATTGAAGGAGAATGTAAGCAATTAAGAGAAAGAGATAAACACTCAATTTGCTATCATCGTGTTTATCCTCTAAACACACAAAGTAGACTTCGGCGGAGCACGGCGGAAAAGGGAAATGGAATAAAATGATTTTTTGTGATTAAGGTCCCGGTTTGTGAGGGTATCGGGCGTGGAACGCCGGTACAAGTTCGTCAGCATGTAATTCATCAGCAGCAACCCAAGAGAACTCATTGTCGGTACCTTCGTAACCGGCCCACCGAATGTAATAACGTAGAGGACAACGTTTGTACCTTCTGTCCAGCTTGGAGTCAAGAATTTCGGCAACGTTGTACTCCTCTTCACCATCAACTTCAATTGGAGGTGGAGGAGATTGAGTACGATTCGGAAAAGGGTTCGGCGTAACCGGCTCCAGCTGTGAGACATGGAAAACCGGGTGAATTCGGCGAAGATAGTCTGGGAGCTTGAGCTCGTAAGACAAAGTGCCAGGTCGACTGATGACTTTGAAAGGACCAAGATATTTTTCTGAGAATTTTTCAGTAGGACGAGTAGAGCGAATGTGCTTAGCAAGAACAAAAACTTCGGAGCCGATCGGGAACTCTGGGTGCGAGATTATTTTCCTGTCAGCTTGTTCCTTGTAACGAGATTGGGCTAAAAGGATTTCCTCTCAAAGGAAAACGTGGAGTTCATCGAGGTTGACGACGAAGTCTCTAGCTAGATCAGACTTCATATCGACCTCGGGCCGAACGGTGATATTTGGGTGGTATCCTTTGTTAGCGAAGAATGGAGTAATACCAGTGGAAGCATTGGGAGCGTTGTTATAGGCGAACTCGGCGATCGGGAGTAAAGGCGACCAGTCATCCTGTTGGTAGGAGCAATAGATCCTGATGTACTGTTCGAGAGTCTGATTGACACGCTCAGTCTGCCCATCGGCTTCCGGATGATATCCAGAGGTATAGTGAAGTTCCATGGAAAGCGCTTTACCGAGAGCCCGGAAGAACGCCGAAACAAATTCGGAACCACGATCAGAAGTAACATGATTAGGGACACCATGCTTAGAGAAGACGTGAATAACAAAAAGCTCAGCTAATTGTTCGGAAGTAATGGTGTCGTGAGTTGGAATAAATATAGCTTGCTTGGAAGATCGATCCACAACGACTAGGATAGCAGTGTAACCATTCGACATTGGCAGTTGCTCAATGAAGTCCATGGAGATGGAATCCCATGGTCGGACCGGAACCGGCAGAGGTTTCAACAAGCCGTAAGGCCGATGACGGCGGGGCTTATTGCGACCACAGATAGTGCAAGAGGTAACGTAGTCACGAACAAAGTCTCTGACCTTGTGTCACGAAGCGGCAGAGGCGGAGTGACTAGCGGAGCAGGAAGCGGGGTGACTAAGCCAGGCAGTGAGGCGGAGCGACTAAGCAGGTGAGTGAGGCGGAGCGACTAAGCGGAGCAGAGGCAAACTGGTCCCAGATAATGACAGAGAGGTCAAGATAAGGGACCAGGCTGTGGAGGGTTGGCTATATATACATAATCTAGTCTGCGAGAAACAACGATGTAATACTGTACAGTTCAGGGGCAAGGAAGGAGGCGGAAGCCGATAGAAAGAGAAGGTGGGTCAGGTGGATCAGTAATAGATAGATCAGTAATCGATGGAGATTGACAGCGATGGGATGATGTATTGTACAAGTAAAGGCGTCGAGACGGTGAGAAAGGGAAAATGATAGGGGCTGCGTACTTTATGACATTACCCCCCTCCTTATGACCATTGCCCTCGATGGTCAAGGTTTTGCCGCTGTCGGATGTTTTTTGTGAAAGGCCCGAACAATTTTTGGTGCCCGGCTGAGGTTGGGTGCGGGTTCCCAAGAGTTGTGTCCTGCATCGTAACCTTTCCATTTTACTAGATATTCCAA